GCAGAAGACGAGTTAGCTTAGAATCCCGAAATGGGACATGAGTAGTCTTCCCTTCAGTAAGTTTTCCGATCACCTACATGTTGAAACCATTAGAAAGAAGTATAATCAAAACATCCTTCAAATTCATCTCAATGGTTTAGAGACTAAAGATGCTATCTTTGACAAAAAATACAAAAAAAAAAAGAGAGAGGGAAGAGACTTATCACAAAATAGAGGCATTGATCATCAAGATACACTAGCACGACTACATCATGCACTGAAGGATAAATTTAACAAGAATTCTATTTCCATAGCAACTTGAAAGGCCTTTCTGAGCCTCTAGTGTCACCAATTCGGATGTGGTACATTTTATCCATAGCAACCGAGTTAGTATTCTAAGGCAGTTTTGCATTGTACAACAATACAAAATCTAATCTACATTTTATCATGATTGGAAAAGGAAACATACAAGTTAAAAGAAAGCTCAAGCAGAAAGAGAGACACCTACAGTTCCAAGAGTCAGAAGACTCTTGTTGATGAATGAACCCTCTTTCCTCCTTAGTCCAGTTGTCTCAGTTTTGGAACTCTCAGATCCAGCTAAGTCAATCAAATTCTAAGCAAGAAAGAGATACTGTGAGAGAGCTGTCTAAAAGACAAGAGCGATCAGCGATCTTATGCAATAAATGAAAAAAAAAAGGCCCTTACAAGCTGAGAAAAGATAACCCCATCATACTGATCTCCATGAGCACTACTTTCAATCATCTGCAAACAAACGATATCTGTGACTTAAAATGCATAGCTAGTAAATTTTTAAAGGACATTGAGAGGACTGGAAAATAAACATGGGATGTTTAGTAGATCGAAGATGTACCAGTGTAAATATTGTGTGACTTCTGCTGCTTAACAAGTTGAAATTATTTGAACCAACATGACGATGTTCTGCCGTTGGAGATCAAAAGAGTAATAAGGAAAGGCAAAAAAGAATATCTAATAAAATGAATACATGTTTCGGAAGTGATTCTTCTAGTTACCTTCCCCAGCTGCAATGAACGATAGTGCATGACCTGGAGATAAAACAACTTCTTCCTTGATACCCTCAACGTACGTGCCCTGAAAACAATATCCCTCTAGATCAAACCAAGGCAATCCATAAGAGAAACAGAATTGATGTAACATAAACAATTTATCATCTGTGTTCATCGTTCTAGTCCTCGTCAGAGAGAAATAATGAAAGCAGATAAAAAAGCAAATGCTCTTGCCTGATTTACATTTGTATTTGTGTGTGTGTGTTGAGAGAGAGAGAGAGAGAGAGAGAGAGAGAGAGAGAGAGAGAGAGAGAGAGAGAGAACGAAGTCAAAACCTGGGAATCCTCTCTAACACGTAAATTTTGCCCTGTTGGATCCAGTAAATCATTTATCACCTGATACAATGAGAAAAATAAAATAACTTGCCAGTAGATGGGACATATAAGCACGCTTGTCTAAAACCAAAGACATGATGGGTTATCGCACAAGTTACTAAAACAAGGGGAGATATTCTTCTAGGTGAGGAGAATAGGAAACTATCTGAAGCTAAAAGTCTGAATTTCGGGGTTTATTGACGGCAGTAAATTGTCTCATATCATTGATGAAATATTTTGCATACCTCATTGTATATTTCAAGATATGAAACACGGAGTAGGAACTCTCTTCCAGTAGTCTGAAATTAAGAATGATGTAAGAAACTAGTAAATATGTCACTGTACGGAAAAGGTGCATGAAGAACTGTAAATCAGTAAAGGACCATATAGGTTATAAGTAGAACAAGATCACTTACTTCCTGGATGATACTGAACACGTCTTTTATTGCTAATGGTATGATTCCAGGAAAATCTTGATCACCCTGAGCAAATTGCAAGTGAAGCGAACGGTCAAAATTTAAATTTTTTAACATGTATAACTGAACCTCTTATTGTCTAACGGATAAACAAGATGCATATGATCTAATGATGATTGAAGAGAAGATGATTTTGGTCAACCTTAATCAATATCTTTTATACTTTCTATTGACTCAGGCATGGCAATCAAACATTTATCAGCAACTATAATCTAGGTCTTTGGATGGCATGTTTTGCAACACAGTTAACGTTATATTAAGCCAGAAAAAGATATCCCAAAGAAGTGCCACTTTAGAGCAACATCATATAGAAAACAAACCACACTGAGAGAAGTTACATGGATTGTATGTGTCTTTCTACTGCTTGTAACACCATAAGAGAACTTACACGCTTGTAACACCATATATCCCGAGAAACATCATATAGAAAACAAACCAGACTAAGAGAAGTTACATGCATTGTATGTGTCTTTCTACTGCTTGTAACACCATAAGAGAACTTACATGCTTGTAACACCATATATCCGAGAAACATCATATAGAAAACAAACCACACTGAGAGAACTTACATGCATTGTATGTGTCTTTCCACTGCTTGTAACACCATAAGCAAAAACGGTTCCTGCCAAATTGTCAACAGAGTGTCAGAAACTTCCCTGCAAGCATTGCTACTAGCAAATGAGTTGGGCTAAAGGTACACTCCTTACCGTTAACACCTTCCATTGCTGCCTTGACTACAGGTTTTGCAGCTACGTCATAGACATCTATAGTTGTTGCTTGAGGTCCAAAAACTTTATCTGGCATCAACATATTTTGGAAGAATGTTTATTGAACATACCGAGACTACCAGAAATCTAATCAATGAACAGTAAATTGAAATCATCGCCGCAATTAAATTCATCTCAATACCGAATGCGTAAGCAGTGAGGGGATTGTACTCATTCCTGACCATTTTATCCGCGTCAGGATACCAAGCAATCTCATCTCCTCTTTGATACTCTCTCTCGCTGCAATCAAACAAATAATGGCGGAAAATTGACAGAGTTTCAAATTCCAAATTTACATTCCATCAATCCCAAACTTATAAAGTTGAATAATCATGAAATTGTATCCAATAGATCTGCTATTCCGAGCCCAGATCTACCGTACCTCATCGGACGAAACCGAACGGTGACGGAGATGCTATCTCGCTCAGAGGTAATAGCCGGCACTGGCTCGCCAATCAACCCCTTCGATGGGTAAGGGACAGGCGATTGCACTCCATAAATCCCGGAGCCGCCGATGGGACCGGGATCAGAGATGGAACGACTAGACGTCATAGATCGGGACCCGCTTACCCCGCCGGAATTGTAGATGGTAGAAGAAGATGTGGAGCAAGAGCGAGGTAATAGGCGGTTGTTCATATGAGACGAAGAAGTCGACGAAGCCGAAGAGTAAGGGCTCGGAGGTCTACGGTGCGAGAAAGGAGAACGGCTCCTTGTTCTAGATGACGATGAAGCCATACACTCTCTTGGCACTCCGAGGGAAATTGACTCGTTAAAATCGGCGACTCGGTTTCCGAATCGGTGAAAATCTGAAGAAGAAAGAATCAAGCGAAAACCACCAAATGTGAAGATGCAGGGAATGTGTCAGTGGAAGCTCACATGGCTGGGGACAGAAAAAGCATTATGCTCTTCTTCTTCTTCTCTCTCTCTTTTTACTCTCTCTCTTTCTCTATACCCTACTTTTCCATGGTTAAGCTCTGCGATTGTGAGAAAGAGATAGTGAGACCACAAGCAGAGAGCGATTGTTTCGTCTTCTTCACGCGATGGTGGTGAAGAGAGAGAGAGAGGGATCGTATGAAGATATTTTTTTTCGGGTGAAGGCATCCAAATTTTTTTTTGCAGATTTTGAAATTCTAATTAACATAATGTTTTTTTAACTGTGTGCTGACGTGGCGCGCTCAAAACCATTTTGAGGTTTGAACGTGGTCGAGGATTGAAAATAACCGCGAACCGGATTAAATGATTTTCGAAATAAATTGAAGGAACCGAACGAGCGGGAAGAACGATGAGTCGGTAAAAAAGGGGGATTGTCCTTTTTGCCCTTTAATTGTTTATACATTTGGTTCCGGTTCAACAACCAAACCAAAGAGAACCGAAGTCCTAAGTGAAATTCTACCCATTTATAACAGATAGAAATTTTTTTTTTTTTTTGATATCTTTAGAATAGTCTATTCGTTACGACATTCTACTAAATTGAAGATACATCTAACATGTCCAATAGATTGAGTACTGAATTTAATAATGACTCAATGAAACGAAACATTTTCCTCAAATAGATTACGTACACAACTATTAAATCCTGCAAAAGACAAATAGTTTGTATGTACTTTAAAAATAAATAAATAAAAAATAATACATACAACAGTATGGATGGAGTTATTACAAGCACGTATATCTTATTTTTATATTTTTGAAAGAGCCTACGTTACACATTTAGTGAGTATGTGGGCCCTTAGAGCTTAATAATATAAGTAAACTTCGAATATGGAGAGTATTTGCTTCTCGAAGCTAAAGAAAAGGCGAGTACGTAATTGTCATATCTCCCACTTTTTGAGCTCCACCGCACATCTGGCTCACACGTGCATGCTTTTCCTCCCTCAAGTGTTATGTGGAATCTAACTCTAAATCTTAAACTCTAAACCTTAAACCCTAAACCTTAAATCCAGTCTAAATAAAAACGAGTCTAAATAAAAACGAAATCAATTTAATTGGTTACGCTACATATTGTATGTGTTTTTCTTTCACAAAAAGAGAAAGTTTATCGTAGTATTACAGTATTTAGCATTTGCTTGTAAATTTCAATATGATTGTATAGAAAGATATGGTGCAATTAGGGATGTCATCATTATTACTCTTGGGCCGCAACTAAAGTGGGCATAGCGTGGCCCCTTTTTATGAAAATGCCAAACCAAAACCACACGCATTATCTGAACCGTTTGATGAATTTGTAAAAGAAAGAAAAAAAACACTAATGACTGGTAGGGCCGAAGAGAACGTGCAGCCCAACTGTTTGGAGCTGAAGGCTAAAATGGTAAAATGATAGTTTACTATAGAAGAAATAAAATCATCGTTTAAAATCCAGCAATCCAACGGTCACGAACTTGCAAGCTCCTTATCTATGGAGTTGGAAGAAGAAAGCCAAAGGAAGGAAACTGAAAAGAGAGCCAAAGGAAGAGATAGAGAGATGCTGATGCTCCGTCAATTTCAGATCTCTACGTTTGAGCTCTTCCAATCTCCGAAACAACCAGGTCAATAATCAAAATCCCTCCGAAGAATATGTTTACTTAGTTCGCTAAAGTTGATTACTTTCTCGGTTTTGATTTGAGTTGATTTTCGGAAAGAGCTGAAACATGATAATGTTAAATCTCAGGGTGTTCTAGTTCAAGGAGTGTCCCTCTACCCAGAACTCGATTTTACAGGAGCTCTGATTTCAGAGCTATGGCTGATACGAGTGGCAATGGTGGAACGAACGTAGGAAAACTTTATCTGGGTATGGATTTTGGTACTTCTGGAGCTCGTTTTACAGTTATTGATGAACAAGGAGAAATTAGAGCACAAGGGAAAAGAGAATATCCTCGTTTCATGGTAAAGAAATTTGCATTCACCAAGTTTGAGTTCGATAAGTCTTTTGTCAAAGCCAGCTAACATCTGGTTGCTTGTGTGTTGCCATGATCATTTTCTGCATATTTAACGTGGATTAATGATTTTGTTGATAAGGTTAAGGTATGGCTATGAAGCCATTACCAAATTTGAAATGTTCTTGTAGTTAATCGAGCATTTGCTCAGTATTTGAGCTTGATTTGTGGTCTTGATGAGTACTTAAAAATCCTCAACAGCCTTGATTTGCTGTCTTACTTATATCGAACGAGTACTTAAGAATTCATCTAACATATTTCAAATATAAATTCTGAGCTACTTATTGAACAAATTTAAGGAAAAAAAAATATTGTTCTCGAATTTATGGACTGGGACGTTTGTTTTGTCATCTAGACAGAGGGAAGAAAGCATGGATTGGGCAAGCTCATGGAAAGCAACTCTTTTTTCGTTGCTAGAGGACATTCCCATTACTGTTCGCTCCCTCGTCTCTTCCATTTCGCTTGATGGAACTTCTGCAACAACTCTCATCTTAAACAGGCATGTGGTTCCTCGAATCTCTTTTCTGCTTCTGTAGTTTAATTACAGGATTTGATTTCCATTATAGTACCAACGTTTTTGGTAATCCTTATGCATCATCATCATAGCAAAATGAAGTCATTGGCATGTTGTTTGAATCCCCTTTGCTTATGTGTACCAGTGAGAGTGGAGAAGTTCTGTGTCAGCCATTTCTCTACAACCAGAGCTGTCCTGATGCTTTGCCAGAGGTTAAGTCTATAGCGCCAGCAAACCACACGGTCTGCTCTGGTTCCTCTACCCTCTGCAAACTCGTCTCATGGTGGAACCTTAAGCTTCCGAAGAGAGAATCAGCCGTGTTGCTGCATCAGGCAGATTGGTTGTTGTGGTTACTTCATGGCAGACTCGGAGTGTCAGATTACAATAATGCCCTGAAGGTAACGAGAGATGAAGTATTCTCTGTCTGTCTCGTGCAAAGCAAATGTTGCTCATAAGTGCTTTACTATTTTGGGTTTAAGTCAGGTAGGCTATGATCCTGAAAGTGAATCATATCCGTCTTGGTTGCTAAGTCAACCTTATTCTCACTTATTACCTATGGTGCAAGCTCCTGGAACGTCAATAGGCAATCTGAAAGAAATCATTAGAAGGCAATTTGGTAAAAATTAATCTTGAGTCTTAACAAAAATACATCAATGACAAGCAACATGAAATTTTCTAGTTTTCCTTTTTGGCTTGACCAGGATTCCCAGATGATTGCATTGTTTGCACCGGTACTACTGATAGCATAGCTGCATTTCTTGCAGCACGTGCCACTGAACCTGGGAAAGCAGTGAGAACTCTGCAATACTTTCTGAATCTTATTTATCTCTCTCAGCTATACTCTTAACTCTTTCTAAGTGAGAACTATAAGCCACATTTTGATGTTTGTATCTTAGCAAGTCAGTCCAAATGTCTCCTGCTGGTTCATTACGTGACATGACCCTTTTTTTATACTGAGATTTTTCAAAGGTAACTTCATTGGGTTCGACCTTAGCCATCAAACTTCTGAGCACCAAAAGGGTCGATGATGCGAGGTATGGAGTCTACAGCCACCGTCTGGATGACAAATGGCTGGTCGGAGGAGCTTCCAACACTGGTGGAGCCATTCTCAGACAGCTCTTTAGTGATGAGCAGTTAGAGAGACTGAGCCGAGAAATCGATCCTACGGTCGCATCTTCACTGGATTACTATCCTCTCCAGAGCAGCGGTGAAAGATTTCCCGTGGCTGATCCTAACTTGGCTCCCAGGTTTGTCTGCTTTTTTCACAGGTCTCTCTGTATATATATATAAATCAAACTACCCTTGAAGCAATTAATATATATATCTCCTTTATCTGTGTAGATTCACTTAAAAGAAAAACATGATTAAATGTCGCAGATTACTTCCACGCCCAGAAAGCGATGTTGAATACTTACATGGTATCTTGGAATCAATCGCACGTATTGAGGTACAAATCATTCATTTCTAGGTGGTTCCTACCAAGTTTCACATGACTAACGGTAATAGTGGTTCTTCAAGAGTATCACTCGGAACAAAAATGATGGTTACGAAACACAGCAATTTTGATCTTGAACTCCAAGAGAATCTGAATAAGTCTCTTACTTTGCTCCTCGAGCACCACAAGTTTTCAGTTAGTTGGTATAGCTTTTAGTTCTCGATAGAGCTCGTGGAGAGGTTAAAGCTCAGTTAGCAACCAAGTAACTTGGGTGTATACATTACAGGGGAAAGGCTACAAGTTGTTGAAAGAGATGGGAGCAACGGAGGCTGAGGAAGTGTTGACAGCAGGAGGTGGTGCCAAGAACGACACGTGGATAAAAATTAGGGAGAGAGTGCTGGGTTTGCCTGTGAGCAAAGCCGTCCACACCGAAGCTTCCTATGGAGCTTCTCTTCTTGCGTTGAAGGGCGCAAAACAGAACAATGGTCTGTGAAAGACAAAAAAAACATTTCTTAAGACCAGAGGATGCCTGTGAAACAGAACACATATTTTAAGAACAGAGGATGTTTCTGCTCTTTGTAAGGAGACAAATGCATGTGAAACAGAACACATTTTCTTGCGGAATTTTTTGCTCTTGTTATGTATAGTACTGTAGTAACAAAATCACTTTTCCTGCAGTTTTGCTCCTGTGTGCCTGAATCGTGCAATTTTAAGCGTTACAAAACGAATTAACGGGTTTTGTGAAAACAATGCGTGTCTTTAACTAAAAAGAAAACGATGAGGGGTGTTCCGAGAATCGAACTCGGGACCTCTCGCACCCGAAGCGAGAATCATACCACTAGACCAAACACCCATCTTGCTAATTTAAACAAAACCTATTAAATATCGAAAAACGCTAATATAAACCCCATAAATCTCAGGGAGCAGAAGAGGAGACCGGACATGGCTTCAATGGCGACTGTAAGATCAACAACTCTGACTTACTTGATCCACCGTCTCCTCCGACATCCCAAACCAAAATCTCCAGTTTATTTGATCCTCAGATCTTTTTCCGTATTAACCACTAAATCCAACTACCGTGACGAGTATCGCTCCCGTTACTTCTTCCCTTCGATCGCCTTTTCTTTACCTCTTCCACGTCCTTTGATCTCACTCTCTTCTCTCCTCGTTCCTAAATTATTCTCTTCTGTTGGCAAGTCAGAACTCGTAGAAGACAAGTCCCTTAGCGAGAAAAATGATGAAGACGATTACAGTGAAGGAGAAGAAGAAAAAGATTGGTCGGATTCGGAACGTACAATGGTTCCAATTGAAAGAAGTTGTGAAAGAACTGAAGAGATGATAACTGAGAGCTCGACAGTGAAGTTATCGGTGAAGGAGAAAAAAAAGCTTGCTTCATACGCGCACAGTCTAGGCGACAAACTGAAATGTCAACTCGTAGGCAAGTCAGGCGTCACGGATTCAGTCGTCTTCTCCTTCCTAGAGACCCTGGAGAAGAACGAGCTCTTAAAGGTATCAACTTTATTGTAACTTGAAATTGTGGTTTCCGATTGAAGAGTCAATGAAACGGATTGAAGCTGTGGAACAGTCAAGTCTGAGCCTGAACTCTATGTGGTTACTTGACTTAAAGCCTGCTTGATTCCATGAACAGGTGAAAATACACAGGACATGCCCCGGAACTCTAGAGGGCATGATTCTGCATTTGGAGGAAGCTACTGGTTCCGTAGCAGTCGGGAAAATTGCGAGGACTGTGATACTTTATCGTTCTCGTCCCACCAAATTGAAAGCTAAATAGGAGGTAGTTGATTAGTAACAGAATGATTGTATCATCTTTTCATATACAGGGGAGTCTCAGGATTAAGACTCGAAGCAAGGCCATTTATGGCTAGACTTTATCATTTTCAGTCGGATACTTGTTCTTCAAGAATAAAATCTCAAACAGTATTCACTTTCTACATCTGAATGAATGAAGTTGTTCTCTATTCCTTATACTTTTCTAGTGAGAGTATATATGGTGGTGACTTTCTGAACTAAGCAGCTTTCACTTTCTCTGCATATCGGCTTGTGTCTTCCGAGTGAAGTACACCATTCCGCGATAGAAGACGTATAAGGGCTAGAGAAAACCGAGCCTGAAATAAATCATGTTAGATTCAAGAAGAGCCTGAAATATGAGTGGTTTTAGTTAATATGGATTAGTAAAGGTGTAGCATTTGTTTTACCCATTGGAATCCCACGAGAGCATACCAGCAGCCTCTCAAGCCAAATCCTCCGTTGCTCAGAAGCTTTTAGTCAATTGTAAACAATACAAAAAGGAAAGAGTTACAGAAATCTATTTTAGAATTCAGGAGAGTGATGGAAACTGAGGCTAAGAGAAGTGATTACCATTAGTACAAGTCCACCAACGGCGAAGCATCCAGTCATTGACAAGCTGATATATCTTAGATCTCTTCCAGCCTTCAATTTACAACAGTTTTCGTTCATATGGATCAGGTTTCCAGGTAACCGGATCTTTAGAAGGAAAATCGGAACTAGAAAAAATCTAAACTTACCAGTAAGGTGCCTTCAAGACTGTGAGTACTCGGAGTGATGGATAAAGCAAGAAAATATGGTATTATGACCTTGTGCATCTGTCACAATATGTAATGAAAAAGAAGTGCTAAGAAACTCAACATCCTTAAAATGTGTTGCCGTGAACAGATGACACAAATTGTAGAGAAAAAGGACAAAAAAAAAAATACCTCGAATGTGACAACTTTGTCTTGTGTGAAGATACCAGGGAACAGCCATGGAATTGCTGTGCCAATGGTTCCAACTACTATTCCTAGTGTAGCGCCAATGATAACAAGTGACTTCAGAAGCATTCTGGCCTACAGACAACGGTAAAAACAGAGTTGCTTTAGGCCACAGTAATAGTTGATGTACCAACGGTTTCAACTGAGGCAATTTTCATTTTTCACCAACAACAGTCTTACTTTAGGCAAATTTCGATTGATTCCGAATAACAACTCAGGCATAAAGGACTGTGCAGTTTGAGAGAGAGGCTCCCCCCAAACCGTACTCATGGTATATGTCTGAAGCATAACCTAGAGACCAAAAGAGCCATAGAAGTTATATAACAAACTCATATCAGGAGAATATGCTTAGTGGTGAAATATACAAGGACATATCACCTGATGAGCAGCTATGACACTTGTACCCATTGATGTAGCAAAGTACACAAGGAGCGTATAAAACAAAACCTAAGGGGATATAAACACACAAATATCAGATATTAAAGAGGCGATCCTGTTGCAACTGAGTGTCTGAAGTAGTAACCTTTGACATCATAGTTATAAAGACTGGGGCAGCGAGCCCAAAGATCGTCAAGAGTTCACTTGGAGAAGGAACACAGAGTGAGAACGCGCTGTATCCTTTCTTGTTCAATGCATCCATCATCATATAAGCTGCAACAATCTAAAACATCTCTAATTAAAACAATATTGTTAACTAGCTGATATGGTACTGAAATTTTTTAATTGGAATCTTATAGATTTCAGCTTACTTGTGACACCATAGTTGCCCAAGCTGCACCTGCTATACCGTATCCTAGAAAGGTGCATAAGACCACATCACCAATGCCGTTTATTGCACTAGCAACTGTCAATGCCTTTAAAGGACCCCATGAGTCTTTCATACCAAGACTGAGACAAAAAAAAGGAGAATGTTAAGATCCCACGGTCAGAATTGTGAGACAATGCTGAAGCTTTGGAAGTGCAAAAATGCAACGTGCAGAGGAACATGAGATATAAAGGGACCTTGCACTTTGAGCAACCCATCCAATGAGAACAGCTGGCCATGCTAAACCACGAATCTGAGAATGAAAAAAAAAACAAATCGTCAAATCAAAGGATGAATGAGGAAAGTGACTTAAAATTCAAGGCTATAGCATGGGTCGAAGTCAGTATAAGTAGTACATCTTTAGACAGGTTCACAGGGAACAAACATACTCTTTGTCTATACGCATAGAGCCATCACACTCCCCAGCACCCAAAAAAACATTGTAATTTGAAAATTTATAACAGGAAAGGGTCAAGATAGAGAGTTTGAACCTGAACATATGTATTTGCCGCCGGGACAATCTCAGCATTCTTTGCCCCCGTAAAAGCTTTAAAAAAAAAAAAGACAAAACAGTCAACAGACTGCTGATTTACTACTAGTTACAAACTTGTTACTGGTCCGCGACAAATATCCCTTCTTACCAGTAAGTGCCCAGGAACCAAACAGTCTTGTAAACACCATCATCATGACTCCACAAGCCAACCCAATGAAAAGCAATATCGATATCTGATGTTGTACTTCATCTTTATCCTGCATAAGCACTATTCTATAAGGAAGTTGCTAATAATGTGCACTTGACATAGATGAAAAAAAATTCTTGGAAATTGCTCGAGTGATGACCAAAAGAATAGGCCAAACTCATAGTTGAAGAATAAAAATCTCCTGAAGTTTCTACTAAACTGACCCGCCGAGCAAGAGAGGTGGCAACAAGATTTGAAGTCGCAACTGAGAGGAACATGAAGGTATAACACAAATAATCACAGACGACGGTTGCAGGACCTGTATCATCCATAGTGAACTTTACAACATAGCAACGTTTCAGAAGTAACAAATTCGAGATACAATATGAAATCAAACCAAACGTTCAGAAGTCTTGAGTAATCAAAGACATGTGTGAAACCTAAAATTCCTATTCATTTTTGTTGCAAAACAATAGAGTTACAAAGAATAGACCTTAATTTTTCTCTCAGTACTTTAAACAAATAAAAAATCAAGAGCAAGCTAAAGCAGCAACTTTTGATAAGACTAAGTGTTCAACACGACAAAAAATTAAGCACCATTAAATACGTCATCAAAGAAAGGTAAGTGCTTTTCCAGCACATTACCAGTGATACACAAGGTCCACTTAGGATTTCAAGGTAATAAAAGAGAGAAAACTCTTCATTCATTTTTCAGCAAAGAACAGATCAGCAAAGAACAGAGACTTATTAAAAAAATCACCACTTTTTTATTCCCCGGTTCCAGTTAAAGAATCAAAGGCCCAAGAAGAACAAATAATCAAGTGAAGCAAAGCTCTCAGATTCTATGGTGTGTATAGAGATAAGATACCTAAAGCAGCGAGTTCGAGTGAGCTTCCTTGACCAATCACCGCCGTGTCAATGAGACTCATCAAGGGCCCACATAGCCACAGACCAGCCGCAGGTCCCGTAAACATAACGATCTCTTTCATCTGTCCCCAAATACTCTGATTCGCCAAGTCATCTTTCTTCACTTCTTCTATTTCCACTTCGACCGGAGAAATCGAGCCGTCGTTTGTATCTCCTCCTCCTCCAAGCTCAATCACTTCCTCCGTCGCCGGAGAAATCGACCCATTTCCGCTTCCTCCATCAACAACAAGCTCCTGATTCGGACTTGAGCAGTTTCTTATGAACCTGCTCAACTCCAGAGGCTTTGCTTCGGAAACAGAGCTCCTGAAAGTCGGGAATGAATGCTTCCATGACCGTAAGGTGATTGAAGATCGAAATGGTAGCTTCGGGTTACAAGAAATGGAAGAAACTGTAAAGGTTAGGGCTTTGCATTGAATTTGCATTCTTTCTTCTTCCTATTCCTGCTTATCAAAAATCATGGGAAAAAAATTCAAAAAAAAAAAAAAATTGCGGCTTCAAAGCTTCGGGCGATTAACTGATAGAAAACAACGCACCAACTCCCATTCTCCAAGTTTACATACTCACTGGTCTCATCATTTTTCTGGTAAGCCTTCCGTCTAATGATTGGTACAATTAACCGGTTAATCTAATCAAGATCAAACCAATTGTTTGATTTTTGTTTTTTTTATTGGCACAACTAAAAAGAGAAGCAAAATTTGACGGCCCAGAAGGAAAGATGACCAAAATTTTGAGAAGTTTTTATTTTCTTAAAGGGAAATTAACATTATGATAAGGCAATGTGTGACTGTAAACGAGTCCCAAGTGTTATTTTCGTGTCGGAGACAGAAGATGTTAATATGCATCGAGTCACTCATGAGTCATGACCCTACTTTGTAAATTGGTGACTAATAAGTCTAAAACCTTACGCAATTTGCAAGCAATGGTTTATTTCGCATTTCGTATGGAATCGACGAGGCATATACTTATGGGCTTTTTTCTGTTGAGTCCGTATAAATCAAATATGTACATCTTCTGCCATGAAACATTAGTTTCCCAAAACCATCCAGAGTCTCTGGTCCAGGCCCAAGGGTTACGAGTCCATAAATGGACGGCTCCCAGTTGGAGGTGACATGGCAGTCTATGGACCGTTGATGTTAGACTTGGCAATATCTGAAGAAAATCTCCAAACATAAACCTCAGCCTTTAAAACCACTGAGAACTCATCACCACCTCTTAAACTCATCTCGCTTTGTAAATTTTATTGTTTTTTGGTTCCTTGGATTGAATTTTTATGGAGTTTGCCGATTTCTAGTGAACGAACATGTGGACCGTACTCTCAGTTAAGCTAAGAAAACATATCTTATTATATATAAAGAAATATTACATGTTAATGGATAATAATTCGAATTTTTTTTAATTAAGATTTCAATCATAACAAATAAAAAATATACTCAGGTTCTCCACATTTTGGGATTAGTTTTAGTTTAGTCAGTGTATGTTTCCGGTTATCAGGGGAAAACGTAAAATCTATTTGGTTTACTATAACACTCCATTTTGGGACGGTTTTATTGTGTTTTTTATCGTCTTTGGGAATTTTGCATTCAAAAATATTATCGTCCACGTGGCAAATCCTCGTCAGCCGGCTCACGAGAACCTCAATTTCCCAATCTTAATTATGTTATCTGGGTTCTCTATATATTAAACCACTCAAACGCACGATTGCTGCAGTGGTGTTCAGAGCGTTATAAGCGTTTCATTTAAAATAGCTCGAAGAAGAAGAAGAAGAAGATAGCAACAATGGCGTCAAGCTCTGCCACTCTGCTCAAAGCCTCGCCTGTGAAATCCGATTGGGTTAAGGGACAGAGCCACCTCCTCCGTCAACCTTCCTCCGTCGCAGCTATCCGGAGCCACGTGGCACCTTCCGCTCTCACCGTTCGTGCCGCCTCTGCTTACGCCGATGAGCTCGTCAAGACAGCTGTAATTAAATCAATATAGATTACATATTCTCTCGAATATCAAAACGTTTCTTTCAATTGTATTTATATGATTTGTGTGGGATGGTGGCAGAAAACAATCGCGTCTCCGGGACGCGGAATTTTGGCGATGGACGAGTCAAACGCGACTTGCGGGAAACGTTTGGCGTCGATTGGGCTAGAGAACACGGAGGCTAACCGTCAGGCTTACCGAACTCTGCTAGTGTCGGCTCCAGGACTGGGACAGTACATCTCCGGAGCAATCCTGTTCGAGGAAACTCTCTACCAGTCCACCGTCGACGGCAAGAAAATGGTCGATGTCCTCGTCGAGCAGAACATCGTCCCTGGCATCAAAGTCGACAAGGTATTTACTTTATAAACCGATTTTGGTTTAAGTTTCGAATGAGATTGGATTTGTCACGGTTCGGTTTAATTTGGAGTGTACAGTCTTTAAGTACTAAAACGCAGATACTACAAGTGTGAATTTGAACCTCTTTGAGTGTAATTAATGACGAAACTGAGTAATTGGGTTTGTATATAAACAGGGTTTGGTGCCACTTGTTGGGTCAAACGACGAGTCATGGTGCCAAGGACTCGACGGTTTAGCCTCTCGTACCGCTGCTTACTACCAACAAGGTGCTCGTTTCGCCAAATGGTACGTTATTATAATGACTTGGAAATGAGTTTTGAGCTCAGGATTTTGTATATAGAGTCTTGAATGTCACCAAATGGTGTTTTGATTGTATGACTAGGCGTACTGTTGTGAGCATTCCAAATGGACCCTCTGCTTTGGCTGTTAAAGAAGCGGCTTGGGGACTTGCCCGCTACGCCGCTATTTCTCAGGTACAATAAAATTCTAAAATCCTCTGATCCCATCTACATTGATGTTTGTATATACTTATATGGTTTTCTGCGTTCTGCAGGACAGCGGTCTGGTACCGATTGTGGAGCCGGAGATTCTACTGGACGGAGAACACGGCATTGACAGGACATACGAGGTTGCAGAGAAGGTCTGGGCTGAGGTCTTCTTCTACCTTGCTCAGAACAACGTCATGTTCGAAGGTAAAACTTAAAAAATGAACCATGTTTAAAATGCTTAAGCCGAGCATGGTTACTAGAAACTTACAAGTTTTTGCGGATTTAATTTGGTGACAGGTATCCTCCTGAAGCCGAGCATGGTTACTCCTGGTGCTGAGGCCAAAGACAGAGCTACTCCCGAGCAAGTTGCTTCCTACACTCTTAAGCTCCTTCGCAACAGAATCCCTCCTGCTGTTCCCGGAATCATGGCAAGTTTTTTTCTTTTTACACAGCTGAAGAAACTATCTTTCAAGATTTGAGCCAGTGATTTGATGTTGTTTGATCTATGTATGTCTGCAGTTCCTGTCTGGTGGACAGTCCGAGTTGGAGGCCACTTTGAACCTGAACGCAATGAACCAGGGAACGAACCCATGGCACGTGTCCTTCTCCTACGCACGAGCCTTGCAAAACACCTGCTTGAAGACATGGGGAGGCAGAGAAGAGAACGTCAAGGCAGCTCAGGACACTCTCTTGACCAGAGCCAAGGCCAATTCGCTGGCTCAGCTCGGGAAATACACAGAAGAAGGTGAGTCCGAGGATGCTAAGGAGGGTATGTTTGTAAAAGGCTACACCTATTAAGCTATTTGTATCAATTATTCCCGATATCAAAAACTCAAAACATGAGCTTGATTCTGGTGTTTGAGTTGTAATACTCTTCTTCTTATAAGGAGTATAAAAAGTCAATTCGTGTTTTATGTGACTAGTTTTCTTTCTCCATGGTCGTTTTGTACTATCTGCCTACTGCTTATAATTGAGTTACGTCTGTTCATATCATTGCTGATAAAACATATCATTCAATCAAAAACTCTGGTTTTACTAGCTATGATGACAATAACACAACATCTGATACAAGAATAAAGTGAATAAAAACACCAAGTAATATGTGTATGATGCAAAAAAATTCTAGTTTGGTTTACAAGAAAAGATTTAGCGAGAAATATAAATTGAGTACTGGGAGATTGCAGTCGAAGGTCATGTCTATCTCAAACAGCTCATCTTTATAACAAATGAAAATTTAGAAAACCAGAGTAAGCTCAGAGTTGAGGTCTCAACAAAGTTAGGCAGAGAGATCTATTAGGCATAGTTCTATCAAGAATTAAGATATAACTTATGAAGAATCGTTTATACACAATCTCTTCCAAGGTTTTTTTATATCTAAATGATCAATTCACAAAAGAAAGAAAAAAGAGAAGAGATAAAGAAAAAGACATTTTGTTTCAGATCTTAACTTATCTTAACGTTTCCTCTGAGCCCTTTAAGCTAAATTCTTCAAAACTAAAAGAGAACGCACAAGATATTTCCTTGTTCTTGCGTGCTTACAAGGTTCCTACTTGATCTTGTGTATCTGTGATCACCTTTCTGACTCTCTTTTAACCGTCCAACGGGTACCACACCAGCAGGATCATGATTGTTTACACTATTTACATCGAAACCCTGCTCCTTAAGAAAAACAAAACACACAAACAAAAAGTTTAAAACACCGAAAAACAAAAAATTGAGCCATGATTATGGTCCTCTATATACGCGTACTTGGTGGTTTGATCCAGGCTCGTGTACTCTTTGAGGGTTGGAGTTAAGATCGATCATATTGTGATCACCATTCCCATTTAATTCTTGACCGCGACCGGATGAAACCTTTTGACGGTTTGCCTCCTTGCACCGTAATCCCAGTTCATCGGCGTGATTAGGCTTATCGCCTGGAAACTATGAAGAAAACAACAACACATTGTAAAGAATATACTCAAAAGATCACAGATCAAGAATGCTTCAAGATCCTCAAAACTGATATCAAAATACAAACCTCAATCCTCTGTCTCAGCAATAGAAACCGCTTGTGCGTTCTCTTGCCGCCAACATGTACAACCATGTCACATTGTAGACAAAGGGAACTACCGTCTGTCTCACAGTAAAAGAAGGCTGCTCATCGATGAAAACAAGCAAGCGACTCAGAAACACCAAAATCTCTTTTTTTTTCTTTATACCTCAAAGAAAAGAGAGAGGATCAATACCTGGTGCATTTTCGCAAATGTCACAGCTTGGGGCATTGCTTGGATCAGCCAAGCCTACACGTACATGTCGACTAGCCAGCTTGTTGCACATATGAACCTGAAGCCAACAAACAATATGTTTCTCTCTTACAAGTTATAAGACAATTGATATCTATTCTTATGAACACACTTCTCAATCAAACACATTTCAGATCTCTTAGAGCTGCAATAGAGTGACTGTAAAGTGTTGTCACAAGCGAATGCAATATGCAAAGTGCAAACACTAAAGACATACATTACAATACAAAGTCACTCAAATCTAGTGTTGATGAACATATATGATCGTTAAGAATGAAAACGCAACCAGAGAACATCTATTGTTGAATCAGAAACCGCTTAATTTACTGAATTGATACAGCTTTTTGGCCATCTTCGAGTTACAAAAAACCCCGCAATCTATAAATTTAGCACTGCAGATAGGAATTGCCTCGAAAGTTTCAAACTTTTTGCATTGGTTGAGGTAAGAGATGTTTCAGATAAAGTAAGTTACTTTTTCGTCGCATGAGCAACAGAGGGCAGCTTCGTCGGCGGCGCAGAAGACGATTGCGGCGGCGTTCTCACAGGCATCGCACAAAATTCGCATGATTTTTTAAAAATATATATAAACTCACGATTCTCGTTATCTTTGGACGATTAAACCCACTTGCAAAGTTTGCATCTTCTGTCAAACCCAGATTCCGATTGTTGACGGAAAAGAAATTTGATTGATTAAAGGAAGCTGTAGATATTGGGTTAAGGATACGATGAAGCAGCTTCCTTTTTTAGGGCAATGGAGGGAAGCAGAGAGAGAGAGACAGAAGCAGATATATAATAAATATGATGGACTTACCAGACGTTGAGAGTAGCAACTTTTGTGTACTCGCTCTATCTCCCGTTTACTTTTGACACATATTTTTTCTCTCAACGAACTGATTGTATAGTCGACACTAGACCTAAAATAGTGACAAAAAAAAACAACTATCCATTTTAAAATTTTTTTAAAAATTAGACGTATTTTAGGTCGATTTTAAAATAATGAGTGCTATATGAAACAAATTTTATATAGTGACAAAAAAACGATTCATACTGTATGCTTTTATCCCTTTTTTTCTTCATTATGTCTCTTTTTTTTTTTTATCACTTTGGCTAAGGAAGCTTTGAGTTGTATGAACATTTTACTCCTACTTTAGAGCCTTAAGTATTTATAAGACTCCCCCTTTGATATAATAAATAGAGTCGGATTATCTCACATAGTTTCTATTGCACAAATTTATAATGTCAGAAATACTTAATAATATAATGTTACACTAAAACTTTTTTTTTTCGAAATAAATTGTTCCATAATTGAAAAGTCTATCTAAAGGACAAAAGGAAAATGATACAGTATAATAAATCTAAGATAGGGTCAGAGTCTAGGGACCCCATGGCAAAGGAGAGACTTCAGTAGACTAGACAAAAGAACTGTAAGTGCTGTTTCCTTCATTTTGTTGAGTTTGTAGAATGTTGGAGTTCATCTCTTCTCGTCCATGGAAATGTCTAATATATCTGGCAATTCGTAATCAATTCCAAGCTTTTTTTTTTATATAATTGGTTGTACAGAAGTAGAGTGTTGTACGATAGGCTAGTTTTAGGTAAGAAATATTAACAGGAGGAAAGAAATAAGGGCCACACGAGAAATTGAAAGAAGAAGAAGAAGTAAAAGGTAGGGTCAAAAGCATCAACAGCCATTGAATTTGGTGGTGAAGAAGTAATTTGTCGTTTCCAAGTAAGTTTGTTTTTTCCAGTTTCCCTATTATGTCCCAAATATTCGATTTTGACTAAAATATAAAAATCCAATTTATTGGAAAGATTTTTTTTTTTCGTCGGTCCAATCAATGATCTAGATATTTATAGAGTTTAATAGCCTTTTTATATCTTGATTGTCCATGGTTGTGGACCTTGTGGTAATGTTATCCGTACTAGTTATGGTATAAATTTGCTGTTTGCACCTCTCTCCTTTTTTGTGCAATATGTAGCTTGGCGAAACCGCGTAAGTAGTCATTCATAATAGTTTCACATATCAAAGGTAAAATTATCTATCACAAAATGTGATGTATGTAAAACCCGTTTGTCGGAAATATTTGTAGAAATGTAAAACTATATGTTATAGAATCGTCCATGTAAATAATCTTGTAATTGTAAAAGAAATAATTCAAACGATGGAAACAAATGGGTGTCCCAAATTGTTAACGATACCCACCTTAGCTGCTTCATCATCCCCGCACAATCGTCCTTTTCCCTTTGTCTCTCAACGTTCAAATACGCAAAAATTATGTGCCCATAGTTTTGGGTCTTGAAATCCATAGAATAACGGGCTTTTGTGTGTAAGCCCATACACTGGTGTGCATGAATAAATTTCATGTCATACATAAATGTTTTATTAACTCTATAAAATGGGGCACCATAGTCAAACATTTATAAAGTTATGTCAAGTTAGTTATACATTGGTGTCAGAATTTAGAGTGAAATTTTAGTTTGTGTAAATTGGGATGATAAATTTTAATGTAATTATCTTACGAATTAAGCACATGGGGCATTAATTACAGTGGATAGGGTTTATGGCTTTTGACTTTATCTGCGGTTTCGTTTTGGTTTAATTTTGTTAATATGTGCATGCAAATACTTATACTATATGATAAATGGACCGACAAAAAGGAGAAAAGCGATCCGTGATTTTCGCTATCTCTTTTACTTAATTTCACGTTTGTTCGGTAAAATGGGATATCAGTACAGTTTTAAGGACTCGTCAACAAGAAGGGAAAACTCTTTATCGTGGAGAGAGTCCTCGTCTCCATAAAACCTTTGGGCTACGGACCTTTCAACGGCTATTTTAAAGCAGCGGGCCTTGTGACACGTGTCAGTTGTGTAAGTAAATGAGAAGATCGGGAACAATAAATTGAAGGGGAAAAAAAAGCGAACGGCCATTGCTTTTAATGCACGTGGCAGCTTTCTCAGATTCCCGACAACGTTCCAGGGGTAAAATAGGAATTTTCAAATGGTATCTTCCTTCCACCGCACTCTCTCTCTCTCTCTCGGCTCAAAGGAAATAGAAAAAAAAAGGAGTGTGAGAGAGAGAGGCGCCTCCCTGCCTACGAGAGATTTGCGGGACCAAATCAATGCCCCCATTGGTCCCTCCTTGAGTGAGAGTGACAGTGTGTGAGAGAGAGAGAGCCCATGGAGACTTTTTAGAGAGAGAGATAGAGGAAATCATCAGGCAGAGGAACACGACGACGCAGCACCAGGATTGAGTAGAAGACGAAGATGAAGGGTACTGTGATTCTCTTTCTATGTATCTCTTTCTCTCCGGATTTTTCGCACTACTGTTAGAGATCCTGGGTTCGACATCGATTTTCCAATCCCATTGTTTCATCGGGTCCTAGATTTCTCAAATTTTTCTTCTCCGATTTCTGATTTTGGGCGAAACCTTCATTTTCTTTTGAGGGTTTTTCCCCAGCTTGTTGAAGCTTGGAATTTTATCTCCGTTTTAATTACTTATCCCCTATTTTCTTAGATCGAGATTGCTATTTTTGGTAGTTTTTTTTGTTGGAGAACACTTCGGCATTTTATCTGGATTTGCTTGATAGATTCAGATACTATATTTTTGGGGATATTGAATCTCCGATTACACCCTCAAAATCAATTCTACGTGTTTATTAATGCTGAAATCTGTGGTGGTATGTTTCAGACTAGAGCTTCTACAGACACGACATCACTTTGGGGAAGAAGACAACTCAACAAGGTATAGGCCCTCTCTCTATGTAAATGCAATACCCATATTTTCAACATCTTGACGCAAAATATACATTTGTTTGTTACTTTGTTTACACACATTATGTGATGAACAATAGAAGATTTAGGGTTTAGTGTTAAGATGGAGATGCTTATTTTAGATTATTTTACATTCGAGCGAGTCAAATCAAATATTATTTTAAATTATCATTTTTAATGTTTCTTTTGTTACATTTTGGATTGTTAAAGAGATAACTCAGATGCACTGGTAAGAAAGACTTGTGGATACAACAATTAAAATATAAATTCTATCTTTTTCTGTCTGCTTTTGCGTGTGTAAGATTACAATCAAAGTACTTAGAATATGATAGCTTTTCCTTTTTTTTAGTTCTTCCTTTTCCTTTATACTATATTATGCATTTCAACAGAGAAGGGTGGTTTGTGGGGCCATTTATTACTTATTGTTCCATTAAAGAAACTTTAGATTGATGATGCATGACTTCGTTTTCAAGCATAGTGGGTGACCACTACTGAAAAAAAGTCGGTAATCTTTTTTGTTTGTTCTTCAGTTAAAAGGTTGATCACCTTCTAAGTAAACTCTGTCGTTGATATTCTAATAACAGTATCCCTGTTAATAAGTAATAAGTCATCTCTCTTTCGGTTTCTTTTTCTTTCTGTTTAAGTTGTGAGTTGAAGAAAATTTGGAGTCCGGTGTTTAATTTCAGTGCAATCGACATTCTTTGACATTATGAGTTTGCTTTGTGGAATTATTCAAATTTTCTCTTCTTTAGGGGAACACTAAGGGCTTTTTCTAGGCATGCTTCTTGTGTTAACCTCTTGTCTCTGGTTTGGTAAGGTGAGATGTCTGAGCTTTATCATTTCTTAATGGTTGTGTTAGTTGGAAAATCAGGACTCTTTTGGTCTCTTTTCAGAGCTATTCTGCTCTTCAAATCTTTCAGCAGTCGCTAAAATATGAATGGAATTTTGCAAATCCATCCAAATTAACGTCTGAACTGTTTCAGGAAAACGAGTTCGAGTTTCCTCTGCTTATAGAACTCATTGTTCATCGTTGTAGTCTGACAAGTGACCGATGGGAGCGATTGCTGGAGAAGAGCTGAAGAAAATGGATAAGACACAGGTGCCTATTGCCCGGGAAGAGAAGATATTGGTTCTGGTGAGACTGAGACCTCTCAACGAGAAAGAGATCTTGGCTAATGAAGCTGCAGATTGGGAATGCATCAATGACACCACCGTATTATACAGAAACACGTTGCGTGAAGGCTCAACTTTTCCTTCTGCATACTCATTTGGTAAGAATTACAGTGGTGTTTGTAGTTTAATCTCTTCAATGTACCTAAATCAGCTTCAGTTTTTTGGTTTCTTTGATACATTAAACAAGTATCTACTGCTCCTGATCCCGAAAATCTTACCTTTCATCCAAAACTATTTTATGGTATCATCTTTTGTTGACAGTGCATAATTTGCAATGTTCTAACTTCTTACATAAACTTAATTTTACCCGGCGTTGTCTCCTTGATTTTCAAGCTTGTCATATCCATTAGTTGATTTGTGGATGCTCTTTTGACATTTTGGTGACAGATAGAGTGTACCGAGGAGAATGCCCAACCAGACAAGTCTACGAGGATGGCCCCAAGGAAGTTGCTCTCTCGGTTGTCAAAGGAATCAACTGTAAGCTTCCTCAATTGTTGTGATGACGTAGAAATCGATAGCTTCAAAAGCTAAGTGATTCAATAATTATTGTTTCCCAGCTAGTATTTTCGCATATGGTCAGACGAGCAGTGGAAAGACATACACCATGACTGGTATAACTGAGTATGCTGTGGCTGACATATTTGACTATATATTTAAGGTACTGCTAAAAATTCAAGTCTGATATTTTACCCATACTACTTTGTTATGTATTCTTCTTTTTCACTGATTGCACTGGACGTTGCAGCATGAAGATCGGGCGTTTGTTGTGAAATTTTCGGCTATAGAGATCTACAATGAGGCCATACGAGATCTTCTTAGCCCGGATAGTACACCACTGAGGCTACGAGATGACCCTGAGGTGAAGATTGTTGTTTTTCTTCTTATTGCGAAATCTTTTATGTAATAAATCTTGCGTGACTCTTCTAGTGTTTTTTTCTGCTATTTAGAAAGGGGCCGTCGTTGAAAAAACCACAGAGGAAATCCTGAGAGACTGGAACCATTTGAAGGATCTTATCTCTGTTTGTGAAGGTAATAACCTCAGAAAGTCCACCGATTTTCCATTTCTACGATCAGTTGATAGTGTTGCCTGAATAGAATCTCTTGTCACGTTTCCTTGTTGTACTTATTGCAGCGCAGCGGAAGATTGGTGAAACCTCATTGAATGAGAGAAGTTCAAGATCTCATCAAATTATCAAACTAGTAAACCTCTATTCTATCACTTTATAAGGGTCAAAGATTCCCCTCTTTTTTTACTTAGTGTCTTACCTAAATTGTTAACTTTTTGTAGACAGTTGAAAGCTCTGCTCGTGAGTTCTTAGGCAAAGAAAACTCAACCACTCTCATGGCGAGTGTGGTATGTACTCATATGCTTTATCTACATTGGTTCATAACATAGTAAGCTTTGCCGAATCATCTTGTTTGTGCTCATTGTTTCTTATGTACAGAATTTCATTGATTTAGCGGGGAGCGAGCGCGCATCGCAGGCTTTATCAGCTGGTGCAAGACTTAAGGAGGGTTGCCATATTAATCGAAGTTTGCTGACTCTAGGAACTGTGATACGCAAACTCAGGTGTGGAAGTGATACTTTGGCTGACACTTAACCGTACTACTTGTACCATATGCCACAGATACATTGACCAAACAAAAGACGTGTTTTACAAGAATCTGTATTTGTCTTTCTCAAACTTAATGTGCATTAATATAAAGACTGTCAACATGATGCAGCAAGGGAAGACAAGGACACATCAACTATCGAGACTCCAAGCTCACACGCATTCTTCAGCCGTGCTTGGGGGGCAATGCCAGAACCGCAATAGTATGCACGCTTAGTCCAGCAAGGAGCCATGTGGAGCAGACTAGAAACACGCTCTTGTTTGCCTGCTGTGCCAAGGAAGTCACCACGAAGGCACAGATCAATGTTGTCATGTCAGACAAGGCTTTGGTGAAGCAACTACAGCGTGAGCTGGCCAGGCTCGAGAGCGAGCTGAGGAACCCAGCCCCTGCCACCTCAAGCTGCGATTGTGGGGTTGCGCTGAGAAAGAAAGATCTTCAGATACAAAAGGTGTGTGCTTTAATGAAACCCCAGAAGTAATTTCTACAGATCCTTTTTTGTGCTATGTTGATTTTGGGATAGTTGGGTTTCTTCTGACTAAGGTTTGATGTTGTGCAGATGGAGAAGCAGCTCGCAGAAATGACTAAACAGCGGGATCTTGCTCAATCTCGGCTTGAAGATTTCATGAGGATGGTCGAACATGATGAGTCTTCGAAGGTATCTCAGTTCAATCGACATATGATCCAATAATCGGATAAGCTCTTTAGATTTGATGGCGTTTTTAGCGCAACCGATTGCTTAATTTTTTCCTCTCTTTCAAAGGCTGGAACTCCGCATTTCCGTAACCGTACCAACAAATGGGAGGATGTTTCAGTGTCAGAGACATCAGGCGTGGTTGATCCTGACAGGACCAGTTTCATAACAGATGGCACGTCAACGCCTCTGTCGACGGCAAGAGCTCCAGATAGGTCTCACTCTGACGAGGATCTGGAGGAGGAATCGTCGCCTGATCGAACAGGAGATCAATCAGAAGAATACTGCAAAGAAGTACAATGCATTGAGATGGAAGAATCAGCCAGTGACATTATTAACAATGATGAAGGAAGGACAGACGCAGAAACACATGTGGGCCACAGTGCAGCGGCAAACGGTGGAACAGGTCTCGCGCAAAACAGGAATGCATCAAGTGTTAGAAGCGTCAGGGTGAGGAAGAGTTGGAGCCGCGGAGATACCGTGCCAGGCACAAGCACTCCTCCTGATGCCCTGGAGATGGACTACCCTGGAAGACCGGAGGGTCATGGTGTTGCGTTTCCTGATTTAGAGTTCGGTTCGGGTAGGAAGTTGTTGAGGAATGATTCAATGTCCTCTCGCGGAAGCGATTCCACTGAGGCACACAGCGTTGGAACACCAATGGTGGGAGATGATGGAGGTATCACCAGCATCCGGTCATTTGTTGAAGGACTCAAGGAGATGGTATTCAACTTCTGTGTCAAACCACGTATTCAAATCTAATATGATTCAACCTCTGACTTAAGCTTTGCGTTTCAGGTTTCGGATCCTGAGAATTCAGGGAAAATAGAAAAGAACATCGGTCTGGACGCTATGGAGAAAGAAGAGTCTGGGACAATGACGAACTGGTCGGAGGAGTTCGACAGACAAAGAGAACAAATTTTAGGGCTGTGGCAGACATGTCATGTCTCGTTGGTGCATAGAACATACTTCTTCTTGCTCTTCACGGGAGATCAAGCGGATTCGATATACATCCGAGTAGAGCTAAGGAGGCTCTCCTTTATGAAAGAAAGCTTCTCTCAGGGGAACCAAGCCTTCGAAAGAGGACAAACACTCACAGTAGCTTCAAGGTACTTTTTAGCATTTGCGCTATAGACAGGTAATGTTTTGTTAACCGCTCGTTTTGGTTTTTGTTGTAGTCTGAAGGCGCTTCAGAAGGAGAGACGGATGCTAAGCAAGCTGGTCGGAAAGAGGTTTTCTGGAGAAGAAAGGAAGAGACTTTACGAGAAGTTTGGGATTGATGTGAACTCGAGACGGCGGAGGTTGCAGCTGGCTAACCAGCTCTGGAGTAAGCCCAAGGACTTAATCCACACGGTGGAAAGTGCAGCCGTCGTAGCGAAGCTCGTTAGGTTCGTGGAGCAAGGAAGAGCTATGAAGGAGATGTTTGGTCTGAGCTTCACGCCTCCGCTTCCTGCAACTCGGAAATCACTTAGCTGGAAGAAAAGCATGGCCACGCTTTTTTAATAATGCAACACGTTTATATAAAAAATGGTTTCTGAGGTTTGTGTGTAAATCTTTTAGGTGGGTTCTTGTTGGTTTTGATGTTTGATGAAAAAGATTTCTTAGGTGATGTTTCCGCAGCTGGACTAAGCTTTAAGGGGTTCTATCTGTTTGTATTACTTTATTGGGGGTTTTTGGAAACAGAGAATTATCTAATTCTGATGTCTTCTTGGTGATGTGATATCGAATTATCAACTCTTGACCAAAATCTCATTACGGTTACGATTTTCTTTACGATTCATGCGCTTTGCCAAGTCCAATATGAACTACTATTCTAGACCCCAATGAGCCCAAAAGAACTATCGGTTTCTAAACACTGTCGTTTTAGAATTGAAAACACCTAAAATTTAGTGAAACCATACACAGAGGTAACTTCTGTATTCGTTAAACAACACAATCTTTTGAAACTAATATGGAAAAATAAAAGCAGACTCATAGAGAACCTACAGATGATAGAATCCAAATTCAAAAAAAAAACTCAAATAAAAGAACAGCCAAGATTCTTTACATTTTACCCCAAAAAAAAAAACTATGATCAATAGCAGCAGCTACGAAAGAAAAAGGAAAAAATCTGTCGAACTAATTCTAATTTCCAGATCGCAATATATATATATATATATGATCATATTCACTCAATATGATAACTTGGAAAAAAATCTTCAAACAACAAAACAGGAAGCTAGACCATGAAACTCTCAGACCTCTTGTCATAATGCGAATAAAAACATTCAGTGAGACCAAACGAGTTATCAGCATTATCAAGTGCGATATGCAAAAAGACTGGTTTTCAATCAACTGGTCTCTCAAGCCAAAGTTTGTTATCCTACATTCAACTATCGATTCATCCAAACGATCATGATTTGACTTTCATTTTACACACATTCATACCAAAAGAGAAGTAAAAGCCAATTAAACAGCTCACAGTATTGATCTCTGTAGCTCTTATGAACTAATGCTGAAAACCAAAAACCTGAATTGGATCCCAAGAGATTCTGATCCCAAGTGAAGCTAGATCAGTCAAAAAGAGGGGTAATTTTGAGCCTCTAAAGCGCCAAAAAACGTATCAAACAAAAATACAGATCATGAATGCAGATGATGTTTGTATTCAACGATTCATGAAAAAGAAGTATACAGACGGTTTTAAGAACTGGTGATTCACCACTAAAGGCAACATTTTTTTGTGGCAAACGAGAAAACCCTAAGAGGAGAAACTTTCAGATGAGCTTGAAAGGGAGAGGCCAAGGAGTAGACCTGGGAACCTCGAGCTTGTCTTTGATTCTCTCGATCATCTTCTGCTTCTTCCCTCTCGAATTTCCGTACGATCCTTTGAACCTTTTCCCCTTCTTCGTCTTCTTATCCCCTCTCCCGCACAGATTCATCTCCGATGCTGCCGGAGCTGCAGACGCCGGAGATAACGACGAATACCTCACCGAAGAAGTCAATGCTGCAGACGTACGCTGCGTCATCATAATCCGTCGCGCCATCGCGCCGCACCACTGCATCGCCGCCATCTCTCTCTTTCTCTCTCTCTTCCTCTCTGTCTCTCACTCTAGACGAACATTTTTCATAGATTAAAACATGAGATTCACTTATGGGCCAGAAACGGCCCATATATTTTATTTAGATTTAATTGTGAAAGCCCACTAATGGCCCTGTTGATTTGGCTCTCTCTTTCAGTCTCTCTCTTCCCATATGTATGTGTCTCTCTACCATTCACTCACTGTTAGCGATCAAATCAAATCAGCGAAACGATGGAGCTTCTCTGCTCACCAACGTCTCTTTCCTCCTCCTTCGCTTTCTCATCTGCTCGTTTCGTTCATCCACCTTTCTCCGTACGCAATTTTGCTATCTTTTTTCGTGTGTGTAAACATTCTCCTTGTGGGATTTCAAAATCAGTGTTTTGATTGTTTACATTGTTTTTAGACGCCAGGGACAAGGAGGTTCATGGTTCTGTGTAGTTCCGATATATCCCAGAAGGTATTTCATTCAAATTCTCCATTTTTTACCTGAACCCATTGCATTAGATTATACATTTTGAACTAGAAAAGTCCATAGACATCGTTTGACCCTAAGAACAAAGTTTTGAAATATCAAAGTCCCTATCCAAACGTGGATGGATGTTCACCAGAGAGATTTTTTCTTTTTTTTTGGTTTGGTTTTCCCAGGAAAATCAGATGACAGTGTCAGTAACTGGAGCAACTGGATTTATCGGAAGACGATTGGTTCAGAGACTTCGAGCTGGTATTCTTCTTCTTTGCTTATATAGTGATGACACACATTCAGACTTTGTTATGACTTTACACCCTTTGTTCAATCCAATTATATTTTTTTTTTCAATTTTGATGCAAATGAGAGTTGGTTCTACTGGTATTCAAGTGTTTCTTAAATGGGTTTGTTCTTTATTCATTCCGCAGATAATCACTCTATCCGTGTCTTAACGCGCACTAAATCCAAAGCTGAGCATATATTTCCGGGTAAGAAGGTAATGACTGTTCTGCTTCTATTTCAACTAGGATCATAAATACACTTGTCTGTGATTACTTACTTATCTTATCCAATCGTTGATCTGATTCATCATCTACTTCTTGTTGGACTTTTTCAGCCAAGGACTTCCCGGGTATTGTGATTGCAGAAGAACCCGAGTGGAGAAACTGCATACAAGGCTCAACTGCTGTTGTGAACTTGGCTGGACTGCCTATTAGCACAAGGTGGTCTCCTGAGGTCAGTTTCTTCTTTCACGTTCCTCTAAAGTTTAATTGATGGTTTTACTCTTTTACCTTCTGATATATTTGCTTGCTATGCAGATCAAGAAAGAGATTAAGGACAGCCGAGTCCGTGTCACCTCTAAAGTTAGTGGTTAACGACTTTTCTGATTTTATTGTAGCTCCAAGCTGCGTTTTGGTAGTTCTTGTAATTAAAAGATATGTCTTATTGTTTGAAACTTCATGAAGGTTGTTGAGTTGATAAATAAATCACCTGTGGAGGCTCGACCTACCGTTCTAGTTAGCGCTACAGCTGTTGGTTACTATGGTCTGTCACAATCTTATGCCGAGTCAAACAAAGTTTCATACTCGTGAATCTGATCATGTCAATAAGAATCCTAACGGGCTTTACACTCTCAGGTACCAGTGAGACAGGAGTATTCAATGAAACGAGTCCATCAGGGAATGATTATCTTTCAGAGGTAAACGTCCTCGAATAAATTCCCTTGCAAAGTCTTAATCCCTTTTTTTTGGCGGTTTTGGTTCATGAACGTGACGGTGAAAGAGCCTGTACTTGGCGGTGATAGATGTCAATCTAACTCTATGTGCAAAGAATGTTGCTACGTTGATAAAATATGTACTTGTGTACTTAGGTTTGCAGAGAATGGGAAGCAACAGCACTGAAAGCGAATAAGGATGTAAGAGTAGCACTTATCCGCATTGGTGTTGTTCTGGGAAAAGATGGTGGGGCTTTAGGTACGTATTCTCTCTCTTGCTCTCAAACCCTAATGAAATGCGTTCGTGAAGGACCTAAATTTCTCTGCTGATCATGCAAGTCTTTTTTTTTGCATTGTAGCCATGATGATACCCTTTTTCCGAATGTTTGCTGGAGGACCTCTGGGTTCAGGACAACAATGGTAAACTCGAATTCTTTTTTCTGGTCATCTCTTGCCCCCTCCCTCCGAATCTTACGACCATTCTTGCCTAATTCACTGAGTAGGTTCTCTTGGATTCACGTGGATGACTTGGTGAATCTAATCTATGAGGCCCTCACTAAACCATCCTATCAAGGTAGCAACATACATACATAAATACTTGCTAGACTCATCTAAGTCAAACGCTAAAGTAGACTGCAACTGGTGTTGGTCGTTGTAGGAGTTATAAATGGGACTGCGCCAAACCCGGTTAGGCTTGGGGAGATGTGCCAGGAGCTAGGGATCGTTCTTGGTCGACCATCATGGCTACCAGTTCCTGACTTTGCACTCAAAGCTTTGCTCGGAGAAGGTTCCACTGTGGTTCTTGAAGGACAGAAGGTTCTACCTGTAAGAGCCAAAGAGCTCGGCTTTGAATTCAAGTACAAATACGTGAAAGATGCACTCAGAGCCATTATGCAGTAAGGTGACACATAGAGCATCGTTCGAGCATTAGATTTGGTCACAGTAAACAAGGGATTCTTTCTATATTTTGTCTGTTTGTTCTTTGAGTAAATTCGAGAGATGTATGTATTGGTAAAGTATTTTCCGTGATATCTCAGAGATATGATACCTGTAGAGGAACTCACAAGAAGAAGAAGATATGACTTGGTTCAAATCTATTTTCCTCAGACACAACTTCTTTCTCATCTATTGTGTTCTCGGTTCATAGTTGAGATTCAGTTTCCAAATCACAGACCCTCTTCGTCAGTCAATGACTTAGCTTCGAATTCATGAACAAGTATGTGAAAGAGGTGCTCAGAGTCTTATCTCCTGCAGTAAGAGGCAAGAACATGAAAGAGCAGAGAACTGAAGAAAGTTGCATTAAATCTGATAATAGAAAGCGATTTTCCCCCTCTCTCTCTCACATAGAACCAGAGAAGTAAAGCCAGAACTTTATTAAATTATTTGTTTTCTGATTCGAAGCACTAGTACTTATAATACACAACATGAGAGGATCATAAATAGTCTGAGCGAACTGATTGTGCGAGTTGATCAACCTCTCAATGAATATTTCTTTCCAGTGAAAGCTTGGAACTTAGGATCTTCTTTCTTCTCCTGTTCCTCCTGTTTTGTCTCTTTTCCAGCTCCAACCTGAAGAAAATTTTTTAAGAGGAACAATCATTTGTACTTGTCTCTCAATTCCATTGCAGTTTCTCATTCATCAAAAATGTTTATATGAATACCTTTGGAGCTTCTTTGGGAGTACGGTTTGCATTGGCACCAAACACAAGCTTTCCTTGAGCCTTTCGCGCAGATTTCTCTGAGCTACTTGCTACAGATGACTGTCCATTACCATTAGCAACAGCAGGTTGTTTGTCTTTTGAACTAGAGGATGAGAAAGAGGCAGGCGGGGGCTCATAGGAAAGAGGTCTCCCATCTAACCGTCGTCCAGATCCCGTGAAAGGGTTGAACTTTGGTTCAGGCTCAGCCACAACCTCCTCAGCTGTGAAATTTAGAAAGTAAGAAAACCCAATGATATATAACAACTAGAAGCTAAATAGTAACTCCATCTTACGATTCCATGTCCATTGTTACATACCTTTTGCCGGACCCTTAGCTGCAGCAGGTGCTGTGGGACGTTCAGGCTCCTTGTAATCAAGAGGAGGTGCAAAATCAACCTCACAGTCTGTTTCTATGATGCTGATTCCATTAGCAGGCTTTGTTTCAACTATATCTATAAAATATTTCTTATTGTTGTATGGAACCATAATGCTATCTCCAGTGGTTAGGCATGAGTAATTCCTCAAAGCAGTCTCCAAGCTGCAAGGTTCATTCAATCATCAGCAAGACACAGACGATATGGAAATACTTTTTAGACATTCTGCAAGCAATAATCAACATGAAATTGGGGAAAAGAAAGAAAAAAAGAGAGAACTAAATGAGGACTCACATGGCTTTTGGGTTAGATATATCCAGAAAGTCCGTAGTGTGGGGCTGTAGTTTAACATAAGTTCCCTTTGGAAGTGTGACATTTCTAACTCTCACAATGTCACCTTCTTGCAGTAGCAGATTCTGCATCATCTGGATTGGATCAAAGTAGCAAATAATTAGCGTATTGAAGCCGCATGATCCCCGAGTATTTCAATGGACAATCAAAAAGGAAACAGATACTTACCCAATATGGCATGTAAATCATGCCTTCTTCTGCAATGAACTCAAGGACTCCACAGTGAGACACACGTTCAATTCCAGCATTACGAAGCTCAAACAGCATCGGATAGTCAATATGCAAAGAGGCTGGAAATTTTCCTCGATATTAGCACTCTGATAATTGTTTTAAGTTTAACCCTTACTAAACAAAATTCAAAAGAGAAAGCAAGTAGTGGCATACCCAGACGATCAAGGGCTGATGGTGGCATTATAACTGAAAAACATTTTAACATAAGTCAAACTTCAAACTTGAACAAATGGAAATAGTAACATTGACTGGAAAACACACATCAGTGTCTAGATAACAAAAAAAAGTCTTACTCTTGTCTCCACTTTCGATTTGTGGCTGCAGGAAGAGAAAAGGAAACAGAGATTAGAAACTCGAAATTAAAGGTCAAGCATGAAGAATTCCAATCTCGAGTCTCAGCTTTGTTAAGAATTCAGACAGTGGAACATGAAGACGACAAAGATTTTAACATTACAAATTACTCCCAGGTTCAAGATATCAAATGAAAGAAGTAGACGGACGAAATCAAACCTTGTCAATAAAAGATGCCGGATAACACCGATAACTCTGCTCAAAGGTTGTGCCATGATAATGGTGGTATCCATCGAAAAACTGCATTGTGTTAAGTATTGGGGTTTAGACAAACCAGCGGATCATTAAGCTAGATTGAAAATCAACGGTTTTAAAAATAACCCTTTACGGCTAAAACCTGAAGAAGACACTTACCATAGTTTTGCTGGTGGACAAAAAGAGTAAGATAATGCAGGCAACCAAATTTCAACCTACAAACAAAGAAAATTCACACGAGTCAATTAGATGAATCACTGAGTGATTGGAATCAGAAAGTCCTAAATTTTAGGGTTTCATTACGCTAGCGAGAATGAACCGATAATCAATTGTGGGCAAACAATTCCATCCAGCCGGAGAATCAAATTCGGTGACTTTCCTAGATAACTAAAAACCTGATACCTCAAACTCGAATCTCCGCAACAGATAAGAAAACCTAAACTCGAAGAATGTCTAGAACCATCTAGAATTCACAAAATTTCACCTTTTGAAACCTACCCACCAACATCAAGATCCTTGGAAACCTAGATTATTCACCAATTCTTATAGGCCTCACCGAAAAAAAAAAAAAAAAAAAAGAAGAATCCGATCACAAATTCTGCTATATCGTATAAGCGCGAGGAGATCTATATACAAAACAAATCTGAGAAAACTTGGAATTGAAAGCTAGAGAGAGACGAAAACTAGGGAGAGTATCGATTGAGCTACCGACCACTAGAATCAATCAATTACCTGTGAGGGAGAAGAAAAGAAGAAGAAAAGGAAATTGATGCCCAACACAAGAAGAAGTTAACTTGGAATAATGTTCACGATTGATAAATATAGAACATACGGTGCGTATCGGGCCCTAGGATATTTTTTAGCCCATTGGGCCTAAGTGTAAGGTTTTGAGGCTTCATGAAGTTTTGAAACCATCGGATCAATCATCTTTAGTAACGTGTGCGTAGGCCAAAACAGTCGACTGAGAAACTCTCAATCTGAGCAGATATTTACCCAATCAGGAAGAGGAAGAAGAAGAAGAAGAAGAGCTGAAAATGGAGATAACACTCAACAGTGGCTACAAGATGCCGATCGTCGGTTTAGGAGTGTGGAGAATGGAGAAGGAAGGGATCCGAGACCTTATCATCAATGCCCTCAAGATCGGCTATCGCCATCTCGACTGTGCTGGTAACTATTGACTCTGTAACTCGTAACTTTTTTTCATTTCGGATTTTTTTGTTGCTTCGGGTTCGTCTGGAGATGTGAATAGAACACTGGGTTTGTTTTAACTTGTTGAAAGATGTAATTTTTTTACTTGGAAAAAGGCTATGATTTGGGTTTTCTAGTTCTAGCCTGTGAACATGTTAGCTAAGTGAATCCTCCTGAGCTAACCTCTATCAAGATCTTTGGATTTATCTGAAGTTATAAGTATTTGGAATCATCATACCCCAAAAAAAAAGTATCTGGAATCATGGAATGATCAAGTCTTTAGTTTTTAGTTATTTATATAAAAAGCTCGCAGAGCAAGTTTTGTCTCTGAGTATTATTTATGGGATTAGCTTTGTTCCATGTCTTTAAATTGGGAGTTTATGAGTCTTTTGCATCTTATTATGTAACATTGTTTCGGCGTGTTGGTGTTACTCGGTGTAGCTGATTATAAGAACGAAGCCGAAGTTGGTGAGGCTCTCGCAGAAGCATTCAAGACGGGTCTAGTCAAGAGGGAGGATCTCTTCATTACGACCAAGGTCGACACGGATTCTATTTCACCAAAATACATAGCTATCATCTTAATCGCTGGTTTTTAAGCTTGAATAATGAAAAAGGGAGAAACTTCTGAGCTCTGATCTGTCTTGGTTTCGCAGCTATGGAATTCAGACCATGGCCATGTTATTGAGGCGTGCAAGGACAGTCTCAAGAAACTTCAACTTGATTATCTCGACCTTTACCTCGTTCATTTTCCTGTAGCAACGAAGCACACTGGTGAGATATCTGCCTTATTCATGTATTATAAGTCTCAGGTAGAGACTAATGTATTTTTGTTTCACCCTCCTATCTTACCGGCCAATTTCAAGCTATTTACTGAAGTCTCTAACAATTAACTCACAGAATGATAAGCCTTAACATGTAAGCATTCCCCTCTCTATATGTGCTTGCAGGAGTTGGAACCACCGATAGTGCTTTGGGCGATGATGGGGTATTGGACATAGACACGACTATTTCTCTGGAAACTACATGGCATGACATGGAAAAGCTTGTATCTATGGGTTTGGTCCGCAGCATTGGAATCAGGTATAGGCTACTAACAAAGAAAATCATCTAAATATTTGGTTGTTACTTATCGAACTCAATGTGTGATGGATGTGTCGTTTTTATTGTAATCAGCCTCAAAACTTTCTCACAGTATCTTAACAACTCCTTTTGTTTAGTCGCTGGTTTCTGATTTTTGTTTTCTGACCATTTGGTTTTTGCAGTAACTATGACGTCTTTCTAACGAGAGATTGCTTGGCTTACTCCAAGATCAAGCCTGCAGTGAATCAGATCGAGACACATCCTTACTTTCAACGTGATTCTCTTGTCAAATTCTGCCAGAAGCACGGTATTTGTGTCACCGCTCATACTCCTCTAGGAGGTGCCACGGCGAACGCAGAGTGGTTTGGTACTGTGTCATGTCTGGATGACCCAGCTCTCAAAGTAAGCAAGCCGATCCTCTAAGTTTAGTTATATAGTTTTGATTAAAACAGTTAAAAGATTGAACTTTTGAGAGTTAAAAAGGACTTGGTTACTGATGAATCCTTCTTACGAATACAGGGAGTGGCCGAGAAGTACAAAAAGACAGTGGCACAAGTTGTCCTGAGGTGGGGAATCCAGAGGAACACGGTGGTGATACCAAAGACATCGAAACCTGAGAGATTGGAAGAGAATTTTCAGGTGTTTGACTTCGAACTGACAAAAGAAGACATGGAAGTGATCAAAAGCATGGACAGAAAGTACCGTACGAACCAACCGGCCAAGTTTTGGGGCATTGATCTCTACGCTTGATGATCTTATTCTTGTCTCTCTCTCTCTCTATCGACTATATGAATAAGAGAAGAAGCTATAGCTTCACTGGGACATTCTCAAATGTGTGTGAGCCTACATGAACTCATGTTATTAAAATGATTATGATTTCCCTAGTCTAAAAAGAGGAATATTTTATATCTTCTTTGTTTTTTATGCTATCCACAATTGAAGATCCTTCCCTTTTAAACGTGTACTTTGCACTGAGAGGAAATCATAATAAAAGACGAGTGTGACCTTGACCTTTGTACTTGTTTGGTAGTTCCGTCGTGGGTATTTTGGTAAATGTCAAATCAAGTATTGAGCTCTTTCTCTTTCTGCTTCTTCCCTTGCCTTTCTCTTACAGAGAGACACTATCTTTTGTTCTTCCTAGATCTTTCTTCTCAATAATCCATTGCCCATTTCTTCCACTACTCGAGAAATTCGTAAGCTTTCGCGCCCCCTTTTCGTTATCGAGTCTTGCTTCCAATTTGAAATTGTTTTCTTTCCACCCCGTTTTACATATTTTTTTTTTCGGAATTTCTGTTGCTTTGTAAGCTGACGACGCAAGCTTTAGATTGATTTCACCTCTTTGATCGTGTGACTTAATCTACACTGTTCGAATTTTCGTAATTGTTCTTTGTGACCTGTTTCCTAAGCGAGTTTAGATTCATTTTGGTGTATGCTAATGACGGAACCCTAACTGGGAAATGATACAAGAGTTTCGAATACGAGAAATCAGAGATTTGTCTTAAAGTTGAGATTTTTGCTTTGTTTTATTCTAATGGCTGCCAATTTGATGAAAGTAAACAAACTGCGAGCTCAGAGAGATCTTCGATTGCATTTCTGTGATAAATATCTGAAAAGTAATTCTGACTTGTCAATGTTGTTTCAGAGATCGAATCACAGTGTTTGATATTCTCTTTTGAAGATAAAAGAGGATGGAGAACGGTGGACAGTATGAGAATGGGCGGTACAAGCCAGATCACTTGAAAGGAGCACAATCTACTATGGTAAGATTGACAAAGCTTTGGTTTCTTTCAAATAAGAAATCTTCTTACTTTGATAGTTGTATCTAAGCAACGAATGTGTGTGTACAGTGGAATATGATGCCTCAGCATCAGATAAAAGAGCAGCACAATGCGCTTGTGATGAACAAGAAGATCATGTCCATCCTTGCCGAGAGGGACGCAGCTGTACAGGAAAGAAACCAAGCCGTCTCAGCTAAAAGGGAAGCAGTAGCAGCTCGAGATGAAGCGCTTCAGCAACGTGACAAAGCTCTCTCTGAAAGAGATAAAGCCTTGATAGAGAGAGACACTGCATTTGCTGCTCTTCAACACCATGAAAACAGCCTCAACTTTGCTTTGTCCGGTGGGAAGCAGCGCTATGACGTGGATGATGGTTTCAGTTTCGGAGAAACCCACAAGCCTGATGTCTTCCCTATAACGACCATTCCCGCAGAGAAGAAGGTGAGCAAAAGGAAGAAGCAAGGACAAGCAAAAGGAAAGAAAGTTGGTGAAGATCTGAACCGTGGAGTTGCTGCTCCTGGAAAGAAGAGTAGAACAGATTGGGACAGTAACGATGTGGGTTTGAACTTAGTCACCTTCGACGAGACGACAATGCCAGTGCCGGTGTGCACATGCACAGGATCAGCACATCAGTGTTACAAATGGGGAAATGGTGGTTGGCAATCGTCTTGCTGCACAACCACTCTGTCACAGTATCCATTGCCGCAGATGCCAAACAAGAGGCATTCTCGAGTGGGCGGTAGGAAAATGAGCGGAAACGTTTTCTCCAGATTGCTAAGCCGTTTAGCAGCGGAAGGATATGAGCTCTCTTGCCCTGTTGATCTTAAAGACTATTGGGCTAGGCACGGGACTAACCGTTACATCACTATCAAGTAGCCTCTACGGTTTTACAAATCCAAAAGCTGTATGTTTTTTTAGTTGGATGGGGTCAACTGCCCCAGTAAAAAAAATTAAGTAGTGTATGTTTTTAAGGATAATTATTGCTCTCATATCAAATAATATATTTTATTTTCTTCATTTTGTTCAGTTAAATCAATTTTTTCCAATATATTTGAGTTTTATCTTTCAAATTTGATGGTTAAATTACTTACTTTAGAGTTTTTCCTCTTAAAATCACTTGTATATTCATTTATAGATTTTAGATTATTAGTCAATAAATATGTCACACATAATATTAACACATATATATCTAAATGTTAACATATACAGAAACAATAACACATTTTTTTCTTACACCTTTATCAATTTATGCAAAACTTATAAGATTTTAAACTTTAGCACTTTTAAATAAGTTAGCACAGTTAAATTTTATGAAATATTTTTGTAAGGCTAACTATTTGTAAGTTACATTGCAATAAAAAAAATCAAAATAATTAGAAATATTGAAAGTATTCATCATATATGCACAGTAATTAAAAAAAAAAAGGTATGGACGGTGATTTTAGGGTTTTGGGGCTGGCTGATCATAGTGCAACTATGATGGAAATTGGAGAGAAGGAGAGACCACCGGATAAACCACCGAATTTATCTGGATCGTGGGCGAAGATGGTTAGAGGCTCGAGTGTTGGGGGAAGGCCGAATCCAGAGGAGGTTTTGAATGATGAGTTTGTCTCGGCAAGATTGAAGGTGGAGTTTCCGAATGGGGAGGATGGTGAACCAGTGGTGACGATAGAGAAAGAGGTACTGGAAGCGATGCATGGCCTGTGGAAGAACTGCATGATAGTGAAGGTTTTGGGAAGGAATATCAATATCGCAGTTCTAAACCGGAAACTTAAAGAGATGTGGCAACCTAAAGGGTCGATGTTTGTCATTGATTTACCCAGGCAATTCTTTATGGTTCGGTTTGGATTGGAGGAGGAGTATATGGCAGCATTGACAGGAGGGCCATGGAGGGCTTTTGGGAGTTATCTTACGGTGCCAGCTTGGTCGCCTGAGTTTGATCCGCTGAGTGACAACATTGTTACAACACCTGTTTGGGTTCGATTGTCTAATATCCCAGTGAATTTATACCATAAGTCAATTCTGATGGGGATAGCAAGGGGATTAGGGAAGCCTATTCGTGTGGATGATACCACTCTCAACTTAGAGAGGGCAAGATTTGCGAGAGTATGCGTCAAGGTGAATTTAGCAAAGCCATTGAAGGGAACGGTTCTCATTAACGGGGAGAGATATTTTGTAGCCTATGAGGGTTTGTCAACAATTTTCTCTTGGTGTGGTATGTATGGGCATCTTGTGCATACTTGTCCTCAGGGGTCAACAAAGAATGTGAATGACGTTAGTGCTCCGCATGGAGGTAGTGGCGGGATTGCAAACAAGGAACCAGATGATGGTTTCACGGAGGTGAGGAGAACAGGGAGACAGAGTCCGGTGTTATCGAGCCAGATTGTTTTTACGGCGGGAGGAGCTTAGCAGGAGGAAAGTCGGAATTTATGCGAGATCCCGCAAATCATGGGGGAGAAAGTATCATAATTTCGAATCGATTTGGAAATTTGGAGGAGGATTAGGATACTGCAGAATTAGGAAATACAGTTAATAGGGATGTGGAGGATAAGGAAAACCATGTTATGGTGAATAAACAGAGGAACATTAAAAGTAGGGAACAAGGAATGGACGTGAGACGTGGAGGGGCTTCGGGTAAGCAAAAGAATGGGCTAAAAGTTGGGCCGGTAGATCAAAGAGAGTGAGTCAAAGGCCCAACGAGACTGGGAGACAAAAGGCCAAAGGCAATTCAAATAGGCCCATGAGGGGTCTGGTTTTTGGGACGACGAAAGGAGAGTTGCATTTGTCTACTTCTGGTAAACGACTTCGTGTCGAGAAAGAGAATGCAGGAGAGAGAGGTGGAGTGTTTGCAACAGACCAAAGTGGGGAGATGGGTAGCAAAGATCTACGACATTCTCGTTTAGAGACAGCAAGTGTATCGGAAACAAGCTCTATGCAGTTCGAAGGGAGCTTGCGGACGAATGTGGAAAAGGCTCATGGGGCATAACGGGTTGCCCCGGTAATTCTTTGGATTATTAAACATCAAGTATCGATGAATTGCTTATTGTGGAATTGCCGGGGGGCGAATAAACCCAATTTTCGGAGATCAATTCGTTATATGTTGAAGAGATATAAGACGAATGTATTAGCCTTGTTTGAAACTCATGCGGGGGGAGATAAGGCGATGAACATTTGTTGAGGTCTTGGTTTTGAGAAGTCTTTCCGAGTAGATGCAGTTGGGCAGAGCGGGGAATATGGTTACTGTGGAAATCCGAAGTGGGGGAGATTGACATTATTTTGTCAACGTCTCAGTTTGTACATGCACGAGTTACGAATGGGTTGGACGTGGTGCACTTGATTGTCGTATATGCTGCTCCGACAGTAAGTCGACGGAGTGGTTTATGGGGTGAGTTGAGCCAGGTGATTAGGGGAATCAATCAACCCCTTTTTATTGGTGGAGATTTCAATACTATCCTGCGGCTTGATGAGAGAACTGGAGGGAATGGGAGGTTGTCACCGGATTCTTTAGCCTTCGGAGATTGGTTGAATGAGCTCTCTTTGATTGACATGGGTTTCAAAGGAAGTAAATTCACATGGAAACGAGGCCGAGTGGAGGGTACCTTTGTGGCTAAGAGGTTGGATAGGGTACTATGTTGCGCCCAAGCAAGATTAAAATGGCAAGAAGCGATCGTTACTCATTTGCCTTTTTTATCCTCCGATCATGCTCCAATCCATATGCAGCTGGTTCCAGAAACTAGAGGAAATCCGCGTAGGAGACCCTTTAGATTTGAAGCTGCTTGGCTGAAGCACGAGAGTTTCAAGAGTTGCTCGCAACATCCTGGAATGGAGGTATTAGTACACCGGAAGCACTTAATAGACTTCGTATGTCTTTGAAGAGATGGAATAAGGAGGTTTTTGGAGATATACACCAGAAGAAAGAGAGATTGATACACGAGATCCAGGAGGTTCAAACTTCTTTAGAATTGAACCAAACCGATGTTCTTTTGGCAAAGGAGGACGAGTTGCTAAAAGAATTTGACACCATCTTGGAACAAGAAGAAGTTTTGTGGTTTCAAAAGTCGAGGGAGAGATATATAGTTCTGGGTGATCGGAACACCAAATTCTTTCATACTACGACTATTGTGCGCCGTAAGAGAAACAAGATTGAGAGTTTGAGAAATGATGAGGGTAGATGGATTTCGGAGGGAAAAGAGCTTTAGGAGCTGGCGATCAATTATTACAAGCGATTGTATTCTATGGACGATGTGGATGTAGTTGTGGAGAGTTTGCCGCAGGAAGGGTTTGTCGGGTTAAATGGAGGAGATTTCCGAGAGTTGAATAAACCCTTCTCGGCTTCAGAAGTCGAGGTTGCAATCAAGAGTATGGGAATATATAAAGCTCCAGGGCCGGATGGTTTCCAACCGGTATTCTATCACATTTGTTGGGATGTCGTTGGGAACTCAGTAGTTCGGTTCGTCTTGGACTTTTTTGAGACAGGGATTCTACTGAGTGGAACTAATGATGCGATTGTGGTGTTAATAGCAAAGGTGTTGAAACGAGAGAAAATTATGCAGTTCTGCCCGATTAGTCTATGTAATGTTTTATTCAAAATAATTACAAAGACTATGGTTATACGGTTGAAGCATATAATGGAGAAGCTGATAGGGCCAGCTCAATCAAGCTTTATACTAGGGAGATTAAGCTTAGATAATATTGTGGTGGTACAAGAAGCTGTACACTCAATGAGACGTAAGAAAGGAAAGAGAGGATGGATGCTCCTGAAACTTGATCTACAGAAGGCCTATGATCGCATTAGATGGGATTTCCTGGAGGATACGCTTCGAGCGGCTAGACTTCCAGAGTCTTGGATACGGTCGGTTCTCATGTGTGTTAAGGAGCCAAAGATGAGCTTGTTGTGGAATGGAGAGAATACGGATGGTTTTACACCGGCTCGGGGTCTAAAACAAGGGGATCCACTTTCCCCATATGTCTTTGTCTTATGTATGGAGAGGCTTTGTCACCTCATTGAAGAATCGGTTGGATTGAAGACATGGAAACCGATTAGTCTGTCTCGGGGTGGCCCGAAATTATCCCATATATGCTTTGCGGACGACTTAATCCTTTTTGCGGAAGCATCGGTGGGTCAGATTCGAGTTATTCGGAGTGTACTCGAACGATTCTGTAATGCGTCGGGACAGAAAGTCAGTTTAGAGAAGTCAAAGATCTTTTTTCTCGAACAATGTTGATCGAGACGTCGAGAAGGCAATAAGCGACGTGAGCGGTATCCAATCGACAAGAGAGTTGGGGAAATATTTGGGGATTCCGGTTTTACAAAGAAGAATTAATAAAGAGACTTTTGGGGAGGTTCTTGAGAAAGTATCGTCGCAGTTGGCAGGATGGAAAGGGAGGATGTTAAGCTTTGCTGGTATAGTTACTTTGACAAAATCAGTTTTAGCTTCGATACCGGTGCATACGATGAGTGATATTGCTTTACCATAGTCTATTTTAAAAGGTCTAGAGAAAGCCTCAAGATCTTTTGTCTGGGGTAGCACGGAGGAGAAGAAGAAACAGCACCTATGAGCTTGGAAAAAATTTTGTCGCCCGAAGAGAGCAGGAGGGTTGGGTATAAGGAGAGCTTCGGATATGAATAAAGCGCTCCTTGCAAAGATCAGGTGGAGATTGCTGAAGGAGGATACGAGCCTATGGGCTCAGGTATTACGCAGCAAATATAAGATTAAAGATGTTAAAGATCCATCATGGCTTGCGACCAAAGGTAACTGGTCGATCACATGGAGAAGTATACGGCTAGGTGTGAGAGAAGTGATCTTTCCAGGAGTGATTTGGTGTCTTGGAGATGGACATACGATCAGTTTTTGGAAGGACAAATGGCTCTTGCATGAGCCCCTTTCAGAGATAGTAATAGGGGAAGTTCCGAAGGATTTACAGGATGTTTGTGTTTGAGATATGTGGAGAACGGGTATGGGATGGAAAATGGATCGTATCGCTCAATATGTACCTGCTCACATACGGTTACAGCTTACATCTATGGTGGTTGATGATGTAACGGGCGCTAAGGACAGGCTGTCTTGGGGCGCAAATCAAAGTGGGGATTTCTTGGTCAGCTCGGCGTATGATCTTATCACGAGAGAGGTGACTCATGGGGTGAATATGCAGAGTTTCTTTGATCGGGTTTGGGAGGTTTTGGTACCCGAGAGGGTTAAAATGTTTATTTGGTTGGTGGTTCATCAGGTAGTCATGACAAATAAGGAGAGACATAGAAGACATCTCAGTGATACGAGCACTTGTCCGGTTTGTAAGGGAGGAGAGGAGTCAATCCTCCACGTACTGTGTGACTGTCCCGCAATGGAGGGGATTTGGAGGAGAATTGTCTCGCTGCGCCACCAACGGGAATTTTTTGGACAATCTTTACTCGAATGGATTTATATAAGCTTAGGAACGAATCGAGATGTTTACTTAATGGCTTGGTCGACGATCTTTGGGATGGCTATTTGGTGGGGATGGAAATGGAGGTGTGGGAATGCCTTTGGAGAGAAAAGAAGATGTCGTGATTGGACTCGTTTCATCAGAGAGTTGAGTAAGGAAGTGTATGGGCTACATGTGAAGGAGACGGGTCGAACAAGTCTAAGTTTGCGAGTTGAAAGACAAGTTGCGTGGTCTATGCCGCAAGATGGTTGGTTCAAGTTAAACACGGATGGAGCGTCACATGGGAATCCGGGTTTGGCTACAGCTGGCGGAGTCTTGCGGGATAGTGAGGGGAACTGGAGGAGTGGGTTTGCGCTGAATATTGGCATTTGCTCGGCTCCGTTAGCCGAGTTATGGGGAGTGTATTACGGGCTCTACATTGCTTGGGAGCAGTGAGTTACACGAGTGGAGCTTGAGGTGGATTCAGAGATTGTGGTGGGCTTCCTTACGACAGGGATTAGTGATGCTCACCCTCTGTTATTCCTAGTACATTTGTGTTATGGCTTTTTAGCGAAGGACTGGATTGTCCGAATCAATCATGTGTATAGGGAGGCTAATCGTCTTGCAGATGGATTGGCGAACTATGCATTCTCTCTACCGTTAGGTTTTTTTCTGTTACAATCTACTCCAGAATGTGTTCATGAGATCTGGGTGGATGATGTTAATGGGTTTACACGACCGCGACTTGTGCGGGAGTGATTCTTTGTACGATTTTTCTTAAATAAAACAAGGGAGACACTTTGTCTTCCCTCTTCGTACCAAAAAAAATAATATGCACAATAGTTTGTTTGATGAATGTGGTAATTTACTAATTAAAGTACAACATATCAAAAATAAAAATGTGTGTACTTTGTTTGTACACATTTTTTTATTAATTATTTTGTAGAAAACATTTATAGAAGCAATGTGAAAAATATATAATGTATTAGTAAGTTTTGATGGTTTTTCCCCTAGTCAAAAATTTTTCCGTCATTGACCAATCTCAATAAACATTTTGTATAAGATAGAGAAAGAGAGCCATACACAGAAGATTGTGGTACCAATTGCGCTAGGTAGGTTGTCTGTGAGCCATGAGAGCACACAGGTACAGACCGCAGTGATTCAGTACAAATAGGATGCACGAGCGAATAGAATCCTGGTGAATGAAATAAAACGCTAGGAAAATAGAAGCATGGATGACCAAACAAATGCAATACGCCGTGCGAAACCTCTGAATGTAGGGATGAGCACCCCGGGCTTGATTTGCTAGCTTATCGTCTACGTCCACGCCGAATATCGAGAATATCCCAGCCATGGTGGTCGCTAGAACGCCGTGGAAACAATGGTGAGCATTGAGCGAACCATTTCTCTCTGTGTGGAAACAAATTTTGCGATTTACAGAAATTAATTTACTATCATTAATCTAATGAAGTGTTAATTAATTATATATACTAAGTGGATCGAGGACGTGTCAGATTTGATTTTATTACTTGAGCTATACGTACATATATATATATGTAGTTATTTCTCTCAATGATATATGGATTGCTGACATGTTGCCGCTTTGGCCGTTGGATCTGAAAGGATTTTAACGGGTTTCTGTGTGGGTGTGGGTGGGGGCGGGAAAAAGAAAAAAATAGAATACAGGATTTGTATATATAAAAGCTGAATTTCTACTATCCGATTTCAGCCATTTGCTAGCTTAATGATTTTTTATGGCCTTACAATCAAAATGGCAAACACTAAATATTTGTTTCTAGCTAATATGATCTGTATTTAGAGCAAAATGGTGGGAAAGTGCAAATGTGTTATGAAAGATATACTTCTCTTTGTTGCTTTGTGTCACCTTCTATATGTAAATAATTTTGTTTTTTGAAATTGTTTATAAAGTGTTTGAAATGTTTATTTGTGTAAAATATATAATGTATTCGTAAGTTTTTAAGGATAATTATTGCTGTCATATCAAATAATATATTTTGTTTTCTTCATCTTGTTCAGTTAAATCAATGTTTTCCAATATAATTGAGTTTTATCTTTCAAATTTGATGGTTAAATTACTTGCTTTTTTCTCTCAAAATCACTTATCTTCATTTATAAATTTTAGATTATTTAGTCAATAAATATGTAAACATATCACACATAATATTAACATACATAGGTTAACATATTTATGCCAAATTTATAAGATTTAAACTCTAGCTCTTTTAAATAAGTTAACGCAGTTCAATTTTATAAATCATGTTTTTCTATAAAACTAATTATTTGTAAGTTAACATTGTAATAAATTTCTTCCAAAATAATTAAAAATGCTGAAAGTATTCATCATATATATAGTAATTTGTTTGATGAATGTGGTAAAACTAATTAAAGTATATCAAAGACAAAAATGTGTGTGCTTTGTTTGTACACATTTTTTGTATTGTTGATTTTCTAGAAAACATTTATAGAAGCCAGAGGCAGAGAAAAATTAGAGAGATGAAAAGTGTAAGTGACAGATTTTCTTTTATGTCAAACCATTTTTGCCAATTCAGTTCAAAATATAATTAACATTTTGGAGTTCGTCATACACAAGGACCTCTGGACAAATTTAAGACAACACTTAACCCTTGAGACGAAGAAGAAAAAAAACTAGTGTCAGAGCCATAAAAAAAAATTTGACTAAGGGAAAAACCATCAAAACTTACGAATAAGTTATATATATTTTATATGGCTTCTCTCTCTAAGTGAGAGAAGGAATAAAATTGCAGTCTCAGATCTGCAGTTCTGGCGGCTTCCACAGCACCGAGGTTGTGTTTTTTAGTTGTTTATTATTGTAATCGGGTTTTGTAACTTTTATTTTATAGAACTGATTGATTTTCGGTATTAATTTTAAAAATCTGTTTGGATTTGCTCGAAAATTCTTAGATCCTTCTAGGTCTGTGTTTTGCTGCTCATTTGGTGTCTCTTCTTCAATCTTTGTGTCAGATCTGGCCAAATTCTTTTTCAGCATAGACGGTCCTACGGTTCCTTTTCCATCTGAGATGTAGAGGTTTTCATCATGGTTGGCTACTTCTTGCTTCTATCTCTCATGATGAGTAAAGTGCTCCTTGAATCGTCGATGGCTCTGCTTCATCTTTCCCGGAGCAATATAAAGAGGTTATATTGCCGTCTCATCCAGTTCTTTCTTGTAGTTATAAGGAGTGTTTTGAATCTGATTCTGATTGGTATTGCTCTAATCTAAGATTTGGCTTCTGTGTTTTGGATCTTTGATTTTCGGCTTGTATCTTCTCAAATTTTTTGTTTCTTCTGTAATTCAATATTGTCTTTAAAGGCTTAATAATTTTTTTTTTTTTTGATGTTTCTTAGTTTTTCCGGTCTTTGGAGCTTTGTCTCCGAAAGTTTGGAACCTGCCGGCTTAGTATTTTACCTGTATTTCTGCCGGCTTAGTATTTTACCTGTATTCCTGCCGGCTTAGTATTTTACCCGTATTTACCCGTATTCCACCAATGTATTCTACGTTGTATTATTTCTTGTATTCTGTTTTGATGTATTAATGAAAATTAGATTAAAAAAAAATCTGTTTTTTACTAGGAAAAAACCAAATCTCAACAGTCAAGATTACGATATCTTTTTTTTACCACTATACTAGTTTTTTTTTTTTTTTTAAATCTCAACAGAACAGTGAAGTTTAAGAATTAGTGATTGGTTTATATAATAACTTTAACGAGTCACCTACTCACCTTTCGAGTGTTCCTCGAGAAAACAAAAAGAAACTGAGATGAAGAAAGTGGAGACCCTTTCGCAGCCGGCAGAGACTGTTGGTTGGGTGGCCAAAACGAGAGCATTCTTGGAAATTCCGAATCCGGCGATCGTAAGAGTATTCGGGATAAGCAGCTTCGCAACGTTCGCATCAGGAATTGCCTTAGCCATTGAGTGGTTATGTCACGGAAAGAGCCACAGTGGATTCGTGTGGATCATTTACTACGCATTGTTCTTGATATGTCTTCCTCTTCTCATCTTGATTGGTCTACGTATCTTCATGGCTAGCCGCGGCGGCTCAAGTCAGATTGCAGACTCAGTCGCAGCCAAAGAACCGTGTGTTGACGTTCCCAAGGCTCAGCCTGTGGAGAGAAACAGTTGCCGGAGTTTAGCTGTTGTGGTTGAATCGGACGAAATGAAGAACATAGACAACAAGACGCCAAGGATGAAACGTGCCGTTTCGTTCCCGTCCCACGGCAAAGTAAGATCATGTCGTACTCGTTAGAAAGATTTAAAAATTCTAGGTTTGTTTAGTCTAAGTATTCAGATCAATTCGGGAATCTAATAATCTGTCTGTGAAATGTCATTTTTTTAATTAAAAAAAAAAATCTTCTTTGTTTCAATATGATTCAAGGAAGGATCTTCAGAAAATCGAATTTAGAGTCCATTTTCCTCATTTTTTTTTACTTTTTTTTGTTTGTTCAAAATGCATATGGGTCCATGTTGCTGAGTGAATGTCGTCTATCGGTTGTAGCAACCCCCACGTGGGAAGACTTCTCGGAGAGTTTCAACGATTAGCTTTTTTTGTTTGGAGAGAGAGAGAAAAAGATGACTGGAAAGGAATAAAAGAAAAATTCCATCTTCGTACCTTTTGACCCTACACATGCACGTACTTAGCTTTATGATATAATATATATTACGAAGAAACCTAAAATATGTATATTGGGACGTGCATGATGGTAGAGCGGGTCTTTGGATATGGAAAAGATCTTCAAACTTAAGATACAAGCAGATGTATAATGAGAGAAGTATGTATTCTGTTCTTATCAAGAGTAGCACGTGCGAGAGAGAGAGAGAGAGTGCAAAAAGGAAAATTTATGATTAGTTTGTTACAGAATGTATGTACAGATATATAGTTTTTGTATACATATATTGCTATACAGTTAGCTTCATAATAATAACTTATGCCAGCTCACTAATACTCATAATATATAGTTCTGATTTGATAAATGGCTTCACAGTATACGTAGGATATTGTTGAGAATAGATAGGACCACGTACGAAACTATATATCTGTACATAGATTCTGTAATGATAGTAAAACTAAAACAAAAACAAAAACAAAAACAAAAACAAAGACGATTCCCTATTTAAAACCTAACAAATTAAAACACAACACGTTAGATAGCTTGGAAGCAAACTTTCGGGTAAATATATTTACTTGGTGCTCATTTGATCTTAATTTTTTTCTGGATTTTTTCCAGGTCCACTTCCACAAGGACCACAACAACTCTGGCCATATCTGGAAAATGATTAACATATCTGTTTTAACGAGAGTCATGCATCGGCATTAAATTCGTAACTTCCTAATTTATTTTTACCTTTTTGACGTTTATTACCTAAATAAATACAAATTGTACAATTGTGTTCTTTAAAAAAAAATTACAATTATAGAAAAAAAAATTGACACTTTATAGTTTTTTTAATTCTTATAAAACAGGTCCTTTATAAATGAAATATTAGAATGGCTTTTGAAATAGTGTGGCTTTCGTGATGATATACTAGTTATGGATATAAGAAAGACAACAAATTAACAGCATCTAATTGTAGGAAATATAATGAAATAAAACAATTATGCATCCAAAATCTAAGAAGATACGATAAGAAAATCCAACATTGGTATATAGACAACATATAGATGTATATTTCATCCCATGGCTCTCTTAGAATGTAGATGCATAGTTTGATAAAGCTTATAAAAACATGTACATGGTCAAAATCTAAAATGATAGGAATGATAAAAAAAATTCACCTTTGATAATGTATCATATAAATAATGTATACAAAAATTTTATACTTCAAAACTCATCAGTAGGAAAAATAAATAACGTGCCTAAATATTTTGAAAGCAAAAGTAAATTACGCACCTAAATTTAAATTTGACTAAGTAGTAAATAGATTTTCACTTTTTTTACTTAAAAACATGTGATTGATTTTAGTTTAACTTTGAGAATACTTTGTGATAAGAGTAATATGAAAATCTATGGCTATAAATCCCCTAAATGGAGTTAGTGAAGATAAAAAATCACTGAATCCATAGATGTGGGGAGGGTGGTGAATGTTAAATTATCCCTCTTATCCGCATGAGATTCGTGCATTCCATTTGGCGTTTGCGTAGTGCTAATTACAAATATAAATAGCTCGTGCAAAGGTGATTAGAAGATAACCAATTTCGTTTTTAACTGTTACGTAGCCTTTGATTGAATGACTCCACTCCATTGTTGAAGCTGACAGGTATTCTTACTGCTTTTCCTTTTACTTTCTTATACAAAAGTTTCAGTCTTTTTCTTTATTATTCTTGCTTTGTTTTGTTTCGTTTTGTTTTGTGTTGTTTCTCTTAGTCTGACAGTCTCTGACACTCACTGTTCAACAACTCGAATATGATTTTGTCGATTAGAAACGAAAAAAAGCAACGATCTTTATATGATTCCATATAGGGGTTTTTGTTGTGTGTGTGTGTTTCTCTTATCACTGTAACTATATTATCCCATTTATCTGTTGAATTGGTTCGGTGAGAAAATTAGTGATAGAGACTTTCTTACACAAAAGTTTCAGTCTTTTTTTTATTATTCTTGTTTTTTTTTTTTCTTTTTGTTTTGTTTTGGATTGTCTCTCTTAGTCTGATAGTCTCTGACACTCACTGTTCAACAACTCAAATTTGATTTTTTCGATTAGAAACGAAAAAAAGCAACGATCTTTTTATGATTCCATATAGGGGTTTTTGTGTCTGAGTGTTTCTCTTATCACTGTAACTATATTATCCCGTTTTATCTGTTGATTTGGTTCGGTTGAGAAAATGAGTGAAAGAGACGAGTATATCATGATGCAGAGACTCCGTTGTATCGATGAATCCTCAAGACGATATCACTCCCTTAAGCTCTAGTTCCATCCACTCCACCCAAATCCCGGCTCCTTCTGCCAATGGCGGCGCGGCCGGAGGAAGTGGGAAGAGAGCCGGCGTGCCGCCGTCTCCCCGGAGCTTGATCCCACCCCCTTCGCCGTATTCTCAGATCCCGACGACCCGTCAGCCAATCGCGTCGCAGAATTTCACCCCCGGACCCATGTCTCAGTACTCGTCGCCTTTCTTCTCATACGATTCCTTTCCGCCGCCGCCGCCGCCGTACAGAGACTCTCCGTCAGCATTGCCTCCGATTCCGTTCGCGAGAGGCTCCGGCTCCGGCAGTAGTGGTCTGCCGCCGAGAAAGGCTCATAGAAGGGCCAACAGTGATAATATCATCAGTGGGTTGAATGCGATGTTGGCTCAGAACACTCCGAGATTGATCTACCCGAAGCCAATACATATGCCTGTTGGGGTTGGTGTGGAGAGTTCAAAGGAAGGAGACGAGCTCTCCAATGGAGATGACGACGACTTGGAGAGAAGCAGCAGCGACCCTGATGCTACTGATGAGCAGACTGTGTCCAAAACAACCACTACCTCGGGTGTTAAGAGAAGAGCAGGCAAAGAGATTGCTACTTCAACCAGACTTTGCAGGAGTGTTTCAATGGATACTAGTCTCAATGACCAGACGCAGCCAAAGCTGCCTCCTTCTCCTAGGAATCTCCAGGTTACCATTCCTGTTAGAGACGACGTGTTTACTGAGGCTGAGATGATTAAGATTCAGGCCAGTCGCAAACTCAAACTGCTCGCTGCATCTGATCCAAAGAATGTCAAAAGGTATGCGAGATTCCGGTCTTTTTTTTCCTCGGTTATATGATGTTAATGTCTGGTTTTGTTGTGACATTGATTTGTCCATATGATCCTCTCTCTCTCTCTCTCTCTCTCTCTCTCTCTCTCACAGAATCTTGGCTAACCGGGAATCAGCTGCACGTTCAAAGGAGAAGAAGGCGCAGTACATGAACAAGTTGGAAAACAAAGTAGAGTTTTTGCAGACTCAGGCTGTTACTATGTCTTCAAAGGTCGCGCATTTGGAGGTGAGACAACACATCACATTACACACTTATATCATGTCTAAAACCGGTTCCTGTAAGATACTACTTTGTTAAGTTTTGTATTTGTTGTTTGCCTGCAGAGAGTTAATCTGGTGATGGAAAACGAGAACAGGGAACTGAGGATTCGTCTTCAAGGATTGGAGCAGCAGGCGCAACTTCGTGATTGTACGTCATTTTCAATCTTTGCTATTGACCTCACTCATATAGTAACACCTAATTGTCGAAACATCTATAACCTTTAGTGTTCTACTTTGTTACCATTTCAAGATATCTGACTCGAATAAACCCGGTAGTTAAAAAGGTTTACCTCGATATCCTGTTGATTTGCATTGAGCAGGAGATACTATAGTAACTATGGCTGCTAGATCTTCATTATATGCCATCATTTTCATTTAGTAAAGAAAGACCTAAACATATTGCCATGTTTAGAAATAACTTTTTTTTTTTAATTAGGGTAAAGCAGAGATCCTATTAACCAGGAAATATGTTGTCTTCACATTGTTATAATACCCCCTAAGACTTAAATGTTTCCCCTGTATTAATTAGTAACATTTCCATGATCCGTAACTGTGGAATTTGTGTGTTTTTGATTTCCTCTGTTATTGCAGCCTTGATCGGACAACTGACTGGAGAAGTTCATCGGCTGAAGGTGGCGACAGGCGAAGTAGTGAACCAAAACTTTGGCGAAACTGACGGAACAAATATGCAACCAGTGAACGCAAATATGCAACCAGTGAACGCAAACATGTTCGAGCAACTCAACCTCAACAACCAGTTACATCAGCCGCAGACAAATCCCGATTTCCAGTGAACAGGTCAATGGAAGTTGAGAGACTTGGTGGCGTATTGGTAAATCCTGTAGGATATTGGTATCCGTATCAAGTTATAGTTTTTTTATAAAAAAAAAAAAAGAAAAAAAAAAGTTGTTTCAGTTTTATCTATTTAATGTGCAGGGTCATGTTGAGTAAAGAAAATCTATCTAGTTATTGTCTCAGAAAGAAAAATTCAATTTATAGGAGATAGATAGATAGATAAGAAATTGATTTGTAATGGTGAGGCTTTTGAAAAAAGCTTCAGACAATGTGATCTCTTGTACAATATGTCTGGTTTGTTTTATCCATAAAAAAATAACAATAATAAAGCTGGGTCCTTTAATTTTTTATTTATCCAAATGTTAGTATTTCAGAGAAAACAACATAAATAGACGAAAGTGGTCATCTCGGATGTTCCTTTTTCCGACCAGTCGATGATTGTTTTGGTCAACGTTTCAAAGAGACGTCTTTTGTTGCTTCTTCGCTATTTGCGCCATTGATTTGGTGAAGAGAAGACCAGAAACAGAGAGAGAGATTCGCATTCCATTTCCTTCCTTGCAGGTCAAATTTCTTTCTTGATTTTCTCTTCTTCGGTTTGGTAAATCAATTACTGTGCGTTGATCTTTGTTTCTCCCCAAACTTTCTCTATTTTCTTTACCATAATAGTTTGGTTTTTTTAATCTATCCTCACTGTTCACCATCGCAAGCTTCGAGCTTTTAGGGTTTTTGGTTCTTCAAAGTTGTGACTTTTTTTAACATTTTGTTTCTCAGAAAATCCAAGATAAAATGGGTGATACGGATACCAATATGATGCAGAGAGCTAATTCATCGTCTGGTACTTCGTCTTCGTCGATCCCAAAACAACAGTCGGTGACGGTGCCGATTAATCAGCACTTGAGTCCTGCTCTTATCCGCTCCCCGCACTTCCGACAGCCTTTCGGCGGCGGTAATAACGGCGCCGGTAATAGAGTCGGAGCTCCGCCGCCGATTCCCCCCATTTCTCCCTACTCTCAGATCCCGGCGACCTTACAGCCCAGACATTCCCGGTCTATGTCGCAACCGTCCTCCTTCTTCTCCTTCGATTCCTTGCCGCCGTTAAAGCCCACTCCGCCGATGGAGGAGAGAACCGGCGCCGGGTTCAGCCCTTCGCTGCCTCCGTCACCGTTCACGATGTGTCATTCGAGCTCTAGGATCACCGGCGATGGCGAGAATCTACCGCCGAGAAAGTCTCATAGGCGTTCGAACAGCGATGTGACATTTGGGTTTAGTTCGATGATGGGTCAGAGTCAGAAGTCGCCTCCTTTGATCCCCGCGAGGTCTTTAGAGAGATCCATCTCCGGCGGAGGAGAGGTATCGGATTGGTCTAATCTGGTCAAGGAAGAGCCAAGAGAAGGCTTCCTCAGGGGAAGAAAACCAGAGACTGAAGCTATGGACGATGTTTTCACGGCTTATATGAATCTTGATAACATTGATGTCTTGAATTCTTTCGGAGGTGGTGAAGATGGCAAGACTAGTAATGAGAACGTGGAGGAGATGGAGAGCAGCAGAGGCAGCGGCACGAGGAAGACGAATGGTGGAAGTTGCAGTGATTCTGAAGGAGAGAGCAGTGCGTGTGGGAACGTTAAGGTTGCTGTGGCGGCGAGCTCTTCAGGCGTGAAGAGAAGAGCCGGCGGAGATATTGCTCCGACTAGTAGACATTACCGGAGTGTTTCAATGGACAGTTGTTTCATGGGGAAATTGAATTTCGGTGATGAAAAGCTTCCGCCTTCATCATCAGCAAAAGTTTCCCCGACCAATTCAGGGGAAGGGAATTCGAGTGCTTATAGTGTAGAGTTTGGAAACAGTGAGTTTTCTGCAGCTGAAATGAAGAAGATTGCAGCTGATGAGAAACTAGCCGAGATTGTGATGGCTGACCCTAAGCGTGTGAAAAGGTAGATAGAGAGATAGTGATGCTTCATTTGATGATTATGTTGTTGTTGTTGTGACGAGACTCTTTGTTTTAGAATCTTGGCGAACCGTGTATCTGCTGCACGCTCAAAGGAGCGGAAGACGAGATACATGGCAGAGTTAGAACACAAGGTGCAGACGCTGCAGACCGAAGCTACTACATTATCAGCCCAGCTCACACATTTGCAGGTGAGAAACACACAAGTCCCACAAAAATGTCCTCTTTGGATACATCATCACTAGTCTTATAATAATGTTTTTCCGTTTTTCGGGTTTCAGAGAGATTCAATGGGGTTGACAAACCAGAACAGTGAACTCAAGTTTCGTCTTCAAGCTATGGAGCAACAGGCACAACTCCGGGATGGTACGCACTTTATGTTATCTTCATTCTCTTAGATTAAGGTTGCTGCGTCGCTTTAGTGTTGTTTTGTATTAGAACTCCGTGGAACCAACTCAGTGTCATGTCCTTGGCCTAACGCGATAATAGATCTCTCTGTAATTCACTCTATGAAAAGCTTTAAATCTTTCTCCTGGGAATTTAGCAAACTAGCGTTGCTTGATCCTTGTCCATTGCTCAGTTCTACTAGAGAAGTAACATTTTGTGTGTTGCCTCATGATTCCTAACCAGTATAAACAAAAGAAAAAAACATTTTCTTTCTTTTGCAGCTCTGTCTGAGAAACTGACTGAAGAAGTGCAGCGACTGAAACTGGTGATTGGCGAGCCGAGCCGCAGCAGTGGATCAAAGACATCACTAAACCCGGAGATGTTTCAGCAGCTTAGTATTAGCCAGTTACAGCAACAGCAGATGCAGCATTCCAATCAGAATAGCACCATGAGAGCAAAGCACACATCAAATGAATAGAGTAAGAACTGTGATCCGCAGTTTACATATATATGATAATCGTTTTATGTGCAGAGTCTGTTTTTGCATATTCTAAAGAAACATATAAATAGTATGTCCGGGTAATTCGATCATCATATACCCTGAAACAGAGACAAATATATATAGATAGTGGTAATGGAGGCTCTGCTTCTGGACAGTGTTCTTTTTTGGACGTTTTGGTCTTAATACAGTTCGGACTTCATTTCCCTTTCGATTTGGATTTTCATTTGTAGTTCTCTGAGACAATTCACTCCCTTAAGAGCTCTAAATATTAGTGTATCTAATCTCAATTGACCAATAACAGAACCAAATGGCTATGAAACTAAGCTGAAACCTTTGCTTTGTCTCTTTCACTATCAACAAACTCTTAACTTCTAAATACTAGTGTATTTTGTCTTTGTAAGAAATATTTGTTGAGTTTTTTGAAACTTTTAAAAACCTCTTAACTTTAAAAACCTCTTAACTTCAAAAACCAACAAACTCTTCATAAATCCAACTGTCACTAACCCCCTCCATTGTAGGTGCATGTAGTTTAGTCTTTCTGTTAGTTACAAAATGGTATAAATGGATATGTTGGGAGTGTTTGATATATTTGTCTCCAAAACTAGTTTTCATGACATTGTAAAGAATTGCTTAAGATAATCAAAATGTTTTAAATTAACTAATTTTGTGATAGCTATCTAGTGAGTTATCAATAACTAAGATAATGCACACGCACTCACACTAGAAATAGAGGTCAGTTCAGACTTTTTGTATTTGGGACGTCCTCAATCTCTTGGACGAAGATCTAAAGTGTTTATGCAGATGAATGTTAGATTTGGATATATCAGTATTATTCGAATACAATGTCCATTTTAGATACAAATATTTTGAATTTCTGGTCACTAACAACTTATACTAGAAAGTGTAGTAGGGACATTCACAAAAAAAAACAAAAAAAAAAAACCCAATCGTTAGAAGAAAAGAAAAGGGACGTGTACGGAATGGGACGAAAATGAAAGATTCTTCATTTTTGTTAGCTACTCTCATCCAATTGACTCACATCCATCTCCCTCCTTTTTACGGCTTTTCTTCTGTCCATTCATATTCCCAAACTCATTATACGTACATTATTACGTACAGTAAAAGGCTAAAAAACTGAAATTTTTTTAAAATTATTGGTCGGTTAAATCAATATCATTGAAGAGGGGTGGACCAAAAACCCAAAACCGGAAATTCTTTATGAAGACTGACAAAGGAAAACAAACTAAGCAAATTGCGTAGATGGTCTAAAGTAAACTACAGGTAATATCAAAAGATTCGCCTTAATTAATTTTAAGATGATATTTATCCAAAATAATATACAGAGATGCCATGTATAAATCCAGTCCAAAATAATATACAGAGATACGATGTGTATATATATATATGTGTGTGTGTGGGACGAGGCATAATAGATATTATTGGTACATGTGGACGCAGTTTATTCCAAGCCAAAATAAAATTTTGTATATGAGCCAAAAATATATTCTTGAGAGTTCGATGGAAAAAAGTATGTGCATTAATTCAGTAAGACTAGTTGCTATCTTCCATAACACCATTTGTGGCTAGTAGGGAAAGGAATAGAGGGAAGTTAAGTGCATCGAATTTACATTTTTATTTTATACTAAATATGTGCATTGAATTAACAATTTTAATTTATACTAAACATGGCTATATCAAAATGTAGATATATATACATTATTTTTGAATGTTGATATATACAAATACTATAGATATATGACACCAAGTAATTACTAGAGACAATGCTTTGCTTCACCTACCACTTCTTAATATTTTGCTTTCTCATGATCGACAATTGAGTTTAAAAACTCTTTATTCATTAATTGATTGGTCCCATATGTTATCACCTATTAGTCTATAGTGTAAATTCTCTAGAAAATGGGGGTACTTACACAAATAACCCACAATTTGAAGTCAAATGCAAAAGTAACCTCTTTTTTCTCCCTTTTTAATAAATGCCACTTTCTCCCTACTATCTCCTTGCAACCACATATATTCACAAAAATGCCATTATGTTTTTAATTTTTGTTTTTTCTTAAAAATACTAAAAAGACACAACCATCCTAAAATATATCATTTATTTACGAAAATGCCATCTTCTTCAATTTTGCCAACCACCATTACCAACCAGTTTTGAAGCTCTAAATGTTTGTCCAACCAATTTTGAAGCTCTAAATGCTTATTATGTCGCTTATAACTTCATTTTACCTACAAATTTCTCTCCAATTTCATCTAAAAAACTCTTTCATGCTCATTTTTATAAATTCCAATTTCATAAATCATCTATTTTTGGAGATTCTTGCATGACAACGACTTAGCTAGTTTGTTATCGGTGCTATACAAAATTCTGGGTGTTTGTCAAAGTTAATCGAATTTAAATTGGAAGTAGGTAAACATCTACTTCATTTTCTTTAACATTTAGCTCTGTTTCGCGAAAGCAGACTTCTTTTTCAGTCTGCTAGTCAACGCAGAGGTTAGATTTGCAATTGACTTTTTTTTAATATTTGTGTAAGCAGACTTCTTTTGAAGTCTGCGAATTGTCATTTGTAAACAAAAAAAATCATGTAGACTTCTTTTGCAGTCTGCGAGAAGAAAATGTTATTTTTGCATTTGACCAAAAAAATTGAAGAACTTTGACTTTTATAGCAGACTTATTTTGTAATTTGACTCGAGAGGTTATTTTTGCAATTGACCAAGATTTTGACAACTTTTGACTTTTATAGCAGACTTCAATTGAAGTCTGCTACAAAAAAATAAATAGCAGACTTCTAAAAGAAGTCTGCTATTTATTTAATTAAGATTCGGTCAAATGCAAATCTGACCTACAAGCAGACTGTTAAAGAAGTCTGCGCATAGCTGCTTCGAAAGTCAACATTTTGGTCAATTGCAAAAATAACCTTGAGTAAACTTCTTTTGTAGAGTAGACTTCATAAGCAGACTTCTTTACTATAGCAGACTTCTTTTACTCGTCAAACTTTTGGTCAATTGCAAAAATAACATTTTCTTCTCGCAGACTGCAAAAAGAAGTCTACTACGAAAAGTCAAATATTTGGTCAAATGCAAAAATAACCCTTTTTTAGAAGACTTCAACGTGAAATTTCCCCGGCGGATTTTGAACGGATGTCTGTATTTTTAAAAATTTTTAAAATGCATTTTATAAAGTATTTGTAATGTTTTTTTAATTTTAAATTGTAAATGCATTTTATGTATGATTCTTGCACCTGTATGAGTTTGGTGTGTTTATGTGTTATAATTATAAAGTTATGATTTTTTTTGGTTTGAAAGGTAATTAGCACATCTAAGCAGACTTCTAAAGAAGTCTGTAGATGAAGTCTACTGTTACGTATTAGCATATCATAGTAGACTGCATACGAAGTCTGCCTAATTATTTTTTAAAAAAAATTCATTTTTGAAATATTTGTTACTTGTAAAAATGATTTTCTTGTTTTGACATGTTTATTTGTTTTTTGTGTTGCATCTATATGAGTTTGACGTTGTTATGTGTTATAATTACAAAGTAATGAATTTTCTTGTTTGATTTATCTATTTTTGCAGACTTCTAAAGAAGTTTAGAAGTCTACTTCCTTTCAATTATTTTTATTTGTTATTGTTCTTGCATTTGTATAAGTTTGAAAAATCAGTTATTCTTGCATTTACCTATCATGGTTTGTCCTCAACTTTAACTATTGGCCACTTTTGTTAACGGTCTTGATAGTATATAAATTACTTTATTAACGCGTACAACGTTAACAAACTCTTGTGGTCTGGTGGAAACAGACCCACTTGTTGCCCAAAGTACGTGGGTTCGAACCATTATGCTTCCAATTTTGGTTATTCTTTTTGTTTTAAAAAGGGCATAATTGTAATTTTGTTTTCGTCTTCTATCTAGGGTTTTCGAGTTCTGCAACTCTTTTTCGCGGCCGCAAGCCAATTTTTTCACATAATCAGTCAGTTTTTTGCATTATTCTTATTATTCATACCTAAATCTTATAGATCTGGCATACATATATTGATTTCAAGTCTTAAACGAAGAAAAAAAAGAATTTTCAAAGAATTTGATTTCAAGTCTTAAACGACTAATTGGTCTTGGTGGCCGCTTTTTAGAACATGGGATACAGACAATGGATCCGAGAGAAAGAAAATAAAATAGGAAAAGGATGAGAACAATACACTGGAAAAAGCCTCTGTGAAAAAAAAAACAAAAAACTTAAAAAAGAAAGGGACTAATCTAAGAAAGAAATCAGCTTGTGGTCATGAATGAAATTGCTCTGATGACAAGCTGTTGGTAGAGAGCCACAAGAGCTGCACCAACGAATAGTCCCACCCAGAAAATCCACTGCAATAACAAAGAAAACGACCAAAATAGCATTAGAAGAAGATGAAATCAACAAAAATTTGTAAAATAATTAAATGGGACAGTTTCTTACGTGGTCGTCCCAAGCTTGGTCCTTGTTGTAGATGATTGCAGATCCGAACTCAAGTGAACGAAGAACATAGCAAAAATGGAGAGCAGCAAGAAAGAGGATTACAGCAACAAAGAAAATGGAGCGCCGTTTTTGGAGAGAGGGATCAAAGTGGAGAGTTTCTGATTTAGGGTAAAATCTCATTTATATAACAGGGCAAAAATATCCGGTTATATATGGTTAGGTTAATTATTTCCGGTTTAAATCAATATTTTATTTTAATTTCGTTTACGGTTTGAGCAGACTTATAAAGAAGTCTACAATTCTACTTTAAAATTATTCACTTTTGATGTTTATCTTAGATGGTTTAAAATGATTTATTTTTATTAAATTATAATTTATATAGATCATACTTGTTGACATTTGATTTATAGAAACAAATTTCAGTTTAAATTATTTTTATATAATTTTAAATTTTAAATATAAGATTTAATAATATAGCAGACTTTTTATAAGTCTGCTCTGCGGACTTCATTAATATTTGCAAACTTCACAGAGTTAAAATTGTAATAGAGCCCTCCATTTTTTTGTTTACTCATGTAGGAGATAATAATAATTTCTCTACCTGTTTGACTTATTTTTGTAATAGATTGAATTTGGGGTATACTTTTGCATTTGCATTCAAATTGTGGCCTATTTTTAGCAATTTTCCCAGAAAATAAGAAACAAATCAAGTTTTGTAGTAGATGTTTATTTATATCTTAGAAAGAAAAAGAGAAAGATTTTCTTACGTAGATATTCCGGAAATTAAAATACAGTACAAAACGCTTGTAACTCACTCAACAAACATCATAGGAAATAATGCAAACTTACCATTTGATCAACATTTTCTGGGTTCGAATTCTAGGTTGAAAGAGAATCGATTGATAATTTAATTCCATTGAACAAGAATATGAACCATAAACAATATACAATAGTTCTTATTAATTAATGCAAGCCAATAAGCCATCACTCAGATTTATTATAGCTAGCAAAAAAAAAAAGAAGCCTAATTAGGTTTAGATTTCAAACCCTGTGAATGGATAACAAACTTAGGGTGCTACACTTAGAAATTAATTAACAAACTAAAACCCAGGTTTTACCTAATCCACGTAAAAGGCTCATTTTAGGTGGATCGATCTTATGGGTTATGGTTCGAAAAAGAAAAAGAAAAAAACCTTTGAATACAATATTCATCCAAAGGTAACAAGAAAAATAATAATAGGCGCACGCCTCTCTTTCATGATCTCATCTGAGCATGGATGTTAGAGAGCGGAAAACAACTTCTTCACAAGGAATAGTGAGTCCCATGTCGTGATTGAATCCGAACTCTTCCTCTGCCTGTTGAAGCAAGTTCTTGAACTTAGGATGATTCAAGAAGGAGATTGGTACGATGTAACGGCTCCTCTTTTCGCCTACGTAGACTACGAAATGACCCTTTGGCACGTCTAAAGGCAGTCCATCCTCGTCATAGCATTGTGTCTTGGCCAAGCTCGAACATCTCTTGAGGATTTGCTTCACCATTGCGGTTTGTGTTAGCTTTGAAGATCTCTTTACCGCCATTGATGTAAGTTTCTCGAGAGAATGAAGAAGACGTTATTGAGCTGTTTAGATGGCGGAGAGAAGTGAGAGATGGTGAAAGGGTTATTTATGGCTGAGAATAAGGATGTGGATATGGGATGCTTACACCAATATATTTCAATTTCTTGATTATTCAACTTTATATGGCTGCATTCGTCTACTAGCTAGTGATGGAAACAATATAGGGTAATGTCGTAAACTCAACTACTCTTGAATTTGTTTTTTCGTGGATGCAAACATTTTTAGTGATTTATCTGTGCTGTAATATTTTGTCGTAAAATTAGATTCTACGTACGAACTAATCGTATCAAACTAAGTGTATAAAGTAAAGCATTTGAAAAATAAAAAAATCGATATCGACGTTTAAACTCTAGATGTGTCTACCCATGAAATTTCACATTTCAACAAACCCATTTATTATTGTAGTAAATGATATCATTCTAATTTCTAAAGATCCATATTGTGTGTCTATATAACCAACTACTTTTGGTCCCTCGTCTATTCTCTCTCCTAGTTTAGTGCTTATAATATAAATAAAGAAGAGGATATCATCATTTGCTATGTAGATTTCATAATGAAGTAGGAATATGGATGTTTGTACTAGAACGTACGAAGTGGATGTACTTGTTAATTCTTATAATGCACACTATTTCGTTATGTTATATTAGTTAATAAATAGTTACCTCTAGCTTATGAGACGAGTTATGATATAGCCTTTTGTGTTCCAATATCCATGCACGCAATCCCTAAACCAAACAAAACAAAACAAAAACCCAAAACACAACGACCATATATCTTTATAATGTTACTAACCATGTTACCATGTGTTATAGAGTCACAACAGTCGTTTTAGCATATGTAACTAGAACATTTAAATATAGTTTCAGTTTTTAAAAAAAAGTTCTTCATTTTTGCGGTTATATAAATTGGGACCCTTAATTATTTTTTAACAGACAAGTCATTTAACACACCAAAATACACACGTTTGATAACAAAACTGTAACATGATACTCAAAGTTTTTTTGAGACACTTATGTATATGATATCATATGATCATGCTTTGCACATAATCATCGATAATGGTTGATTATAAAGTGTTTAACTGTGGTTTTATTGTATGTGTTTAAGTTTTAACTTACATTAAGAAAAATTAAAATTTAGAATATAAATGGACTTTTCTAATTTTCTTTTGTAACTCACATTTCGCTTTATTTTTGCGTTTTAAAGTTCTGACAGTCGTTTATAGTCAAGGCAAACAAACACGAATTAACATGCTAGTTTCAGCCTTTTGAGTAATTTCAGTTCATGTATTGTTTATAAACATGGCAATGTTTATAAACTGTAAAACCTGAATTACAAAAAAGTCTTTATCCAAAACCTTTAAACCCCACACTGGTTTCTTATTACTCAAGAAACAGTAAACTATGCAGTTTTGTTCACTATTCTTCATCTTCCCTTTGATCTGATCAAAGTCTTCAACATTAATACTGTCTTGAATCCTGTTCCTGTAAGAAGTCTCCTCATTTAGAACTTACAATTACGTCAAGAGAGACATAGAGACAGAGCCTTTGCTGTAGAACTCGTCGTTGTCAGAGAGGAGAAAGCTTAGCATGTTCTGTGAATGGGATTTGTTGTGACATAATAAGAATTGATAAAAGAGAGAGAAAAAAAAAAGAGTCGTTAGGGAAATTTGCCTTGAGAAAAGACTTAAGACATGTCTCTAATGTAACCACATGAAGTCCATGTTACTATTGTCTTGCCTCAATCCATGAGCTGTCCTGTCTCTACAATCTTTCCTTTTTTCACACACAACTCTGAAAGAACAATAAAGAGAGTCGTTCTCAGACATTTTGTATTGCCCCAGACATCTCACCTCCCAAAACTCATGTCTGCTTCTTTTATGGAAAAAAATCCCTTATTAATCTATACTTTTTCTTTCTCAAAATACGTGAGAGACAAATCTATAAAAACCCTTGACCTATCCTGTTTTCGTACGACTCTGTTTTTTTTTCTCCCTCATTCCCAAAATCAGAAAGGAACATGAGCGTGTCAATTCAATGGACATCTATCGCTTGATCCAGACATCTCATCATCCCCCAAAGTCCATGTCTACTTATAATAGGGACACTTACGAAATTTTATTTTCTTGATCAACCACGTGAAAGATAGTCGACAGTTCGTCGCTTCATCTTATAACTCTGTTTTTTTTTTTGCTTCTCCAAAGCTTGGAAAGAAAACAGAGAATATATGTGTTCATGAACCCTTTTAAGATACAAATTGAAAAGTTGCTTCAGAGTTTGTATATCAGCTGTCGATAACTCAATCTCCAAAAATATGTATTTTTTTGTTGAGAAAGTTATTGAATGAATGTAAAGTTATTGAATGAATGTAAGGTCTTTTCATCACATGGGTTGCAGGAAAATAACGAAGAACGTGGACCCTGCGTAGACAAGAAACTGAAAATGATAAGATGTACTACTAATGCAAGCTAAAAATCAGCTAAATATGAACATGGATTTTGTACGATGATCAATAGTTAAGTTGAAAATGACAACCATCAGCTAAAGATATAAAAAAATCAATAAAAAAAAAAAAAAAAAAAAAAGAACAAGAAAATCAGAGTGGCACCTCAAGAATGAGACGGCACAACACAAAGAAAGGTTTAAATGTAACTTTGATAGATACTAATGCTGCGGGTGTGGGCTGGATATTACGTGACTCTGACGGAAGACATATAATTTCGGGCAATGCTCGTCTAAGTCAAGTCCAGTCACCTTTACCAGCGGAAGCAATTGGTTTTTTACATGTACACTACAAGTTATTTGGGCACAAGGATGGAGAAATGTGTGGTTTGAAGGAGATAATCAAGAGTTGGTGAACTTAATCAACAAGGGTGGGGAATGCACAGACATTGGCAATGTGTTGATTTATATCAGGTTTTGGATACAAAAACTGCCTCTCTGCTCACTGGCATCAAGCAGCTGACTCCTTAGCCAAAAAAGGCTTATGATTCTAACGTAGATTTTTCAGTTTTTAATGTACCGCCGGTTTGGCTGCAAAACAAATCGTACTATCCTTTTACCATTTAATAAAATAGATGTTAGAAAGAAAAAAAGGCCTCACAAAGATTTCTAAGATGGTTTCTATTGAGCTTTCGCAAAGAGATTCTTTACAAATTTCGAGACTCTGTTTTACGTTGAGGCAATATGGCCATTAAATTTCTCTCTCAATTGCATACTGACAAGAAATTATATCATATATCTGCCACTAACTCCTTACTCAAAAAGAGAAATTCATGTAATCACACAGTGTCTTTCTTGAACACAAGCAACAAATTTCAACAAAGCACAAAAGATCAGCTGCAGCCGTATAATGCAACACTAAACAACACATGTACTAGTTGTCAATCCAACACATTTGGTTCAGTTTTTGCTTTCAGGTTTCAGCCAATGACCCTCAATCTCCACTACTGTCAACGAGGCTAGATTTTGGATTAAGCATAGGATTCGTTGCCCATTTATGAAACTTGACATCGAGAAATTTTACAGCCGAGTTAACCTGTAAGAAGAAATAGTAGAGATCAAACTGAGGAGAGCTGATAGTACTCTGGAAATCTTCTGAACTGGGAAGAAGAAAAAGCAAGCTTACTGAATGTGAAGCGGTCTGAAACAGAGTTTTTCCCAACGGAACAACACAAAACCTGTTCAAGCGATTCATACTTGATTCAGTTTCTTCTACGATTCAATATACTTCAAAGAAGAAACTTTTTCCAGGTGAAAAAAAAAAGACGAAGGTTTAACTAACATTCCTCGGCCACCGGCGAGAGCTTCCTCAGATGGGTCCTTCCATTCGTCGACCCTAGGGAGTCGAAGCAAACACACAGAATCATCTGTTTAATCAAATTAGGAAAAGAAAAAAAAAGGATTCAAATAAGTGGTAAAAGATAGAGAATTTACACCCAGCCGTAACGGCGGTCAAAGAGAAGGCGTCTTGAGGAGCGTTTGGGTGCGGTGGCCGGCGGTTCCATCTCTTCCTCCGCTGTACAGACTCGCCGTCAAACCGATAGATAGAAAAGGGAGGAGAGAAAGGTGGAGATTACAAATATGTACTATTGGGCCTATTGACACTTTTTTTTTTTTTTTTTTTGTCAACTAAAGATTCATTAAAAGTCCAATGGACATAAAATCGGTACAACAACATTCCTATACTAAGATCCAATCGAAAATACACATAATCACAAAAATACACAGTAAAACAAAGAAACACGTGTATAAAACGGAGAAAAACATCTCCACGTGGCCACCTTAGCAGATAGATCAGAAGCTCCATCTTACACGTATCACCGCTGTGATACATCTCTCGCCGGGAACGTTCACCGCCGGGAATTTCAACGCCGGTAATATTTTACAAATCTTCTTTTCTTCTTCTTTGAAGCTCGTAGTGGTTGGTACCGACTTGACTCCTTTTGCGATTTCGCCGGAAGATGTCTAGTAAACTAAAACTTGATCCATCGGAAATTTTCCTCAGCTTGATCGATTGCGTAATATTCATTAGAGAAGCATCAAAACACGACGACAAACTCTAATTCGTCATACTCCTCACCAAACAGCTGCTTCATCTTGTTAATTTCTCATCCATGAAGAACCATCGCTCAATATTCCTTCAAGGAGAACGAGGATTTACACACCGTGGAGGAAGAAACAAGCACCAATGAAACAACACACAACTAACTCTTTCGGAATTCAAATAAAACAAGCAAAAGGAGGAAACTAAAAAATAAATTCGAACAAGTCGGAATTTATTACCGGTTTACGCCGGAGATTACTATCCGATTAATGGAAACAAAAGATCCGGAAAAACCGGAAACTTAAAACCAAACAATACTATACAACGATCCGGAAAACATATATAGCACGGTACCGACGTTGGATTAACGCCGGCACCAGCCAAAAAGAAAACTATCAAAACTAAAGAGAAGTTTGATAGGGTTTAGGGTTTAGGGTTTAGGGTTTAGGGTTTAGGGTTTAGGGTTTAGGGTTTAGGGTTTAGGGTTTAGGGTTTAGGGTTTAGGGTTTAGGATTTAGGGTTTAGGGTTTAGGGTTTAGGGTTTAGGTATGCTTATGGCTTTCACATCTCTATAGTATCCCCCATTTGATATTCTTAAGATTCACTGTGTGATTTGACTTGGTCTAAAACAGGTTGTGGACAGCCGGGGACGGCTGCTTGTAGCACTGGGTTACGGACTATGGCCATCGATGGTTCTAATCTCAGAAATAGTCCAAACATTCATCTTGGCAGATTTCTGCTACTACTACGTTAAAAGGTAGTTTCCTTTTCTTCCTCTGGCATGCCTCTTCTAGTCTTCTTGATTATTATGTCTTTTCGCTTCACTTGTTTGGTTATTCCTCCACCATCTTTTTCTTGTGCAGTGTTTTCGGAGGCCAGCTTGTTCTCCGACTTCCATCCGGAGTTGTGTAAAATAGATACTCAAAAGATTGCATCTCAGACTCAGCTTTGTGTGTATCTGAGCAGCCTGAGGTTGCTCAAGTTACTCCCTGAGACCAACCCCTAATATTTGTTTTTTTTTTTAATTTTCTTTGTATAAATTTGAAGGATATTATTAGCATGATTTTTTTTTTCCACAAGACTTGTTGCTTAGTTCAAATAGTGTATTTCACAGACTCTACTCTGTATATAAAAATTTGATAATTTACGGCAGGTGTAAAACTATCTCTTCCGTTTCTTTAAGTTTTTTAATTAGCTGAAGAGTGAAGATTTGGGATAATCATTTATTAATCGCCTTAGAATCATTTCATCACATTTGTTTAGGCTTAATGCGCTAATAATATAATTTATGCGTATAAGTGGGCCGTTAGGCCCAAAACTCTCTCTCTAACTTTAAAAAGAGAAAATTCTCTAATGTAGTGGCCAAAGTAGCCAAGTCCAGAATGGTATGTATGTCATATTCCATAACTAAGCTGCAGTAAAGCCTCACAGCTAGAAATATTGCTGTAAGCTCCTGAGATTTTAATGACAATCCTGCAGATTTTCCCCGGAAAAAGGTCAATAACTAGTCCCAATCGTGCAAAACTTTAATCTGGGTCTGTATTGAGGGTGCTGATTCAACTAAATAACCGATTACAAACTCCTGAAAATGAATAAAGTCTAGAACTTTATATTCCAACACAGATCAAAATTTTCTAAGGTTAAAGCAAGACGAAGAACCCATGAAGGAAGTCAAAACTATTTGAATTCCAACTTAGAACGCGTAAATTGGATGTGGTAATAAAAAAACACAACAACAAAGAAAAACCGAAGTCAAAGCAGGAAGGAACTAAGGTAGTAGTAGTACCAGCACAGGTCTTTTCCTTGGTGAGTTTGTAGATAAGAAGAGAGATTCCAATGGAATGAACAGCTTCGGCGGCAACGAAGAGATTGTCGTGATCATGAACGATGAATCTGAGCAGAACAAGAGCAGCCATGCCCGACACGACCGCAAGGAAAGCTTTCACCTTTGGGGGCTGCCTCCTCACCCATGTCAACACGGCGTGAATCGGAGACTTCGTTGCCTTCATGCTCGATGCCTCCTCCTCCTCCTCCTCCTGCTGCTTCTTCTTCTTCTTAAATTCACACACGAAAATGTTAGTCAAGCTCAGATGGGCTTTAGTCACCCAAAAAAACAAGCACTTATTAATGTAGGCCTGAGCCCGAGTATTCTCCCTTTCTTCCAAAAGTAATATTTATAGTATGTAAATGTAAAATGAATATTTCTTCATAAAAAAAAAAAGAATATTTCTAGATTTACCAGCTTTTTTTTTTTTATGCAGGATTTTTCTTTTTTTTTCTATAGGCACAAGTAGTATAGTTCTATCATCAAAATACTAAATATGGTACGCCGTACGCTTACATCTTTTTAAAACATAGTTTAGTTTACCATTGTTTTTCTGTTTCAAAATAAATGTTGTTTTATTTCAGTCTAATATTTTGGTATAAGATATTATCAAATTTAACTTTGAATAAAAATTAACTACAATGCAAAAAAAAAAATTAATGGGATCCTCCTTAATATTGTTGTACATATAAATAAAGAGAGAAAAAGAGATCCACGATCAGAATTTCCTAGAAACGACATACATTAGGCAGGAGGAGGCGACATTTAAAGTCTATTATATGAGATGAGTGGAGCAACGTGAAGTGAGTGTCTTTTTCCTCGTAGGCCACTCAGATAAGCTTCCTTGTTTTTTGATTTCCTAACCACCAATCACTCATTTTTCACACAAATCCTCAGTATTTCAAACATCTGCCTGTTTTTGGATCATGTTCAACACTGATCTTTGTTTCCCAATACACAAAAGTTATAACTTAAGAGTATAATCACTTGGTTTAGCTATCATTTTTACAACTTTTTTTTCTTGAGTTATGATTAAGAACAAAATTGACTTCTTGTTTTTTGTGAGACGGTAGCGACAGCTAAGAAAAGGAAACCGTGGCAAAATATTACAAATGAGGAAGAGATGTATCTATAAAACTCCAAACATCAAAATGATGATCAAAACTAAATGCTTACCTGCAAACCAGTTTTTAAAAAAAAAATTGCTTAGATAAATGTCAATACGTATAGCTATAAATTATTGGTCATGATTCTCTCAAAATTAGACAAGTGGTCCGACTAATTCACATATGTACACATGTAAAATGACGATATGAAATCCCTTCACTACCCACTAGCTAGTACTAATGGATTTCCAAAACAGTGTATAATGGACCACAATAATTTCAATTAGTATACCTAGCAAACCATTTCCTTTCTCTCTCTTATCCCTCTCTGTTTTTATCATATATTTCATGTAATAAAAAGCATTCCATAGATAAATCAATAACCACTAAACAAACTAAAGCCAAAAAAAAAAAGAAACAAAGAGTGGGCGATCGATATGCATTACCACGGGTGCTGTTGCGGACGGTGCAGAGTATCGACGTCGCCGCTGCCGGTAATTGTCATGATCACGGTGGCGCTCATCCTCTTGGCGCTTTCCTCCGCCGTGAAATTTGAGGTAGCCATCACCACAGGCGAAGATATGCTGAGCTGGCTGCTCCTCGCGGCGGTTCCACTGGCTCTGCTATTCGCCGTGCGGTGTCTCTCTTGCCTTGAAACGTCAAAGCGATCCATCTACTACTGTCCCTGTGGCCGCTGGAAATGCGTTTGCTACTACTAGTTAGTTTTGACCGCGGTTAGTGTTTGCGTTTACCTTTATATTTGTAAATCAATAATTTCGTTTCATTAGTAGGTTCTGTTGATGTTGACGTATTGTGACGTGATCATCGACTTTTGTGTGTTTTGTAAATTTTTTACGAACGTGATCGTCTACCGTTTTAGATTTTTAAGTTTTTTGTTTTTTACATAACATATACTGCATTTGTGTGATCTTGGAAATAGAGAATTAGCGGTTCCAGAAAATCTAACCCCACCAAATAACATTCTTCCACACACAAAAAAAAAAAAGATTTTCATTTGATAACATCTATCAAAAAAAAAAAAAAAATTCAAAATGAAAATGAAAAGTTATAATTAATAAATTATGTACAAGCTGCGAAATCAAAGTGTGATAATGCTATTTTGTGGTCATTATATACACTAGCAATAAGAATTGAGGTGCGTAGGTTGAAAGATCAAAATCATTCTCGTCATCTTTGAATTTTGTGTTGCTTAGGTTAAAAGGTCAAATTGTTTTTTGTTATCTTTGAAAATTTGAGTTGCTTATTGAAGAGGAGGTTAATGATAACAATTAAAGCAAAGGAAAAATAAGGAAAAATGATAATGACGCTCCACCTACAATCGTGTAGTGAGCCCATTACGAAAGAGAAAAGCAACATAAAACGCATATTTAATTACACTGACCAATCATCTGCATCCACAACGTTCTGAAGAAAACCTATATGCAGTATGGAAATACACATCTTTTACGCTTTCCAATATGATAAAATAATTCTTTACGATACATGGAAACCATAAATCAAGTAAAATAATTAGCAGGAGATCATAAGAAATCGAGCTCAGTAATTATTTTTCTTCTATAAATCTATATAGTAAAATACAGTATTAGTTTATCCTTATTGGTCTGTCGGTCAGATATAAGTATAATATTGTAAACGCTAAGGCGGTTTCAATAAGTTTGCATCATCATAAAAGCAAGAAGAAGAAAGAAGAGCTTCTCTGATCATCGATCATCATTTCATGGCGTATGGAGAGAGCAGATCAGGACCGTCCATGTTGGAATCATTCTCGCTATCGCCTCTGCCGTATCCGGTGCTTATCATCCTGGCCGTGGCTTCGGTGTTCCTAATGACTTCATGGTACTGGAGCTTCGAAGATGCAGCCGAATCCGCGGGAGAGCAGATGAATCTTGCTCTTCTCTTGATCCCTCTGCTTCTCATAGTCTTGGTCCGCTGGTTATCTTCCCTGGATAACCCTGACGCGTTTCTCGGTATGTTTTCCAACCGTCGTCAGACTTACCGGAGTCCCGCCGCCGGAGATGACGGTGGAAGCTCGCCTTGGGGGGTGGCCGCGATTATACTTCTGTTGCTTGTTTTGCTTCACTATCAGTCAAGTTTCTTGGAGATGTGGTTTGGTTGATTTAGCTTCTTTAATTTTGTCGTCTAGCTAAGCTAGTGTAATGTAAAAATGATTTTCAGATATTTTTCTTTCTTGTTTTTTGGTTTCTTGATGATCATTTACTTATTACTACTACGAGGTTGAGGATCTCGTGAGTTGTGTTATCCGATCTCTTTCACCTCTCTTGTTTACATACAACACGTGATATCGTTTGATTAATGTCACCGGAAACTTCTAATAGATTCACAATAAATTAAAAATTGAAATATCTATATATTATCGAGTATGTTATATATATATATTTTTTTTTAAAACAAAAGAGCCGCAGTTTTCATGCATTCATCATATACCATACCATCCCACGAAATTTGAACAATTTAAATAAAAACTAATCTTCTTGGATCATACAGAATCTTGGAAAGTTTACTATATAACAATAGTAGAAACAAATTATAATACAAATATGAGAGAAAGAGACAAAAATTCAAGGTTGAAAATTTAATAGACTGGGAAAAAAAGAAAAAACGATTAACAGATGTGTCCATTTTTATTATTGCGACCATGGTTCCGGTTATCCGTCACAATTTCTGCAATTTTTTAACAGAGTTTACAGGCCAATTTCTCCAATAATGTGAACGGATTGTTTCTATCTTCTTTTTCTGGCCAAACCATCAATTTCTGCTTGTTCTAATTATTTTCTCTTCCAATTTGGAAATATGACTCTTTCTAATTTTTTTATTTTATTTGTTTGCATAAACAAATGATGCATCGACCCACCACACCGTAAGGCGTAAGGTTTGGTTATGGAAACAAATGCATGGAACCCATCAAGGCGTCTGGACAGAAGCGCGTGAGATACAGAAGTCCACAGGCGCGTGAACACCTTTGATACGAACACATGATTCTTCTTGTTTGTGGAAAAGACAAAAATGACCCCTTTGAGCATCAGAAGAAACTCAGGAGCACCACCAAGTCATCATCACCAACCCTCATCGCCCTTCTTCTATCTCTGCTTTGCCTTTAGCTCAGAGTCTCAGTCTCGTCTCTATCGCCTCTTTTCCACTCACTACACGCCAAACCCAATAGCTTCTCTCTCACTCTCTCTCTCCCTGTTTTCCGGCTATGGCTACCTCTCTCACTGCCCAAATCTCCGGTGGTACCCAGCCCTCTGCCCCTTCTTTCTCCGGCCTCCGCCGCATTTGTCCTAAGCTCGACGCCGCCGTCTCCTTCTCCCACCAGTCCTTCCTCAACCGCGTCAATTCCTCTATCCGCCTCGTTTCCTCCTCCTCGCACCGGTCTCCCAGAGGCGTTGTCGCCATGGCCGGATCCGGAAAGGTGCTCTCAACTCTAAATATTCCAACTTCAACCCTTTACTCTGTTTTGAAAATGCTAGTTCATTGGTTTAGGATTTCGATCGAAAGTTTATTCCTTTTAGTTTCAAATGCCCCTAAATCGCTTTTTGGATTGTAGAAAGAATCTTCAAAACTCTTTATTTGATTCAATGCGCTTCTCGAGAGACGATTGATTCAGTTTGCTACTCCTTAGATGATATAAATGTGTTCAATGCAAACTTGGGGTTTATCATCGTCTTAACTCTTGGTTTCTCCTCTTTTATGCTGCAGTTTTTCGTTGGAGGAAACTGGAAGTGTGTAAGTACAATGTCCAAAGGAATCAGAATCATCTTCATAGTCGTGTTTTCTTCTATCTGTTATCTCTCCTGAAACTAATGTCTCTTTTTGGCATGTGTCATAGAACGGGACTAAGGACTCCATCGCCAAGCTTGTCTCTGACCTCAACAGTGCAACCTTGGAAGCAGATGTAGGTGAGATACTAGAGTTCTTATATGCTACTCTTGGAATGATTGAAGCTCTCTATATTTTACTTCCGTATCTGATTTGAAAACGGACCTAAAGCAAGTCGTATCTATCGAGTTCCATTCTATTTAGTTTTCCTACTAAAATGTCTGCGAGAGAAGTCACAAAGTCAAACTTCTTCTGAAACCATCCTCATGCTGACCATTGGTTCTTAATGATCACTTATGTGTAGATGTTGTTGTCTCACCTCCATTTGTCTACATCGACCAAGTCAAGTCTTCGTTGACAGACCGTATAGAGATATCGGGTCAGAACTCTTGGGTTGGAAAAGGTGGAGCCTTTACTGGTGAAATCAGGTTACAACTTCTCTTATTCACTTTATACAGTATATGGATTGTTAATTTGCTATAGTATCTGAGCTTTGGAAAGACTTTCCGGTTTATATATTTAAACCATTTCTGAATTTTAAAGCCATCCGTTTCACAATACAGCGTGGAACAGCTCAAAGACCTCGGCTGCAAGTGGGTCATTCTTGGGCATTCTGAAAGGAGACATGTCATCGGAGAAAAGGATGAGGTCAGTAAGTAAATAACTAATCAGAACCATTGACTTGTTAAGAAATGTTAGTGAAGACATGTTTCTCCTTTTTTTCTCTCAATACAACCATAGTTTATTGGGAAGAAAGCTGCTTACGCATTGAGTGAGGGTCTTGGAGTAATAGCTTGTATCGGGGAAAAGCTAGAAGAGAGGGAAGCAGGCAAGACATTTGATGTTTGCTTCGAGCAAATGAAGGCCTTTGCTGGTAACAACACTCTTCCTGTATTCTTTTATTACTTACCTAAAGTCTCATATTCCAGACTATGTCTGAACTCAATAAAAAGCAGGAGCTTATTTGTATTTTCAGATGCTGTGCCTAGCTGGGACAACGTAGTGGTTGCATACGAGCCTGTATGGGCAATTGGAACTGGTAAAGTTGCATCGCCTCAGCAAGCACAGGAAGTCCATGTAGCTGTCCGCGATTGGCTCAAGAAAAATGTCTCTGAGGAAGTTGCTTCCAAAACAAGAATCATATACGGAGGTGCGTTAGTTTAGTTATCCCCTTGCAAATCAAACTGAATGTTGATTATCTCCTACTTAATTGACAGGTTCCGTCAATGGAGGGAACTGTGCAGAGCTTGCCAAACAAGAGGACATTGATGGATTTCTTGTCGGTGGTGCCTCCTTGAAAGTAAGTAAAGTTTTAGACCTTTGTGGATATGCTGTTGATGAATACAGCCTAACTCATATACCCACCACCGTTGATGTTTTTCCAGGGCCCGGAGTTTGCGACCATTGTGAACTCAGTCACGTCAAAGAAAGTTGCTGCTTAATTGACAAGTAGCAGCGACGGAAATCGCATGTCTCCATGGAACAGATGAGAGGAGAAATAAAGGGAGGTTTGCGACCTTGTTGTTGTTGTTGTGTTCTTAGTAGTTCTTGGACTAATAATGGCAAACAAAATTTGATTCATGAGTTCTGGTTTGAATACCGCTTGGCTCTGCAACACAGAGAGAGAGAGGGAAAAAGGTCTTTAATTAAGATCTTTGTTACTTATAAAGTTATGTTATACTATATACTTGGAGTAAAGCTGAATTTATACTATATACTTGGAGTAAAGCTGAATTTATGCTATATACTTGGAGTAAAGCTGAATCCAAGAGGCTCTTCTATATAATCTCTTAAAAGTTCTTTAGCCATATACTCTAACGTAATTTACGAAGGTTGTTCTTGAAGTCACTAGTGATGATGAATCAGCACAACTGATCGTAAAATTTACTTCTTTTTGCATTGGTCTAATGGTTGGTTAACAGAGGAAAGTCAATTTTCGAACCAGTAGGAACCTCACTGATCCAATTCTTCTTATATAGAGGATTGATAAAGAAAGTAAACGGCAGATTCTACATCATTATAAGTAAAGTTGTTTCATGAGGAGACATTATGTCAAGAAGGAAAGAAAGATTGTCTAAATAGTACAAACAACGAAAAAAAAGTAACGTTTTAACTTTTAAACCCTAAACTTAAAACTTGGAAACTCTTTCAAAACGCCAAAAGGCTGAGTCTATGAAAAAAAAAACTGGAAAGAGCAGAACAGCTCTTTTAGTTCTTCTTGTTCTTCGATTTCCCAGACAATGTCTTGGCCAAAGGAGTTCCCTGAAGAGAGACATAACACATTTTTCGATCAGATTCAATCACAACCAAAGAGCACAGAAGCGTAGAAAGATAGGGAGAGAGAAGCGAACCTCGAGCCACTCGTCGAGTGATGCGTCGGTAGACCTGGTTCCTACTTCCACCTTGGACACCTTTTTGGTTTTCTGGTAAAAGAGAAAATTATCAAATGAATATTCAAGACTTACCGGAAAAAAACAGATCAGATCCAATGGTTTACCTTAGTGAGACGCTGTACTTGGCTGTATGCCCATAGACCGAGGAGGAGGAGGAGAGCAATTCCAAGTGTTATAAGGAAGACAGATTCGCCGCTGAGAAGACCTCCAGATTCAACTACCTCTATGGTTCCATTGTAAAAGACACTCTGGTGTGCCTTCCCTTCCACATCGTAGATGATATAACCCACCAGATCAAATGCTCCAGGCTGTGAAAGATGACAGCAGCACACAAATTAGATAACATGTTACCAAGTTTTTTCTCGAATACAGTTGTTTTTTTAAGAAAAATGTGTTGTTGTTATTGTTGGATATGTGTGTGGACCTGAAGGTACTGGCTGACTGCAAAGATGTATGGGAATGTTGCTTGAAGAGACGTTGGGATGGATGCATTGTTGAATCGCTGCAAATGAAAGGCAGCATCAAATGACAACCCATAACAGATTCTTAGTCAAATGGTTTGTAAACTATATGCGGCTGATATACAAGTTTGACATTCTATTGATTTCCTCCCTTTTGGAATTAAATAAAGGAAACATGCATCCAATCTCAAAAGTCAGAAGCAGATCCCAAATTATATTAATTTCAATCCTCGAATATGAACAAAGTGTTTTTTAGAGAAAAAAACTTACCATCATTGTTAGATTCTGAACCAACAACTTATGATCATAAGGAAGATGAACGCTGGCCCTAATCCCCATCACACCTACGCTAGATTTTCCTGTTATGCCACACACAGCCAATTTGGAGAAATTTATTACTACCAACCGAAAACTCAAAGGAATGGATAAAAGAGGTGATTTTTGTTTTTAAACATACCATCATTTTTCAGACCAACAAGGAGCTCAGTCTCTTCTCCAGCAGGAACCACTGCAGGGAAACAATGGGCATTACAAACAAAAACAAAACCAAAAAGTCTTTAATGGATGGATAGAAAAACACGTGAATAAGGGGTGCAATGCCTTACATTTGGCACTGTTTTTGGGGAAAACACAAACAGTCTCAACTCCAGGAGCAGAGGTCAAGTTCACATCCAAATCTTGATCATCTTCCTCAACACCAGAATCACTGTTTTCTCCCACAACATCGTCAACAAGACTGGAATGATCCTCGGAATCTTCTTGACATCTAGCAACTGAGAAAAGGAATAATAAATCCCATCATGTCATTGTCACCACAAGTTTTATCAATCAGCCCATATAAAATATAAAATAAGAGAAATCATCGATCTATCGAGTTTCTGTTTATATCCAACTTCCATTTTAGAAAAATGGAGCTGTGAATACTTTCAAAAACGTTACAATTATGCAAATCTTCATGTATCGAAGACCAACCAGGAAGTAAGCAAATAAAGACATGCACGAAGACACTACATAAGAATCTATTACTTGGCATTCGATCGATCTACATGCAGACAAGTGATGAGAATGATACGAGAGGAGCAAATGGATCCAAGAATTGTCTATTTGAAACCACATTGCTCGAGGATAGGCAGCAATACCCAAACACACAGTAAACGACAGATTTGTCTCGTGTAACAAATCGCGAGCTCAATTTCACTCGGATAGATAACTAAGAGCGCCACATTCTACGAAAACAGGATCAAATCCTTCCGAAAACCAGATCGGAGCAAGATATCAAGTATGAAATCCAATCGGAAACTGTAAACTAGGAAGACGCGACGAAACAAACGGATCTAGATCTACAAAAATCCAGAAAATAAAAAAACAAAAGGAGAGAGGAGACCTTGAAGCAGAGGAGATGCAAGGAGAAGGAGAGCGAGGAACAAAACCCTAAGATTCATCATCGTTTTGGTTTCTCTGGTCAACGAAATTGCACAAGAGAATAGTCTCCTCGCTCGATGGTATTTATGCTTGCTCTTTCTTTCACAGCAACAGCAACCAAAAAAAAAAAAAGAGTTTAATTTATTTTCTGTTGAAAAAAAGAACAAAATCACAAATCGGGATACAACACAAGTTACAGAACGAAACACAACCATAAAAAAAAAAACGCAAACGACAGCGTTTTACCTGGTCTCATTTTTGATTGATTTTGTTACCTTATTCATATATGTACATCAGGATTCACAAATTATTAGTTTCTTCGACATTCTTAATTTGCGCGCTCTCATTATAACCAGAAGATCTCAAACAAAATTACCATTCAATGAAAAAGCATAAAATAACAGGGAAAATTTAACAAAAGTCAAATAAATCGTTTCCATTATTCTATAGAAAAATAAGCATTAAAAAAAGGTTTGCATGAACATTCCACTACTACTAATACACCAAATCTGATCAATCATGTCAACAAGATTCCATGTGACAAAGTGATCCATCAAAAAGCATGTTCTGTTCTGGTCCAAGATCAATCCCCATGGACCGTGTACCGTTCCCATTTCTTTGTCGGATCGTAAATCTGCCCAAATATTGAAAAAGATCACACGAAATTAGATGCTTTAAGTTTTTTTTTGGCTTAGCAATTTTAAGTCTACAGTTCTTGAAGACATTATTAGCTGAGAGAATCAATAAAAAAAACTGTGCAGAGAAAGGCTGATCTGGTAGGTACCTCCCATCTGGAAGCAGGGAATATATGCTTGTTCTTCTCGTACCAATGCCTTTCCACCACCTTACCCGCATGCGACTTCAACAACATAACATATTTAACAAAGCTTTAAAAACCAGTACTTCTTATACTCTATTTTCTGATGCAACTGGATCAGTGAAGCATACCTCGTCTTTCTCTATTGTCGCATCTGCAATTGTTCTCACGTCTTCATGAACATCAAAGTGAAACAGCTGTTAAGAAGAACAATGCAGGAGAAGTCTCAGCTTTGGATTTATAAATACAAACTTCACTCTAATACATGAGTTCCGAAAATGTCAACAAGGCATACCGGGCCACTCTTCCCCCTTGCTTTGTTAATGATCAGCTCGTAGAAACTGTGTTGCTACATTTGCAAACAACACCAAAAACAACATCCCCATGTTATCCTTATATTCTAAGACAGTGAAGAGAGAATAACTTGATAACTGTTTCTTATTGTAAAGGGTTCTCACATGTGGGATTATAAGATCTTCCTTTACGTATAGCAAATTCTCAACTGATGTCGTCCGAATCTCCCGGAAGTCAGGGGCAAGCTGCTGTTGAACAGCCCGTAGAAAATTCCCAATTGCGTCACCCTTGCGTACCTGTAAATTTGTTTATCATAAAGTTAAGCAATATGGTCAGACTTAGGCTTATACAGCAAGACAAATATGTAGCTTGTTGCTTGCCTGGATAACTCGTCGGTGGCCGGTCCCATCCCAGTAACTGTAAGTAATCTGAAGAGGCTCGTCTGAAAAACACCAAAAAAAGTTAGAGAATATTCCTTGGATCAAATGTTACTAGTGAAACTGGAAGCAACTGGAAAGTGAAGAACTTTTAATTTGCTCTTGCTCACGAAGCCACTGCTTCTTCAGCCTTTCACGTTCAGCTTGTTCCTCCGCCTCCCGCTCACTGAAACAGCAACCTCAAAACACCACAGCTGAAGTTAAGACTTGCTGCAAAAGCAGACAGTGAAGATAAAGGTTCAACAAGAGAGCAAGGGATCACCTGTCAGGCAGGAAATTAGTTTCCACTGAGGGGTCCTTGCCAAGTTTTCCGAAGCGTAAGCTCATTGTCCCAGAACTCTCTGCGTAAGTAGTGTACATGATACAAGTTACCAAATATGCAAACTCAAGAGGACACAATAAGATGAGATTTGTCTGAAATTCCTATGCCCGCAAGCTATTTGCATCTCAAAACTCCAATCTACAATTGTAAGAATTAATGTCTACAGTGGTTCAGTTGACTGACAGCATGTATCAGACCTAATCCTACTACTAGCACAATTCACCACTTATGTAACATGAGCGTATTCAGGAATCAAGGTAAACATGAAGAAAACCTAATAGGTATGGTCCACGTAACGTAAACTAAGTACGAGACTGATAAAACAACCCACTTACTGTTTTTACCATCATCTTCATCACTGCCATTCTCAAGATCTTCAGCAAAAGATAAGCGGGAGGCTCCCTTAATTTTTCTTTTCTTGCTACGCTTCTGTTGTTGAAGCTCTTCTTCCCTGTAGTTTAGAAACAAGGAAGATGAAGCTAATCCAGAAAAAAAAAAAAGAAAACATCAATAACAACGAAGAAATGAACCTAAAAAAGAAACTCACTCTTGCTGTAGCTTCTGCAATTTCTCCTTCTCTTCTTCCTCAAACTTATTACGAATATTAACCCTCTAGAGATCACGGAAACAATCAGGACCATAATCTTGAAGAATGTTAAAAAGGGTATTGAACGATAAGTGGACAAGCCATTACCTTCTCCACATATTCCTCTCTTGTAACTAAACCGACTGTTTCCTTCTTAAAGGCAGTGTCAAGAATCTAAGGAAAACAAATATATGTCAAATACACAAGTAATATCACAAAAAGAAAAACATTTGGAATTCAGTGAAAGAATTGGTTGACCTAATTTGCTATACAATTTGTTAAAACACCAAAGTTGCAGTTTCGCAAGTGTTAATTTCTCCAATTTTGTTCTGAGAATCATCACGAGAACTGACGGTTTCAATCTTAAAAATTCCCAAAATATTGCGGGAGCTCGCAGAAGTTCTCAATGTATAGTTCATACAACAATCCACCATAATGGTCTATGAGCAGTGAGCAAAGGGGATCTTGAAAGATTTTAAGAAAAAAAGGGTTGGAACCTCGCAAGAGCTAGTGCCGAATTGGAGAAGACCAGATTGCTCCTGGCCAGAGGCAGTCTTGCTCTTCAGCTCCTGGATTTTACGGCGTTCAGCTTCTCTTTGCTTCTGCAGCCGCCGTATCCTCACCGCGTCTTGAGCCGTACCCACGTAGCCATCTCCCATACCCGACATCCTTCTCTCTCGCTTTCTTTCTCTCTATCTCTCCCTCTTTCGCTCCAAATCGGGATGATTTTGATGATACTTGCCAGTTCCGACCGCCATTGTTGTGCATAAAATAGCTTTTGCTCGTTTTGGGCTTTATTGTTTTCTTATGGGCCTTAAACAATGAACCTATGCAATCTTATTATATGTTGTCATGACATATATTGGAACAAATGTCTAGGAACCGAACACATCTCGTATGATCGGCACAGCCCATGAAACAACGTTACTGTGTGCACAACACATCATAAACCGGGCATGTGTATGGAGAGACTATTGATGTCACTGTCTCTTTTCTTACGTCACTACTAAACACTATAAATGCAAACTTATAAAAACAAGCTATTTATTGGAGCTAAAATGAATGATCTATAGATCCCTGATAAAGTAATGAACAACAGAAGCCTATAGGAGATTGTTGATTAGACACACCATCTACAAAATCATGCTATGTATTAAATGCTTATTATAGTTATCTTATTCATATTCCTTTAGTAAACTATCAACCCGATCAATGTCATACAGTTGAAAGACTACATATAGTTCGTAACACCAAGTCCTCTAAACTATAGTCGCTCCTTCTATTTAAGGATCTTCGGAAAATATTTAGAAAATCAATCCCGAATTCGATCCACGATAAAGAAACCAATTAATGATCATTTTAGATTTCAAAAGGTTAACAACATATCAAATTAGCTAGTCAATGTAGAAGCTACAATAAATGTGGTGTATGTGTATACACAATGTATATATATGAAGTAGTTGAGGAATCAATATGTAGGTGGAAGAAGCTATAACAGGCAATGCATTTGAGGCTTTGAGCTGGCTTTATTTCTGCTATGAGGAACTGTGGCTGAGGAGGGGCCTTGCCAGCTCCATAAGACAATATGAATTAGTGCTTCTACCTTCTAACTAATAACCATATATTGTTAATTTATTACAAAGTTGCCCTCTAACCAATCGGAATATATATATGTACATTTTAAAACTACTTCTTTTTAGCATAAATTTTGTAATTATCTTTGTTACCTAGATCATGCGCTCTGCATGCCGTACTTTTAGCCGTAGTGGTAAATACATGACTTTTTTCATCCAAGCATTTGATATTTGGACGCACTTCCAACCACATTGTTAGCATTTTACATCTCAAACTTAATTATAAAGGGAAAATTTAGTATATGGGATGGATTATTGTGATCGACTTTTACTTAATACACGCAATTCAGATTTTCACTGTCGCAGAATTCGATTTACATGACTAATTATATGGACCTAGCTAGCGAATTAATTGTTCATATATAGTACTATCGGGTTAAAATTCATAGTATGTTGTAATATCGCCCTTTCCTGACATGTGGTTTTCGCGAACTTAAGACTTTTGTTTTGTCTGAATCACCACATTCTATATTGCATATTTAGGTGACGAGGATAAAAGGGGTGCGGAGAAATGCGTGAACTCTACCTACACTATCTGTTTTTTTTTTTTTTTGGGCAAACGCACTAAACGTTATCCTCTCATGTGATACTGTTTAATTTGGGGTCGGTGGTACGTACGTAGATACCATTATATACTGATCTCATTTACTCATCTACGTACTTAGTATATATAATTTGTGTATTTAGGTGTTTGTTCCAGATAAATGGACTCTTAGTAGACAACAAAAGACTGAAACTGAATATGAATCAAATTAGAAAATAAATTCTTGAGCTATTATTGTGTTTCATTGATACTAACCATGTAATTAAGTTCAGTTTATTTTGGCTATTATTCTTCTAAAATGAAAAAGCTGAACCGGATGCCTAACTGAGACATGTACATGTATAGAAAGATAAACGAAACACTCAAAGTCTTAAAGAAGAAGAAGGAAAAAAAACACGTATATTCACGTGGCTACGGTATACACACCAAGTATTTGAATAGTAACTTTTAGAATAAACAAAATCAAATTAATAACTCAAGGAATGCATTGTCATGTTTAGAAAATTAATAAGAGACCTATTATAAATACAGACAAGAGACGATCTCATAGAATCATATCCTCTCTCCTCAATATCTCTTTCAATACGAATCCGATCATGAGGATATTACCGGAAAGCGGAGGAGGTGCTTTCTGCCTCCTCCTTGTGTTTGTTCTTTGTTCGGCAGCTCATTCTCTTGCCCGTAACATCGAGGTCGTTGGCTACGCCGAAAGCAACAAGATCAAGAGCCCATATGCATACTCAGGTCTAGTATTATACTTACATATAAACACGATTGCTACCTATGTTTATACGTTATGGAATATATGCTTTGTGATCAGTGGTTGATGGTACTAATGCTCCGGTCGAGAAATATTCCTATTCGATCAAAATAAATATGATTACTTCGTTAATTATGCAAGGAAATGGAACACAACAATCTTTTTATAACTTCATCTATTGTTTAGTTTCATTACGATCGAATCCTTTGACTCTCCATGCAAGTAACGCTTTTGTTTGACTGAACTGTTGATCAGGACTCCGAGTAACGATGGAGTGCAAAATGGCGGATATAAAAGAGCATTTAGTTAGAAGAGGAAGTGGAGAAGTTGACGAATCAGGAAAGTTTAGTTTCAATATTCCTCATCATGACATCGTTGGAGACGATGGAACACTTAAAGAAGCTTGCTATGCTCAGCTTCATAGCGCTTCAGGCAACCCTTGCCCCGCAGACGACGGCCTCGAGGCCTCCAAGATGGTGTTTTTATCGAAATCCGGAGAGAAATACGTTTTGGGTCTGAAGCAAAATCTTAAATTCTCGCCCGAAGTTTGTGTCTCAAAGTTCTTTTGGCATATGCCTAAATTCTCTTTGCCTCCACCGCTTAACCTTCCTCCCTTTCCTAAGTTCAAAAAGCCTTGTCCTCCAAAGGTAAAGCTTCCCCCACTGGTCCCAGTTTACAAGCCACCGGTGGTGATCCCCAAGAAGCCGTGTCCACCAAAGATCGCTCACAAGCCGCCGGTGCCCATTTACAAGCCGCCAGTGCCTGTCTACAAGCCGCCGGTGCCTATCTACAAGCCGCCGGTGGTGATCCCAAAGAAGCCATGTCCGCCACTTCCCAAGCCAATCTACAAGCCTCCGGTGCCTATCTACAAACCGCCGGTGCCCATCTACAAACCGATCTACAAGCCACCGGTGGTTTTTCCAAAGAAGCCGTGTCCTCCTAAAGCTCCAGTGCCGATATACAAGCCGCCGGTGGTGATTCCAAAGAAGCCATGTCCACCACTTCCCAAGCTTCCTCCTTTCCCGCCTAAATACATTCCACACCCTAAGTTCGGCAAATGGCCTCCTTTCCCTTCTCATCATGGATAATAAACTCCCTCCATACTTATTATGTTCAGTGATACTTAAAAAGATATATTCCTTCGTTGAATTCTATTGTAGATGTTTGTTGTTTCTATATCTTCACATTCCAGCCAATAAAATCCGTATTTTTTTTGTTTGTTAAATAAAATATGTAATCTTTTTACTGTACCTAAAAAACAGAGGGTACCGTAGCAACAAAGTTCTGTAAAATGTAGAATCAATCGCCATTAGGAAATACTAAATACAGAGGAACTTTACATAAACGAGGTTGAATAATAACTTAATATAAGGTTGCATAGGATCTGTGTTAAATTATTAAATATACATAAATTCAATAACAAGAATACTATATTTCCCGGATTTTCTGACGATTTCCGTTTTTAATCAAGAATTGAAAATTCAAAATATTCGGATTATTTCCTAAATTTGAAGTGGAAAATGAAAAAAAAGATGAAAAGAGGTCGCAGCTTGGAGATTGGCCAATGAGGAGGAAAGCAGGACGTCCAGTCCAGGTCCGACTCCAACGCCAACAAACACATCCACTTCCGAGATGTCAGGCTGCTTTATCGACGGTTCATGGTTGGACTCCGCGGGCATTAGTGGACTCGGTTGGATTGTCGTTGCCAACCGAAATATCAGTCTTGTGGGTCTACGCGGAATAGATCGAAGCTTATCTCCCCTGCACGCGGAACTGGATTCTCTTTTATGGGCCATGAAATGCGTCCTCTCTTCACATGTTACTAATAAAGTCTTTTATACAGATTGCCTGGACTTAATTTCCATGACAGCGAACCCCTCGGATTGGCCTACATTTGCAGTTGAGCTTGAAGACTTTAGGTCCTTATCTTCATGTTTTAGTTCATTTCGTTTAGCTCATATCCCCCGGTCTTGTAATGTCCGTGCTGACCTGTTAGCAAAAGCCGCTAGGGCACGAGGAGTAAGGTTTTCCTATGTAAGCGTTGCGGCTCCAGCCTGGCTATTTCTCGAAGAGAGTCATTTGCCGCAAACGTAATAAAATGGTGTATTTGTTGTAAAAAAAGGTCGCAGCATTATTAATGAGCAAAGACACGTGTCGAGTTTTGGTATGGATATTGAAGAGTATTTACCGTGGTCAAACTCAACCTAACCACGGTTAAATCATTCAAAGCCATGGGGATCTCGACACGCGTCCCAATCCAAAACGCCACGATATTATTTTCTCACGGATATCTCGCTATATATATCCTCTTCATCCTCTCTACTACTTTTAAGGAAAATTTAGGTCACTCACACTTTTGATATTCCAGAAGAAAAAAAAAATCGACAATGGCGCATCCAAAGGTTTTCTTCGACATGACCATCGGTGGAAACCCGGCGGGACGGATCGTGATGGAGTTGTACACCGACAAGACACCGAAGACGGCGGAGAATTTCCGAGCACTGTGCACCGGCGAGAAAGGCGTTGGACGCAGTGGGAAGCCTCTCCACTTCAAGGGATCGTCGTTTCACCGAGTGATCCCAAATTTCATGTGCCAGGGCGGAGATTTCACAGCCGGGAACGGGACCGGAGGGGAATCGATCTACGGAGCCAAGTTCGAGGACGAGAATTTCGAGAGGAAGCACACAGGAGCTGGGATTCTGTCCATGGCGAACGCAGGTGCCAACACGAACGGATCTCAGTTCTTCATCTGCACCGTGAAGACCGACTGGCTCGACGGGAAGCACGTGGTTTTCGGTCAGGTGATTGAAGGATTGGACGTTGTGAAGGCGATTGAGAAGATCGGATCTTCCTCTGGAAAGCCGACGAAGCCAGTCGTTATCGCCGACTGCGGTCAGATCTCTTAGGGTTTTAGTTGCGGTGGTGGTTTAGTGTTGTTGCTAATCTCCTAATTAATCTCTTTGAATCTCCGTTTCTTAGCTATGATGGACTGTTTCCCTTTTCCTAATTAACCATCCCACTAATAGCACTCCTTTTTTGGCGTTTTGTTCAGTAGACCCATAATAAATACAAATAGAGTAAAGGAAAATAGGCCCTTTGGAGTTAACAACATTTTAAATCCTTATGGGCTTTTCTTTTCCTACACGAATATAGTAGCAACCGTAATTCACTTGAAGTTAACTACTTTGTAAAGAAAATTTATAAGGTGAAGAAAGCGTAACAAATTGTAAATCACCTTAACAAGTCTTCTTCTTAATGTTTTTTGGGTCTTCTTTGTGCAAAATTTATGGTATATCAAATATGACTTAAAATCATTTTTGTAGGCTATTAAATATTAGTAACGTATGATAGTACTAATAAATTAATTCCGGGTAATGCTGCAGCTCTTGAGATAAGCATGTGCTTATGTTGTTGTATGCTATAAAAAAGTATATTGTTTCGCAATAAAAAAATGGAGAGCCAGGCAAACCGAAGATTAAAACGTGTGAAAGTCGATTGGACCCCAGCTCCACAGTATCTTTTTCTATCATGGGCAGACAACTGTATAAAATGTTTTTGAATCGGTAAAGGTAATGTTTTTGTAATTATTATTAGGTGAGAAATGGTTAGTAATGAGACAAAAAGAGACAATTACCCAAATGGAGTCTAGCCGATGGCTATAACCCAAAAAAAACGAAAGTGAAAACAACAACAACAATTGCTTCTCTAACTAAACCTAACGCGTACCGGACCCGGTTTAGCCCTCGGCAAGGCGACGAAGTTTCGTGAGCTGTCGTCTCCTGAGAGGGAAAAGAGTTCGAACCAGATCTCTTTCTCTCTCTCTCTCTCTCTCTTCTCTCTTCTCTCTTCTCTCATATTTGAATTCCGCAAATCGTAAGTCGCGAGAGACGGCCGCGTTGCATCGGACCACTTGTGCGATTCTCTTTCGTCATCCACTTTCTCTCCTTTCCCTCTCTTTATCAGCTACCCTCCTTCAATTTCTTCGTTTTTCATTGCCGCCGGAAAATCGCGATTGATTCTGATCGGAACCATCCCTGAGAAAGACTCTGGATAATTGGATTACCGGGGGAGCTGCTTTTCGTGAGCGAGATTTGACTACAAGTCTCTTCCGATTCGTTCGATAGATAAATAATTTAGGGTTAATTTGGGGTGTGGGGAGGGTCTTCGTTAGACTCGAAATCGATTAGAGAATGGAGTCTGACAATGGGAAGGGGTTGATACTAGCTGTGGCGTCTAGTGTTTTCATTGGTTCCAGCTTCATCTTGAAGAAGAAAGGTCTCAAGCGAGCTGGTTCTAATGGTACCCGAGCAGGTAATGTAACATCTTCCCCTTCAGTTTTCCTTAATTTCTCTATACAAATCCTTAATGGATGGGCAAGTTTTCTCTGTTACTTTTTTTTTAATCTACCATTTGATGATGCAGGTTATGGAGGTTATACATACTTATTAGAGCCTCTTTGGTGGGCGGGCATGGTGACAAGTGAGTTCCCATCATGTTTTTTTAAGTAGTTTTTTTCTTCCATGTTCGCATACTCTGATTCTAAACAAGATTCTGTAAAACCTCAAAAATGTTTTAGTGATTGTTGGAGAAGCTGCCAACTTTGTTGCCTACATTTATGCACCGGCTGTGCTCGTCACTCCTCTTGGTGCATTGAGTATAATCATCAGGTATCTATATGTGATGACACCGCTCAGTTCCACTGTTCTGTCTTGTGTGATTCTCTGACTAACCTGTCATTTTTTCCAACTCATTTTCTAGTGCTGTTTTGGCACATTTCCTTTTAAAGGAAAAACTTAAGAAAATGGGGGTTCTTGGATGTGTGTCTTGCATCGTTGGATCCGTTGTTATTGTCATACACGCTCCTAAGGAGCAGACTCCAAATTCCGTTGAAGAAATATGGAATCTAGCAACTCAGCCAGGTAGCTCTCTCTTTCTCTCCCACACCTTATGCCTTCTGTGCGGTTGATTGTTTATCTGACAAATACACTTTTTCCTTTCTTGTGTATGAAACAGCTTTTCTGTTTTACGTAGCCATAACCATGTCGATTGTCCTTGCTTTAATTCTGCACTTTGAACCTCTGTGCGGCCAAACAAACATTCTGGTTTATATCGGAATCTGTTCATTAATGGGTGCTCTCACTGTAAGTTGCTTCATCTGATCATCCAAGTTCTTACTTTTGAACTGTATTTCTACTTTTCTTGTGCGCCTATGTAGGCTCGAGTAAGTTCTTGTTGCTGGTGTCTCTAAAGTTTGCCATGTTTATACCAGGTTATGAGCATAAAAGCTATTGGAATTGCGATAAAATTAACAATGGAGGGAGTAAGCCAGATCTGGTATCCACAGACATGGCTTTTTGTCATGGTTGCAGCAACCTGTGTTGTTATACAGTTGATTTATCTGAATAAGGTAAGCTCCCGTTATCAGAATTCTTTTGATATCCCTACATTCTGGGGTCAATAGGTTAGGTTCCGAGTTAGAGTAGAACATGTATATTGTTAATGCCCGGGAACAAATATCCATCAGTAGATCATCAATCAACTAGACCTCTAGGGGCAGAACTGCTAGGATTTTTTGGACCAAAAAATCAGAGCCTTAATCGTTTAGCAAGGAGGTCTAGAATTTCACTTGGCATTGCTGATACTTGTACCATTCCCGTGCTGACTTGTTGAAACTTTTGGCCTATGATTGAATTCTTTGGCAGGCCTTGGACACATTCAACGCAGCAATTGTTTCTCCAGTGTACTACGTAATGTTCACAACCCTCACAATTGTTGCTAGTGCAATAATGTTCAAGGTAACTACACCAGCAATTCTGCTTGAGAAATTGGTTATGAGAAACACTCTTAACATTACGTCCGATGCTTCTGACAGGACTGGTCTGGGCAAGACGCAGCCAGCGTAGCTTCTGAGATATGTGGATTCATCACTGTGCTCACAGGCACAATGATACTTCATGGCACCAAGGAGGAGGAACAACAAGCTTCTTCAGGTAAAAAAAAAATCTACATTTTTCAAATACTATTGATAGATAGATAAGCCCCATCATATCTGTTTAAGGCATGAAACGCAATGCAGATTTGATGTTTGGGTCTTCAGAAACAGTAAGATGGTACGAGTCTAGAAAGAGCACGAATGAAGAACATCTGATAAGCCTGTACAGTCCTGAATACTAGGAAGAAGGTGGCATCTCTAGAATCCCAATAGATTTGAAATGTGCCAAAAACAAGCCTAGCCTCGTGAAATGATGTCTGGTTCGTTGTGGTGGCTTGTTAGTTTTGTATTGATTCTCTTGTGGTCTCGCTCTGTACAGACAAAAGTTTGTCTAAATTAAACTTCACACATTTTTTAGTTTTGAGCTCTGTATCTCTTGTTAGCACTCAGTACAGGTTATTCTTCTTCTTCTTCTCATATGGACTTTTGTCCCAATATATGTATCTTCATTTTTCTGGGATGAAATATTCTTTAATTGTACTCGAATTGAAAGAAGAAGAAAAAGAGTTAAAAGGTTTGACCAGAAAGAAAAACATTTAAACTTGATTCGGTTATTTTGATGCTTTTGAGAATGGTTAAATAAAATTCGTTTTGTGCAACTGATGCGAGTGATTCGAGTTGAAATCCAGTTCCTAATTAAGCTCAGTTCTGATAGTATTCAAAAGTTGTATACTGCATTGACTGTATATACATATATGGAAACGAATAACAGTGAACATAATTTGATTTGATTTTGAAAGCCTATATAATAAAACGTACGTTGGATTTGATTCCCACGTAGAGGATAGGTGCTTTGTAAATTGTAGTGTAGAAGAAGAATGGGGAAACAAATAGTAGCAACAGTAACAGTGTTGAGTACTCTTTATCTCTGCTGCATCAACAATAACTTGGCAGTCTCCGAATATTACTCCAAGACTCGTCGTTGCTCGCCGAAACAACAAGTCGTCACCAATCTCCATTTCTTCTTTCACGACACTCTCACCTACCCGAACCCATCAGCCGTCCTCATAGCCAAGCCCATTAATCTCACCAGCTTGATGAACAACTCTTCTTCTCCGTCACCTTTCGGCTCTCTCTTCGCCGTGGACGACCCTCTCACCCTCGGACCCGACCCGAGATCGAAGCAGATCGGTAACGCCAGAGGGATGTACGTCTCCTCCGGAGAACGTCTTCCCACGTTGACTATGTACCTCGACTTCGGCTTCACCTCCGGCCATTTTAACGGCAGTTCATTCACCGTGTTTTCTAGGAATCCGATTACGGACAAGGAGAGGGAGCTTGCGGTTGTGGGCGGTCGAGGAAAGTTTAGGATGGCCACAGGAGTGGCTCAACTCAATACATACTCGGTTAACTTGACCACTGGTGATGCTATTGTTGAGTACCATGTCACTCTCTATCATTATTAATTAGCACCATATGCAAACCACTATTACTATCTTTGAATAAAATGTTCAAGGTTGATTTCTACAAGACTTCGTCTACATTAATTTTTGTTATTTTGCATCTTTTGTTATATTGTTGAGTACAATGTCACTCTCTATCATTTATTAACACCATCATGCTTACAAGGCTATGATCAAACCATTACTGTCTTTGAATAAAATGTTCAAGGTTGATGATTTCTACAAGTCTTTTTCTACTTTAATGTGTAATTTTGCATCTTTCCTTATAGATATTGTTTCTTGTATATAATATTTATGCAGTATGATTTTCAATAATTATGCACTTGTGCCTATAACACCATTGTAAACTTGGTTTAAAATCAATAAGTTTGACTGAGCCAAAAAAAAAAAAAGATAAATCAAAAGAGAACAAACCAAAGAAATAAACTATTTTCTAACGCCAAATTAGTAATTAAATAAACCCTAAAAGGTAATACACATACCTGAGATTATTTCATTTAGATTCATGAATCTGCTAATTAACATGTTATACATATAGGAATCATAACATAGGTACCAAAATCGTTTTTGTTTTCTAATCTCTTTATATAGTACCCAACAGACTGTATTTCCCAACTGATCATTCCCGTTGTAAAATTAAGACACGTTCACATTAATATGAAAGGGTTGTATTCTATGTATAAAATTTACAGATGATGAGCAACAATACTATTTTTTGACGTATAAAAGACTAGCTAGGTACGAAGATCATATACAAATTTAAAATCTAAACAGGAATGAAATCTTTCCAAAGATATATAATACATACTACAACATATATAATCTGGATGTGGGATAGACTCAAGTCAAATGAGATCGGATGGGATGATAGAATTACTCAATTCAAGCAATTAGATTATTAGGTGAACCGCGCCACAACATTGCTGACTTTGTCATACATTTATTCTACTTTTTATTTTCTTGTAGCTAATTGAAGGTTCATTTTTTGTTGTTGTTGTTGAACTAACTTGGACGACTGTGCATGATCGGTGTAAGTCGTATAAGTAGGCTTATTCCATCGCAGCAGGAACTCATTTTAATTACTTGCAAATATATAGACAACATCATAAGGTAAAAATATGGCAAAAGCAGAGGATGTAATAATACTAGTGGTGGTAGTGTTAATAACGATAATGCCACTGGTTGCACAAGGATCAAGATGGGCTAATCTGCTGGAGGAATCAGGGAAGGAAAAGGTAACCAACCTTCAGTTCTATTTCCACGACACCTTGAGCGGCAAGAATCCGACCGCCGTTAAGGTGGCTCAGGCCGCCGACACTGACAAATCTCCGACCCTGTTCGGTGCCACGTTCATGGTGGATGATGCTCTAACCGAGACCGCCGATCCCAAATCCAAGCTCGTTGGCCGGGCCCAAGGCCTTTACGGTTCTTCATGTACATGCATATCTTGTCTCATAACCGGTTTAATGTTTGGTACAAACCAAATCTTAATAGTATTATTAATTTAATTTTATCTTGGTTTGGGTTTCTTGCTGGACAAGGTAAAGAAGAGGTAGGGCTGATAATGGCGATGAGCTTCTGTTTTGAGGACGGTCCTTACAAGGACAGCACCATAAGCATGATCGGGAAGAACTCGGCGATGAACCCAATTCGAGAAATGCCTATCGTCGGAGGCACTGGATTGTTCCGGATGGCTCGTGGCTACGCTATTGCACAGACCAATTGGTTCGATCTCAAGACCGGTGATGCGATCGTTGCCTATAACGTTACCGTTGTTCACTAGAAATAAACTAGCTAGAGAGATTACGGCTTTGTTTTTGGCCATGTCTACATGTAATGTAATATTTTCAGTACTTTCCATTTCTTTACGTTTTCGTTTCATACCTCGAGATTTTCTCTTGACGACGAGATAAATAAATATGTATTTTTTTTTTTACATCAAAACAACATATACTGTACTTAACACCTTTACAAAGTCAAATAGAAGTTTACAAACTAACAAACAAAGTCAAATAGAAGTTTACAAACTAACAAACAAAGTCAAAACGGAGAGAAATGATGATTAGACAAAGAAGGCCCGTAGGCTACAGACCTAAGCCCAAAAGTGAAAACGGGTTGTCTTTGTTTGCATGATCCACTACCAAAACCAGATCCGGTTTTACTTACCGATCCGACGGCGGATCAAGTCTCGTGTCATATGATTTCTAACCGGCGAATCTCGCCGGCGTTAAACCTTTCGGGCTTGTTTTCGCCGGGAGCAGCAGGAATTCATCGCATACAAGGAGTGAAGTCTCCTCCTCCCATGGTGGTTTCTCCCTCCAATGCCCATCAGTAACCCTAGGAAACGGCCAGTCTGTGTCGCTCGATCGTTTCTAAGCAGACACGCGAGCAAAGGAGAGCTCTCTCAGGCGGTGTCTCATCTCGAGTCTTTGACAGAAGCAGGGATTCGCTTACCCTTTGAAGTCCTAGCGTCGCTGCTACAGCGTTGTGGAGATACGAGGTCTCTGAAACAAGGCAAATGGATTCATCGTCACTTGAAGATAACAACTGGATTCAAGAGACCCAATACGCTTTTGTCCAATCATTTGATCGGAATGTACATGAAATGTGGTAAACCTATCGATGCGTGTAAAGTGTTTGATAAAATGCATTTCAGGAACTTGTATTCGTGGAACAATATGATCTCTGGGTATGTCAAATCAGGGATGTTGGTTCGCGCACGAGTCGTGTTCGATAGTATGCCCGAGAGGGATGTCGTGTCCTGGAACACGATGGTCATCGGGTACGCTCAGAACGGGAACCTACACGAGGCCCTGTGGTTTTACAGAGAGCTGAGGAGATCTGGGATCAAGTACAACGAGTTCAGCTTCGCCGGAGTTTTGACGGCATGTGTGAAATCGAGGGAGCTCCAGCTCAACCGGCAAGCTCACGGGCAGGTCCTGGTTGCTGGGTTTCTGTCAAATGTTGTGCTTTCTTGTTCAATCATCGATGCGTACGCAAAATGTGGGCAGATGGAGAGCGCTCACAGATGTTTTGATGAGATGTCAGTGAAGGATATTCATATTTGGACCACTCTCATCTCCGGATATGCCAAACTTGGGGACATGGAAGCCGCTGACAAGTTATTCTGTGAGATGCCAGAGAAAAATCCAGTCTCTTGGACCGCATTGATTGCTGGATATGTTAGACAAGGTTCAGGGGACCAAGCGCTGGACTTGTTCAGAAAAATGATTGCTTTGAGGGTTAAACCAGAGCAATTTACTTTCAGCAGCTGTCTCTGTGCCTCTGCGAGCACTGCATCTCTTAGACACGGGAAGCAAATTCATGGCTACATGTTCCGCACAAATGTTAGTCCCAATGCGATTGTTATAAGTTCTTTGATCGATATGTACTCCAAATCAGGGAGCTTAGAAGCCAGCGAGCGGGTTTTCGATCTCTGCGGTGACAAGCGAGACTGCGTTTTGTGGAATACGATGATTTCTGCATTGGCACAGCACGGGCTTGGCCACAAGGCCTTGCGCATGCTTGATGACATGATCAAACTCAGAGTTCATCCAAATCGGACGACTCTGATTGTGATTCTCAGTGCCTGTAGTCACTCAGGTCTGGTAGAGGAAGGAGTCAGGTGGTTTGAGTCAATGACAGTTGAGCACGGGGTCGTTCCCGACCAAGAACATTACGCATGTCTGATAGATCTCCTAGGTCGTGCCGGTTGTTTCAATGAACTGATGAGCAGGATAGAGAAGATGCCTTTTAAACCAGACGAGCATATCTGGAATGCAATCCTAGGAGTATCCAGAATCCATGGAAACGTAGAGCTGGGAAAGAGAGCGGCGGAAGAGCTGATCAAATTGGACCCAGAGTCGTCTGCGCCATACATATTGCTCTCGAGCATTTACGCAGACCATGGGAATTGGGAATCAGTTGAGAAGCTGAGAGGGGTTATGAAGATGCGAAGGGTGAATAAAGAAAAAGCTCTTAGTTGGATTGAAATCGAGAAGAAAATTGAAACTTTCGCAGTATCAGACGGGTCGCATCAACGTAAAGAAGAGATCTACTCCGTTCTGCATAATCTGGCTGCACTTATGGAAGAAGAAGCTTCAAGAACATGATCCGCGTTCAAGAAGATGCAAATTTTTCTTTCCAGGATTGTACACTGTTAAAGCCTGCAAAAAGAGCAGAGATTTATACGTGTTGTGATGATTTCGTTTTTAGCTTCAGAAGTTTTGTAAGTCTAGCAGAGCTAACAACTACAAATTTTGTTTTCTTCTTCTTCCAGATTTATTTGTTTAATAAAGAAGCAAAATGGAATAGAATTTTCATTCCCACAGACAGTTTTTTCTCGCTTTTAAATGCTAACCTCGGTTAAAAAATGGATTTTTCTGGTTGGATTTGTAATTGGCTCAGTTAATAGTTATTATTACAAAACAATGGAGATGACAGGTGAGAAAGAAATGGACAAATACAAAATGAAGACAAGCTACCAATATTTATGATGTCTCCATCAAATTTATGGCTAAGCCCAAAAAGGCAACCAAACAATGCCACAAGCCAATAAGCCAGTTTTTCTAAACCGGTGACTAAGTTTTGTGCATCGGTCAAGCTTTTAGTTCCTGTGTACACTTTACAATCCTGTGTACATTTGGAAATTCTACTGGTAAGGCTTCAAGAAGAAGCTCGTCCAATGGTTTACAAAATGAAAGAGAAGCGCTTTAATTGAAGCTTTCTGCGTTTTTTGTTGTTTGATATCTATAGTCCTGTGAGTGGTTAAGATAGAACCACGACCTTGCTCAGAATCCACATCACCAGAGAGAACTCAAATGCAAAGAGTGTATGGAGCAATCCTCTATCGAGTGCATATCCATAGAGCGTAATCCCTTTGTTGTTATGTCGCAGGTATTCCACTGCAATGATCAACTTTGCAAGTTTTATTTCGAGAAAAAGAAGAAAAGAATGCAATCTGAATATAACGCACCTAGAGCTTGCCTAGCCTGGAAGAAGGAAGATGAGTCCAGTGACGGCGACACATTGATGTATACGTTGTCGGATGAGTCAGTGTCACTGTCGGGTGAGGCGGCTTCAGAAGCACATGTCAAAGTCATGTGCCACCTCGTTGCAATGCACACTACTCCTTGAGCTCTGTGTGTTATTCTTGCAGCACCCAACAGGCACAAGAAGAATCCGCAGAGCTGAACTGCAGAGCATACCTTAAGATAGAAGAAAACATTAATGCAGATTGCTGAAAGTAGAGAATCAGCTCAACAAAAATTTAGAGTATTACCACCAAATCACCAGAGTTGAGGAAACTCTTGTCAGACTTTGAGGCAAAAACTAACAGTAAGGCCACAAACTGACTGGAACTTATCACAACAAAGGACGCGATGATGAAGAACCTGTACCTGTGACTTGTACTCGACAACTGTTTCTTGATCCTTGCGTGCTCCTTACATACATCTTCTATGGTGTCTGATCCACATCTATCGAACATCTTGTGCAGCCCTCGAAACCTCAGTATCAGCAGCTCACAGGTCAACCGGAACAGGACACAAACGAGCAAGAACACTCCTGTCCGGTAAACCCATGAAAATAAGACGAGCAAGAACATCACAAAGTTCAATGTAGCACAAGATGACTCTATGAAAGGAAATGATACTTCGGCTGAGGAGAAAAATATGCTCTTATGCACAATTTCTACAAGGAAAGAAGGCAAGAGTATGCAGGCCATGCAACGTAAGGCCTTGTCAAGTTCACGCGAAAAGCCTAGCTTCACCAACGTAAAATCATCAAGAAACAGAAGCTGTCTGAGACAATAAACCCTAAAGAAACATACTAGGGTCAAGAAGCCGATGAGGGCCAGCCCAGACTCTGGGAATTGGACAAGCACATTAAATGACTTGGTCTCGACAACTGGTGAAGGTGGGGTTTCAGGAGTTTTGATGGACAGACAACTCATGAGGGGGACTAGTAAAGTGAAGACTACAAACATCAAATAGGACACAGCTTTTCCATAAGAAGAGGAGTGATCCAAAGCGCAGCACTTGAGGAGAAGACGGAAGTTGCGCAGATCATCAGAAAGCAATGACTCTGATGGTTGTAAGGGTGTGTCTGAGTAGATGGACAGGTGATTGAAAAAATATTCGTCTTCACAAGGATTCATATTTTTCCAGATGAATCAAATTGTTAAGGGATCACCAAAGTGATATATAGAAGGTAAAGGCCACTGCGAAAAGAGAAAGTGACAACTCAAAATAAATACACCCACATGCAATGCAAGATATATATAGGTATTTGGTATATGTCTTACATTTTTCATCAGGAAATAGAGAAACTGGAGAGAAAAGCAAAAGTAGCTTGCTTTATCCCGTGAAGTGAAGAACCCCCTCTCTCTCTCTCTCCTTAACTACTTTTGGGTGATCCAACTTGGCTATGTGTAGCTTTCCCGGCAAGGTAGGCCTTTTCAAGTCTTGGTTCTAGTTAATATATGCAGTTGACAAACACGAGCGCTCTGCTATGCAACAACACTTTTTATCCACAACAAAATTCGATGATAGATTTCTGCTTGCTCTGTTGGGAGGAATTGTATCATTTTACCTAGGAATCAAAACACGGCTTGTGTTGTGAGTAAGAACATGTTACATGTGCCTGAGATTGAAGCTTTATATTCAGTTTAGTTTAGTTTATGCCAGATGCCATTCTTCAAGAGAGAAGTGAGAACAGTACCCTGAAACTGGTTACCGGCAAAATTTGGACTTCATACTTTCTTCCAACGAACAGAAAACAACTGAGAACAATCCTGCAGATGCATAATTATTAGGACAAATCAGTTGTCGTTGGTAACTTACAGCAAACGAAATGATACTTAACAATTTTTGTGAGACCAGTCGAAGTTAACAAAAGCGATGGCAGATTCATGAATAAAGAAGTGAACATTTGGCCAGCAATTTCGGGAAACCGAGCAAATGACTAACCTGAGAGGGGACTATCTTTCTGCTGTAATGATCCTTTTATAAGCAAAGTTCCTGGCATCTGCTGGAACACCTATAACAGAGATTTCTCCATCATACACCCGTTGAAAAGGGGAAGGCAATTGTTAAGGATATATTAAATCAAATCCAAACAAACCAAGATGCGGAAAGATAGGTTATCTTCAGGGACTTGCAAACTGGAGCTATCCAGGGACTGTTTTTCATATCCGTGGCTTCTTACAGTTTCCACATCTCTGATGCCATTCTTTGATATTATGTTGCACTGGTCACTGGACGCAACAATCTGCATAACAATAGAAGGGAACTTTGTTGAGCTTGAGATAGCGTAGAAACAAGATTGGATGGCAAGATGAAAACGATATTTGTAGTGCACTTACGTCAACAGAAAATGTGGATGAGTTTAATTTGCACGAGGCACCACAGCTCTTGAAGAATTCTTCAACTGATTGCAGCACATCTGCAGCACTGTACTGCCGTGTAATGCCCTATAAAACACAAAATCACCATGAAGAATGTAAGGCTCGACTAGAGACCGAGAACTTTTAATATAGTCGCCATAGAAAACATATGTTACCAGAGCATGTAAAAGTTAAAGATCAGTTACCTCAAGCATAAATGAAGAAATGCTCTTTTTGGCTACAGGAGGTGATATAATCTTCCTAGCTGTGGGTATGAAGGACCAAGCGAGGCCCCAACGGGATGTTTGGCCTTGGACAAATTCAGTGGTCTTTACAACTGTCACCCCTACTTCCCAAAGCTTAGATATCAAGAGTTTGAGGTTAGCCTTCTTTCCAAGCATTGAAGTGTACCACCTAATACAAAACATGAAGGCAAAAGATAAGTCCTCGTGGATGAAAACCCCGAATGTGAAAGAGCCAAGAGTTTATTTGGGGTACAGTCACCTGAATCTTTGCCTCAGTATAATGCTATCTTGGATAATACGGGTCACAAAAGCTTGCTCCCCACCATTGCAAACCATCTCCTCAGGAGTTCCACCGCATGAAGTTTTAGGGTTAAGGCCTGCTTCCCCAAAGGTCTCAAAAAAGGGAGGATTGGACATACAGAAGTCGAATGTTTCATTTTCCTTGACAACGCCAAGGAGTATGGGTGGTCCCATATAGCTCTTGTTGACATCATCAAGAGAATCAGAGTGAAGCGTGGTGGTTTCTTCTGCAGGTATCGTTTGACTAGAGTGCTTCTGACTCTCTCTATCTACAACCTCGGGGACATGGGACTCAGAGGAATGATCTGGAAGAGGTTTGGAGTCTCTGATCTCGATTAGGTCTGAAATATGGGGATTACTTTGAACATTCTTGGCAGCCCATTCTAGAGCTACGGCAGTAACATCTGCGCACAAAAGAAACAACAACATTGGCATCCAATAGAGAATGCAACTAACATAGAGCCATACTGCAATGGAGTTATTGATACCCATGAAAGAAAGAAGAAGAAACCTGAGGCGACAAAAATCCAACCAAAAAGGGATGCACCGAGGAGGGGATAGATGCAATTGGCCCCTGTACCAATGTCAAAGCCCTTAACTTTGCTTCCAGAACAACTTGGAATGATCTCAGAGGACAAAAGATCATTGATCCAATGGATGTAGTTGGATCTATTAGGAACAGTCGGGCAGAGCTGTCCGTCCGGAATCCACCTAGTAAAAACATTGAAGTATTTGTGTAAGATAAAAGGTGTGTAAAGGCAACGAAGATAACTTGCGTAACAATGGAATCAAATACCAGTTGAGGGAATGGTCGTGGAGAAGGAGGATACGAGTGAGCTCGCGGGTGGCGTTGTAATCGGTCCAGTCGATGCGGGGACGAGCACCGGAGAAGAAAACAAAGGGCTTGAAAGAAGGGTAAAGAGAGGCCAAGACAGCGAAGTCCGGTGGGTTGTCGGAGTATCTGTTGCTGGGATGGTTGGTGGAACCAGGTGGTCCTGACCTAGCTCTCTTCTTCCCCTTCCCCATCCCTAAGCCGCCGGTGAACTGGGTGTGAGAGAGAGAACACAATTGTTTCGATCATTGACAATGTGGTTTAACTGTGTTAATAAGATAAACCGAGATACTGTACTACTAATAAACCAAAATTAATCAGTTAATCAATTCACTAAAATTGGGTGGGTGTTAGTTAAGTTAACTGAAGAAGACTCAATAATTGTTATAGCTCGCTGGGGCAATTCGTCGAACACTTGGCGTACAGCTAGTTTTTTTGCTTAAACAGAGAGGCTTTTTCGCACGCACCTGCGAGTAAGAAGCTGATGTGGTTACGAAATTGAGCGAGAGAAGTAAAGCCTAAACAATTCGGCGGGAGATGGGGAACAATATATAAATTCGAAACCTCATCAGGAAAATAGCCGGCCAGATGCTGTTGTTACGGATGATTTTTTTTTTTTTTTCTTGTGAATGGATTGGATATCCCAATTTGTTTGCTACTGATTTTCTCATTGATTTTTACATTCCCTTTTTTCTAAAAAAAGAAAGAAAAAAAACAATACTGCTTAACACTGATGTCCTCCATTGTTGTGTTACTTTTCTTCTATCCTCCAATGTTGTAAACAATTGTCCATTGGAATACAGGCGCTGATCCTTGGTGTGTCTCTCTTCTGCCAATGCTCCATTGCCAGCTTGACTCGAAAAATCCTTTGCAACAACTCAATGGGACAGGACTATCCAAGTCTTTGGTTTTTTTTTGGTAAAAATGTTAAGATTATATTACTAATTTTCAATTTTATGATAAACAAGAAATGAAAAAGACCAAAAATAACAGAAGCAAACTACAGCAAACGGTAACAAACAACCACGACTAGCGAAGACAACCTAACAAAACAACCTGGAAAGACACCATCGGAGGAAGCGCGCAAAGGACAAACTGTGGGAAGGGGAAGCTCGGATGTCTAAAACTACGAAGATGTTACCACGAGAACCGAGATCCTGGTCTGTCCTCAAAAACCTATAAAACTCGATGCCTACAGCTTCACCACGGGCAAAAAGACCCTCTTCGAGACAAAAGAGCAAGCTGCGTTCGGAAAACTAGTAGAAATTGGCATATCCCGCACACGAGAACTAAGATAGCGAGCTTAAAAATCTCTTGGAGGTCGAACCACCAGTACCCCACGCAAAACAAAGTCCACAAGGAACCGTTGCAAAGGAGCCTCATCCCAATCCTAGCCACTAAGACAACAAACCAACCCTCCTAAGAAACCGGCACATGAGCTTGAGGCGACAAAGACACAGCCGCACCCTGTCGAGACCGAACACGCACCAACGAGAGTCTTCGGGCCACCCGGAAGAGAAGACAGACGAAGAACCCCTCCACCATCTACCACCTTCCGCCTAACAAAACCCATTGGTGGAGCAACAAGACCGAGGAGATCCGAGCACCAGAAGAACCAAGCGAAGCCTCGCAAAGGAGACAATAACCTGAAAACTACTAAGCGAACCCAAAACCACCGAAGCAGAAATGGAAACCATCGCCGATGATAACACCACTGCCACACACTACCATCAAGAAGTTGGATAGCCTCGCGATTGGAGATGCTGCAACCACGCGCCACTATCGAGAGGCCGGAGAGCCACCACCCTCCTCGAGCTGCTCTTAAAAAGAAACGCCGGAGAAATCCTGCAAACTCGCCACCACCAGCCACCACCGAGCCAACAACAGACCACAAGAGCCTCGACGAGACCAGCCTCCAGGACTGTCGTCGTGAGGGTCTCTGGCCACGCCGAGAAACCAGATCTCAACCACCTGCCTGCAGAGAACAGGGAGTGAGATAGGCTTCAACACAGACATCCGGTTGACTAGGTGGATGACGCCAGCCATCAAAGACGCTGCACCACCGCCACTGCAACCCCCTGACACCGCCAGGGAAGCAACGCCGACGAGGAAGGACCACTTGAGAACTCGACAAGCAGCACACGGTCAAAATGAGAACGCCGAGAAAAGAGAAAAGAGGAAGGGACAAGAGGGAGACCCTCCCTGGCGGAGGCGAGAAGCGCCGGACGCTGGAGAGGCAGACCGGAGCGGCGGCGGCTGGAAGAAAACTAGGGCGAACACTTTTCTTTTAGAGAGTAGAGTGAGAAAATGCGTTTTTCACTTTCGTTTCCAAGTATTTGGTTGATGAATCGCACATAAATAATAAGTCAAAACTTTTCAGATTCTACTATTGGCGAGAGCAGAACAATTAAAAACATGATCATTCTCCATCGCATCGACAAACAGATTTGGAATCGGCTAGCATCTATACGGGACATAGGTGATAGCATATATGAAGACATAATCGAAGCATAGTTTTGAGTCGAGTTGATTGCTTGAAGAGGAAGTTCTTATGAAATCTTTGTATTATTAGCCTAATCTTTCTTAGTTGTAAAACATGTTTTTTTTTTTGTTGGTTGAATTAATTTGACATTTAATTCCAAAAAAGAGTAAACACATATCTCTTATTATATCAGTTATAATGCATTTCAACAGAAATTCGACGCGATCAATTATAATTTACCAGGTCTAGGTTTGGCATTGGCATTGTGTTACAAAAACTCTTCTGTTTGAATTTTTCTATTTGCATAACACTATCCATACTCATTTTGAAATTATCGACCGACATTTATTAAAGCTCAATCACTTCTTCACACTATAGGTTGATGGAATCACAATTGATATCAATAAACTTAGTAGCTACAACTACTACGACAACAAATCAACGACACATTAACTATAGGGTATTAAGGTATGAATGGTAACGAAAAAGCCGTACGTATTTTATTGGTGATTTCAAAAACGTCTTTTAAACACAAATCATGTACTTTTTTTGTAAATTGCGTTTTTGTAAAAATAATATAAAAATAAATGAAAACTGCGCACGGATTTCAATCACTTGTAAAATAAGTTCCGCAAATTTAATATCTTCCCACTTGTAATAAGATGTGGTTCAAATAAAAACGCATGTAGTTGTATAAGTTTTTACTATTTTAATAATAAAATCAATAGATATATGTTAGAATAAACAATATTATTATAAATTTATCTATATTTTTCAAAACAATGTTTGATTATCTTTTAACACGTTAAAAGTTTTCTAATGTAAAATTTTTACTATATTTTATGTTAAAATCAATTTTTATATAAATTTATATAAAAATCTCTATAATACAATTTATAATTATTTTTCACTCTATAATTATATTATTTATTATCTATTTTTCTTATATATTTATCTATAATATGTAATCTGCACCACATTAGTTTTATTTACCATTCAAATATTTTATTGTGAACTGCAAATTGTTTTTTTACCAATCAAATATTATTGAGTACCGCTTATTAAATATAAATCGTATTTGTTCTGCAAATATATTTTTTCACATGTATCGCAATTGAACCATACCACACTCTTAAACCGTTTTTTTCGGATAGTCAAAAACGCTGTCACCATTCGGATCCATAGTCTAATACAGTATTTTCTTTTTATTGAAAAATTGATATATTTTGAGTAAAAGTACTAATAAATATTCAGAATAAATATTTTTATGTTCCGAGGACTGATTTAAAAGAAGCATTGACAAGTCCCATCGTCATGTCATTTGGAATAAGGACGTTACACTTTTGACCACTCTTTTTGAAGCTTTGACTGGAAATAATAAAAACATTAGGGGATAATCTGTAAATTTAATACTGTTTTGATACTAAAGCGAAATATTATAAAATAAAGAAATCAAACGGCACGCAGTTTGCGTTCCCAAAATTGTGGGACTAGTCAAAATATCTGCTTACGTCCGTCAACTTTAATGTTGACTGAACCAGAAAACAAAAAAACAAATACTCCATAGTACCCCTTTACTCTATGGGAGTATATTAAAAGATTATTGTCTTTCCCATAGTACCCCTTTTACTCTGTTAGATCTTTTCGGGAGAAGAGGATAAGCTTTAAACGATATTCTCTATTTTTCTTTTAAGGGAAGTGCAAAAATATATATAATTCAACAACTTAAGATGTGAATCTGACGGCTGAAAACCGTCCTGCAAAGAATCCCCAACCGTCCAGATCGAAGCTGGGCCAGTGCTCCCTTTAGTTTCCCAAAAAGGAAAAATAATACAATAGGCTGGCCCATTTAGGACATCCATTCTAATATATGTTTTTTTTTTGTCTTAGCATTATTATTCACACCATTTCGTTTCTTTTTGGAAGAAAATTTGGCGAAGTTTGTAAAATGTGTTAAATGTTTTTCCGTTGGAAAAAGTCAAGAAATTGTGCAGAAAAATATAGACAAATAATAAATAACGAATGGGAAAATGGAAAGACGTACCATAAAAAATGGGAATATGAAAAGATATTGAAAGAAAATGGGAGAAAGTAATTAATAATAATAATAAAATGCAGACGTGGCACTGATACCCTTTCCACACATCTGCTGCAGATATAAGCCAGCGTCTGCCTCACGCCAAGGGAGAGAGAGAGAGATCTAATCGGTGATTTTTGTTATTCGGAGAGAAAAGAGAAGAAGAGAGATTTGATCAGAATGAGTGGCGTCGACGGAAACAACGGTGGAGAGAGACGCAAGGGGTCGGTGAAGTGGTTCGACACCCAGAAGGGGTTCGGCTTCATCACACCCGAAGACGGTGGTGACGATCTCTTCGTTCATCAGTCCTCCATCAGATCTGAGGGATTTCGTAGCCTTGCCGCCGACGAATCTGTCGAGTTCGAGGTTGAGGTCGACAACACCGGACGTCCCAAGGCTGTCGAAGTGTCCGGACCCGACGGCGCTCCCGTTCAGGGAAATAGCGGCGGTTCATCTGAGGGACGCGGTGGTTTTGGTGGTGGAAGAGGTGGCGGACGTGGTGGCGGAGGCCGCGGATATAGTAGCGGCGGTGGTGGTTACGGAGGAGGTTATGGTGGTGGTGGCCGTGGCGGAGGTGGTGGTGATGGCGCTTGCTACAAGTGCGGGGAACAAGGTCACATGGCGAGAGACTGTTCTCAAGGTGGTGGTGGATACGGTGGAGGTGGATACGGTGGAGGCGGTGGTGGATACGGAGGAGGTGGCGGTGGCGGTAGGTTCGGCGGTGGAGGAGGTGGCGGAAGCTGCTACAGCTGCGGAGAGTCGGGCCATTTCGCAAGGGACTGCACAAGCGGCGGTCGTTAAAGCAAAACAACTTCAAGGCGGTGTTCAAGGGTAAATCAGTCATCTCACACATGAAAAGACGATCCTCTTTCTCGCCGCCTGCTATCAATATCTATCTTTTTCGTTATTTTTTTGGTTATTTAATCTTCGTGTTCATCTATGTCTTGGAATTATTAGGACTCGTTGTTATGGTTATTATGGTTATGGTTATGGTGCTTGTGATGGATTTTAGCTGTTGGATTGTTATTGCATGTTTATCAAACTTTTGCTTATGCTCTATATTCCAAGCCTTCTTTACTACATTTTTTTATAAATTATGTTGAAAAACTCGAATTGAATCCTTGAAAATGTTTGGCGTCTCTAAGTTCTATTGAGGTTTTGGGTTGTTATTATGCCCAACGGATAAACATTTTGTTGTTTAGGAAGAATACAAAGGATGAAATATATCTGCGTTGTTCCTAAAAGTTTTGTTTTCTTCTTTAATTTTCAAAGATAATAAAGGACAATGAAAATGGTCAAAGCAAAACGAACCCACAAAACACTAGGGGAAACACTAGGGGAACTTTTGTAGATCTAAACGAACCCAAATCTTATCGTGAGAGCATCATTCATTGTTGCTCAGTAAAGTTTCAAAGGTGGGAGCGAGTGTGATTGTGGCTGATGGGAGGAGGCGAGGCCGTAACGGGAGGAGGGCACTGGTAGCATTTGGTGAAGAGGCCGAAAGTGTCGATCTGGTGAACAAAATTGATCATGCTGGCCCAGCCACCGAAGCCGAATCCAACGATGAAGACCCAAACCACAATGAACGCGTTGATGGTGAAAGCCCCAGTCCAGCGCCCAAGAAACTTCGGAGGCTGCTCGACGGCGTTCTCGCGTGCGGCGGAGGAGCGGAAGGTGAAGATGTGAGCGAGCGCAGGGATGATGTAGACGGTGAAGCTGACGAGGAGAGAGCCGACGGTGGAGTTGATGGGACCGAAGAAAGGGAAAACGATGGCAAGAAACCAAATGGGAATAACGACGGGAAGCCTAGCGGCGGCTCGCTTGCACATGCTCCGGCACTCGTGCATCCCTATGAGCTTCTCCCACACGAAGTAGAGCGGCGTGCACGCGAACCCAAACGTTATGAACTGGTGGATGAGCATCAGCACCACTGCGAAGTCTCGGAATAGGTTCTTTGGCAGCAGAGCGAATGCGTTTGAATGGTTTAGAAGCATATCGCCAAACGCCCAGTAAACCGCAGACGCTGAAGGCAGCGTCAGCGTCAGCACGTACACAGTCGCGAACAGGTATATCGACTTGAACTTCTGCGGCTTCCACATCGCATGCATTATTTCTCTGCCACCACCAACAACCATATTCAGACAAAATTTAATTTCATATACATATTCTTGTAATTCCGGTTATGCCCCCCATCCCTTATGTATTGATGGGGTTAAAAAGGTAAAAGAAGAAAATAGAGAAAGAGACATTACACAGTAACAGCATGACCTCCGAAAGTGTAAAGAATGTTTGTGGCCCCTGTGAAGTATAACACCAGCTTGCTTGGTCCCGAATGCTTCACTCCTTCTACCTATATACATATGAAGTAGTGACCAAACAACAAATGTTAAATAGTTATATTTTATCCACATACTACATATATACATGTTATTATTAAATAATATATCTAAAGCATCTACAAAAGCAACGACGTATGATTTATGCATCAAACCATATACTATGTCAGTCGTCTGACACCACTGTATATAGTATAGTATAGTATAGTATAGTATAGTATAGTATAGGGGTTGGGTAAAGTGGTCCCAACCACATGTTGCTTCATACAGAAGCGCCCAAAGACACAAGCAATAAGACAACTTTTTTGATGTTTTTGAGTCCCCTTAATCCACAACAACACCAGCTAGCTAATCTAACCTTAGCTAGAATTTATAAAGAAGAAATGATTCATTAATTAATTAATTAACCTGGCCATGGAGGATGGAGGCAATGGTGAGGTACCAAGCAGTGTAAGTCGTCATCAAGAGTCCAAGAAAGGACCAGATCCTGTAGTTGTGGAAGGAAGGGATGAACACTGTGGTCGCACAACATGCCCCAAATATGTATGTCCATGTCCTCTTGTCCAGATTGTCATTTATGTAATATATGTTGCTGCACATTCATTCATCAGTTGTTATGATGAATGCTAGCTAATCCTCTCTTCTTTTCTTTCCTCAATATATAAAAAAGGATTGATTAATGGGTTAGCTAGTACCTGGCACAGGCTATGAGTTGAATCACGGATCCAAAGAGAAGGAAGGTGCAGTTGAATGCTAACCCAACATTCCTCCAGTGCTTCCCAAGCAATCCATCAAGAACCTCAAACCACTTCACATATTGTTTTTAAAAAGAGACCCAATGTCAAAAAGATAGCTAAGCTTGAGATACTAATATATATATATATATATACAAATTAAAGAGCTATAGCAATTTCAATTGTTACCTGAATGACATGGTTTCTGAAGTTAACTTTCTCTCTCTCTTTTCTGGTTCTGTATTCAACATAGAGAATGCTGATGAGGTATGCAGTCCAGCTACCCAAGAGGCCATAGAAGAGCTGAAACAGAATCCCTGAGAGCATCCCAAGCTGTGAAAATGAATATGGCAGCGTCAACAGCACTTGCGCCACCTAAACAAACAATCAATTTCTGATCATCATCATATTCCTCTATATTATATGATATATCATCAAGTTACGGACGGACAGAGTAAAGACCAAAAGCTTTCTCCATTACGTACCTGATTGGAAGCGCAGCTAAACCAAGCATCATAGACAGAGCCGCCATGCCAAAACATGTTTGAAAGCTTTGATTTCATATCCGAGGCTTTCCCTTCACTCTCCATCTCCACATAGTTCCCAACAACAACCGTCTCCACTGCTTTCTCACCGTTCTCCATTGCTTCTTCTCTCTTTTGAGTAGAATACCAGTAGATGGAGAGAGTTTATAAATAATATATATATATATAGAGAGAGAGAGCCAGAGAGGGAGAGAAAGAAAGAAGGAAACTAATAGAAGAGTGTGACTGTGTGTAGACAGAGAGGGAGACACGGAAGTAGTTTTTCAAGGCAAGAGGATGATGAGCAAAGCCCCAAGCAAACTCTCTTCCCTTTTGTTCTTGATAGCTACTTGTGAGAGATTTTGTTTTGGGAGTGACGACATACATAGTTTCAAATTATATATACTACTCTCGATTTAAAGTATCTTTTTCCCACAGATAATGATATACTATCATACTGTATTTATTTATTGTAACCAGTATTATTAATTATCAAACCTAACAAAAATTCTATTGTTACCCACTTACCAATATTACTGTTATTTGTTCATGAATATTTATTACAATATGGGTAGCTTTGAAAGGGTGATTTTACTAAGAGTTTCAATGTATTTGTTTTTTATTTTCCAAATATTATGTCGATTGACAATCCGGTAAAGATGATCAGTGATTTCTTAAATATTTTTCATTCTTTTTTGTGTGGAAAATACAATAACAATTCGAGTCATTGTGGAAATGGAAATCGTGATATTATCATGGTATACTGTCTCCGTCAAAATTTTCTAATGAAAAAGTAATGCCGAAATCAGATGGCTAATATATTTACTTGTACTAAAAGTCCAAGTACTGGTTTGTTGTTTTTATCAGCAAATTTATACAAACTATTTTAAAGCTATTTGTTAAATAAAAAAAGTTTTCTTAACAAACACATTTTTACTTGGCTGTAAGCTGAGTATTTGATGAAATGCTCTCAAGCTATTGATCATAAAACTTTTCTCGTATCAATGTTCTGAAAAAAGAAATGTGTATTGTTTTTTCTTCTTAATAAACTACTCCGTTTCCGTTGATAAGAAGACAAGACTTGGGGTGAAAATTTTGCTAGATAGTACATTAATATTCTCCCATGATTCGAACAAAGATTGTAAATCTCGATGTTGCTTATAGAAGAAGTCCTTGTATTTATTGATCTAGATTTTCTTTTTCTACGTGTTTGATGATTTTAATACGGATACTACTGCACCTGCACTACAAGACTTACAGCTGTAAATAATGAGCTGTCAAAAACATAAAGGACAATGGGCTTTCAATGGTAGAACAAAAACCTTTTTGACATCTAACAAAAACTTTATACATCAACTATGTATCGTATCTAGTGACTAAAGTAAATGAATGTCTGCACCTTTCGGAGAATAGAGGAACATAAAAGTCTGTACTCCTAAGTTTAAGGGTAATCAGGTTCAATGATCTCTGTTGTAGAAGTAACATTTTGATTATGCATTCAGAAATTAAATTTTCTGATTTTTAGAAGAGAATGTCATGCACACTATTAAATATTGGTGATGAGTTATCACGATTTCGTTCAAAATTGTCATGTCGTTTAAGCTTTCGGTAACATACTAACTAACATGTATAATGATCGGAAGCTATCCAAAAACTTTAAAAAGAAACGAAACGAAAGACGTGCGTTTTGGAACGTTAATTAAACATTTTAGATCTATAGCATTTTTCTTAGAAAACGGCTCACAATTTTCTATAATGTGCTATGATTCTATGAACATTCATTTATGCGATACTAACTACTAAGCAAGATGATATATATATATATATATATCTATATTTTTTTATGTTTTTCATATAATGTAACGTGTTAATCTTTGTTACGATCCATCTACAAAGTACTTTTTCAGATACATTCAATAATATCATGCGTTAAATCTCATACCTAAAATCAAATTTATTGTGTAATTTATTCATAGCAACTTAGCATTTATTTTTGCCTAGATAAAATCTTCACTCTTGATATTTCACAAATTTCGCCAATGATTAATATCACGGAAAATAAATCGATAACGTTACCCTACTTAGGTGTATGTACGAGGGAAAAAAACAAGAAGCATAGATAGTTGGGATATATTTTTATAAGAGAAGTATATAAATAAAATAAATAAAAAGAGAGAGAATAATAAGAAAGTAGACCGAATCATTGCAAGAAACACAAGCGTGGTCGCTTTTATAATATGAGGGAAGCTCGCTTTTATCACATGCCCATTCCCCTCTCTGAAATTTGTGCTCTCTTTCTTATTATTCTCAATTAAACTTATTCAAGAATATATATATATATACATATATATTTGCATAATCTAAAACCTTATATGAGATTCATCTACAGATAATTGCATTGGATAATGCTAACTTTGAGATATAGACATATAGTGAAATGCGCATAGTAGATACTTAAAAATTGGATTTGTTGTAGGTGGGCTTAGCACAGCCTCCTTTTTGAAATTTCGTTCAGGTCTGTTAGTGAAGTGGAAGCCCAATAAGATCAAAGATCGACAAACCCATGCGCGAAGAGTAAAACGAAGTCGTTCGGGGAGATAACTTTTTCGTATCAAAGGAGCAGCTCGCCACCTCGACATGGATGGGACAGCTCGCCACATCAATGAAGATGAAACAGCTCGCCAGCACGACGTTCTAATAGACGGTCGGTCAGGTCTATCTACCCAGCCGCCCAAGCTACTCTGATCGAGATATAACCTAATTTGAACACTATAAATAGCCCTGTAACTTCATTTATTACGGGATCCGTAATCTGAAATAGAGACAAACATACTCGAGAATTATAATCACAACTCTTACCTCGCTTAGTTGATCTCGTCCAAACAATCCCGAAATATTCACATCGATCTCACCTCTAATTTAAACAAGAATCTCCGAGCTCCATGAGATTGACCGAGAAGATTGAGACGATGAGGCTGGAAAAAAGCGGAGCAGCTAGAGATTGAGACGATGAGGCTGGAGAACTTGGACTTGGTCAAGAATCTTCAGTTCGTTAACGAGGCCAAAATCGAAGCTGAGAAATCGATTGTTACCGAGGTCGTTCGCGCGCAGCATCGGGCTGAAGAGAAGATCGAGACGGAGACCACTCGAATCTGGGCGGACGCTGAAGCCAAGTACCCGGGTCGCATTGATCGGCTGAGGACTCGCATCGCCGAGCAAGAAAGGATGGAGCAGGTGAAGCTTGACCTCGTTCAAGCTCGAGGTACTCTGGAGTGCCTCGATCTTTTGAAGGATCAAGAAATGTCAGAGGCAGAGCTGAAAGCCGAGCTCGAAGCAACGAAGCGCGACTGCGAGCTGAAGCTGGAAAATCTTAGCCTTACCGATCTCGAGGAGGGCGACTTGCCTCCACTTTACCCCAAAACTCCGGATGGTGGTTCAGATCACAACGATGTCGAGGATCGTGAAGATCGTGAGGGCGGTACTCAGCCCGAAGACTAGATCTTGTCTTCTTTATCTTTTATCTTTTTATTTTTCCTCGTTTGTAAGGACCCGACCTAATCTCATTAATGCATACTCTTTTCCCAAAGTATCAGTTCGCAATTTGAATCATTAAAAGATAATAAATTCGAGGTATATTTAAGTAAAGCAAAATGACTAATACGAGGTAAAGACTTGTTTCGAAAAGTAGACTGAGGTAAATAGGAAATCTTTTTAACAGGATAACTGGTGCGAGATAAAACTTAGTTATAGTAGATCAATATTTGCAGAGTAAAACTCGAATTAAGGGAACAATGAGTGCGAGGTGAAACTCGGCTTAAGGAACAATAGATGCGAGGTATGACTCGGCTTAAAAGACATCGGTGCGAGGCATGACTCGGCTTACCCTGTTTTATTTCATTAATCGTGTCCGAATAGTGAGAATGATCTCGACGTAGTTATTCGGGTGATTTAAAAAAGGATGCGGGACTGGTCCCGACTTATTCTCTTATAATCGTAAGGTTTTTGTTCCTTAGGATTTATTAAGAGTTTGCATTGTAGGGAAATGCGTATTAGGAGATCGAACATCTAGCTAGGATATCGATGTAAAGATGTCGATGTAAAAGTTGTTATAAAAAAAAATTTATTAATAGATGTACCTCGTGAGAGGTTGCCTACGTACCCAACAGACTGGGATCAAGCCGATCGTAGTTCACATTCGAGATCTAGCTCGACCGAGTATAGCTCAGTGAGCGTCCTTTTTTTTGTTTTTTTTTAGTAGTAATACCGCTTTATGTTCATCGAGTTCCACGATCGCGGTATCATTTCGCCGTCCATCGTCATCAGCTCGTAAACGCCAGGCTTTACAACGTTGGTGATTTGGTAGGGGCCTTCCCATTTTGCGCCCAGTTTTCCAGCGCGGTATTCTTCGGTATTCTCGAACACCTTTCGAAGGACGAGGTCGCCGGTTTCGAAGTGCTTACCTTTCACGCGTTTGTTGTAGTATCGTGAGATTTGCTGCTGATAATTTTGCATACGTAACAGAGCGTGGTCTCGCTCCTCCTCGAGCATGTCGAGGCTATCTTCATCATTCTTCTGTTCCTTTTCTCGTCTTGTGTCAACATCGTTCTGTTGGTAGACCGACCTCGGCGGGAGCTAAGGCTTCCATGCCGTGAGACAACGAGAAAGGGGTTTTATTCGTCGATCTGCGCGGTGTAGTTCGATGTGATCATAGGACTCCGTCTCACTCGTCTGCCCATAAGCCCTTCTTATCCTCGAGTCACTTTTTGATGCCGTCGAGGATAGTCTTGTTGGTTGCTTCGGCTTGTCCGTTTCCTTGTGGGTATCGCAGTGTTGACTTGCTAAGTCGTATTTTCCATTTTGCACAGAAGTCCTGGGGGCCATTATCGGTGACGATCTCGTAGGGTAGTCCGTGGCGGCAGATGATGTTTTTCCAGACGAAGTTCTTCACGTCGGTTGCTTTGATTTTGGCGTAGGATTCGGCCTCGACCCATTTCGTAAAATAATCAGTGATGGTTAGCATGAATAGTTTTTGTAGGGATCGAGGAAATGGACCCACGATGTCCATTGCCCATCGCATAAAGGGATAAGGTGGCGAGGAAGCAGCCAGAAGCTCGGCTGGTGCGTGGATCATGGGCGCATGTCGTTGACACTGCTCGCAGCGAGCTACGAATCGATCGCAATCGGTAAGCATTGTCGGCCAAAATGACCGTCGTTCTTGATTTTTAGAGCGAGAGCTCAACCGTTGGAGTGATTTCCACACGCGCCTTCATGTGTTTCTCGCATGACATCGAGCGTCTCCTCACCATGCAAACAGTTGAGCAGGTCGCCGGTAGAGCTCCAACCATAGAGGTCGCCATGTGACTGAATGTATTTGGCGCTTCGAACTTTTAAACGCCTCGCTGCCCATCGATCAGGTGGGACTTGGGCATCTGTTATGTAGAGTAAGATTTCAATCCTCCAGTCTTCGGTTGCTGGCTCTTGTTCGGTGGGCTCATCGATGACCTCAGGGGGAGGTAAGACGATGCTGGGGGAATCGATGCTTTTGACCGGGATCACGCGGCTTTGATACGATTCGGACGTCGATGCGAGGGCGGCTAGTGCGTCTGCCGAGGTGTTGTCACTCCTCGGAATTCTGGTGAGTGAGAAAAATTTGAAGCGATCAGTGAGGCTCTTGACGGGTTTAAGAGACAAGTCCATCCGGTCGTTTCTGGTGTCGTAGTCGCCGCTGTATTGGCTGGCAACGAGTTGGGAGTCGCAGAAAGCTTCGATTTTCTTGACCCCGATACCTTGGGCTAGACAAAGTCCTGCGAGTAAAGCCTCGTATTCTGCTTCATTATTCGAGGCTGGAAATTCGAGCCGGAACGATTACTCCAATATCTCTTTCGTCGGAGACTCTAGTCGGATGCCAATACCTGCGCCTCGAGATGAAGAGGATCCGTCGACGTACAAGGACCACTTCTCATCGGGTAGGTCGGTCTGGATTAGCTCTGGCGGAAGCTCTACCAGAAAATCCGCAAGGACCTGCGGTTTGGCACTTGTCTTATTGCGATATTCAATATCGTACTCTGTCAGCTCGACAGCCCACTTTTCCATGCGACTTGACTGGCTCGGGCTGTGCAGTATCGTTCGAAGTGGTTGATTGGTCAAGACGACGACTGAATGGGATTGAAAGTAGGGTCGTAGCTTTCTAGCGGACATGATGACCGCGAGCGCGAGTTTCTCCAAAGTCGAATACCGTTTTTCTGTGTCGTCCAGAGTTTTACTAACGTAGAAAATCGGTTTCTGCTCGCCTCGATCTTCTTTGACTAAGATGCCGCTTACCGCTGAGCTCGACACAGCGATGTAGAGGTAGAGAGTTTCGCCCGTTTCAGGTTTTGCTAAAATTTGAGGGTTGGCGAGGTATTCCTTCATTTGTTGGAAAGCTTTTTCACACTTGTTATCCCATTCGAAACGCTTGTTGCCTCGGAGGAGCTGATAGAACAGGAGACATTTATCTGTCGATCGAGAGATGAATCGGTTAAGCGCTGCGATCCGGTCGGTGAGACGTTGAACCTCGTGAGTGTTGCGAGGTGATGGGAGATTGATTAGGGCATCGATCTGTTTCGGATTTGCCTCGATTCCTCGCTTAGTGACGATGTAGCCGAGGAATTCTCCGGGAGTTACCCGGATTGAGCTTCATCTGGTACTGATTTAAGACGGTGAAGCAAGCTTGCAGATGACCGATGTGATCACCGGCGGTGAGTGATTTCACCAGCATGTCGTCGATGTAGACCTCCATTGTTCGTCCTAACTGCTCGGCGAACATGTGATTGACTAATCGTTGGTACGTTGCGCCCGCGTTTTTCAAACCGAACGGCATTACCTTATAACAATAGGTTCCTCGATCGGTGATGAAAGACGTCTTTTCACGATCGCCGGGATGCATCGTGATTTGATTATAACCAGTGTTTTTAAATTTGGACCGGACCGGCGGTCAGACCAGGTTGGACCACGAACCGGAAGTGTAGCCGGGTTGAGTCGAAAACCAGATTGAACCGTCAAAAACCGGAAATTAGATAAATCGATAAACCGTATTAAACCGAGTTTAACTAAAAAAACTTAAATCATATTTTTTTTACGTTTTTTAAAAGGTAACAAGTCAATTTGATTTTTGTTTATTTATTTTTACTTTAAAAATAAAAGATAAGGTTTCTAAATATTTGACCAAAAAAAAAAAAAGGTTTCTAAATCATAACTCTTCTATACTTCTTTTGGTTTTTTTTTTTAAATCCAAATATAATTATTTGAAAAAATTTATCAAACCCGGTTGAACCTGGTCTAACCATACTAACCCATGACCCAAAAACGTTCCCGGTTCGGTCAGCGGTCCGGTTTTAAAAACATTGATTATAACCGGAGAAAGCGTCCATAAATGACAGGAGTTCGTTTCCTGCAGTTGCCTTGACGATTCGATCGATGTGTGGCAAGGGGAAACTATCCTTGGGGCACGCCTTGTTGAGATCGGTGAAGTCCACGCAGATTCGCCAGTTGCCATTTTTCTTTTTGACGACAACTGGGTTTGCTAACCACTCCAAATATTTAACCTCGACGATCGAGCCAGCCTTTGACAGACGTTCGACCTCATCATTAACAGCTTGCGCCTTTTCTGGACCAAACTTTCTCCGCTTTTGCTTGATTGGCTTAAACGTAGGGTCGATGTTGAGCTCGTGACTTGTTATCGCGGGATCGATTCCAGGCATATCACGTACTGACCAGGCAAACGTCGATGCATTTCGGCGAAGAAGTCGTATGAGTTCAACCTTGATCTCTTCCTTTAGGTCATCTCCGATTCCTACGCATCGTTCGGGATCGCTTTCGTCGATGTTTACTTGGACGACGAGCTCCTGCTTTGGTCTTTCTTGAGATGGCAAATTGACTTGAGTTACGGGTAAAATCGTAAGACACACCTTGGCTGGGACCATGGATTTGAATCGAAGCTTGTGCTCGGCGGCGAAGTAGAGTCTCGATATCTCTTGAGAGCCTCGAGTGGTTTTGACCCCGAATACGGTTGGGAACTTGAGGCTTGATGATAAGTTGATGGCACCGCCTTCATGGATTGTAGCCAGGGTGTTCCCAGAATTACGTTATAGATGGCAGGTTTGTCGATGACGACAAATTTGACTAGACGTGTTGTCTTCGCCGCGTAGACCGGGAGTCTGATTGTTCCGATCGAGTAGACCGTGTCTCCGTCGAATCCGGTGAGTGGCTTAACCGAGGACTTGAGGTGGTGGTTCGCTAGTTTCATTTTGTCGAGTGTTTCTTTGAAAATCAGGTCGACCGAGCTCCCAGTATCAACCAGTATCCGAGACACTTCGCAATCTGCGATCCGTAGCTCGACCAGAAGAGGATCGTTGTGTGGCATGTCGACTCCTTCCGTGTCGGCCTCGGTGAACGTGATTGCATCGCTATCGGCGGTCTTGGGGCTTTTGACTTGCCATTTTTGTGTGAGCATGACCTGGCGGGCGTACTTTTTTATCGACCTGACGGAATTGTTGCACGTCGATAGGCCTCCCATGATAAAGAACACCTTCTTTTGAGATGCCGGAGGAGTGTCACCTCGTGGTTGGTTACCTCGGTCTCTCTTTGCGAGATCGTCGTTGGATCGTTCGTTCTTTGGGGGAGCCGTTGGTGGATCTTCGTTGTTTCGAGGCGCGGTGTTTTGGGGCTGGTTTGCTATTGCGATCTCCCCCTTTCGATATTTGGCAAGCAAATAGGCCTGTAGTTCGCGACACATCGCTGTCGGTGACCGTACTTGTTGTGATAATCGCAGAAAGGTCGTGTCTCCCCGCAATCTTCTCGTTGCCAGGTGTTCGATTGGTTTTGATACTGGCAATTTTGTTGTTGTTGAGTGCTGATGTTGTACGTCGCTCCTCGGCGATTGTCACCTCCATAGTTATTGTCGAGGTGTTGTCGAGGTTCTTGACAATCTTGTTTGGGGGTTTCTTTGTGAGGTTGCTGCTTCGGCGTCTCTTTTGCTGGTGATGCGATCTCTTTTTCTTCCTCGTCCTCGATATATAAGGTGGCACGGTGAAGCGCGTCTTCGAGAGTTCGGGGTTTGCTGAACTTGAGGCTGTCCCGAAACTTCGAATTGATTCGCAGGGCATTTCGAAGAGCTGGCAGCGATGCTTCGTCAGTCACGGTGATCCGAGAAACGATCGCATTGAACCTGCCGATGAAAGACCGAAGGGATTCTTTTTCGCCTTGTTTGATCTGGTAGAGGTTGGCGCTGGAAACTGCGCCTTGGATATACATCATGTACCTCTTGAGGAATGCGGTCGACAACGCTTGGTAGCTGTCAATCGAGTTCACTTTTAACTTGGAGAACCACACGAGGGCTGCACCGCTGAGATTTTCAACGAACAGTTGTCAGAAGCCTGCATCTTTCTCCTCGGGGGTGAATCGTGCTCGGCCCATTTGAATGCTGAACGTGGTCATGAATTGGCTTGGGTCCGAGTTGCCTGTATACGTCGGGAGGTTGAACTTCACTTGAGTTCTTATCGGGAAATCGGTGATTCGGGTCGTGAACGGTGTGCTTTGGCTTTCTTTCAACACACGGTCGATCTCAGGTGCCGAGCTAGTTGCTTGATGTACAAGCGAGGTCATGGCTCGCAATTTGGCTCTCATTTCGAGCATTTCTTCGTCTTGCTGCGAGTTTCTTATCTGAAGCCGACGTGTTTCGTGTTCGGGAGCCCCGATGTTCACCTCATCGCAGTTCGAGGTTGGATGATTTTCTGTTGTTGGTGGTGCGGGTGAGTCTCCGAATAAGGCGCGCTGTACGCGCTGAATTTCTTGGGCTCGTCTCTCTGGGGCTTGGGTCTCTGATGAGTGTAATATGTTGACTTGATCTTGACAAGAAAGTTGTGCCGCGGCGAGCTCATTCAGGCGAGCGCTTGTCTGATGATTCAGTTCTTCCATTCGAGCCATCATTGTCGCAAATAATGTTGCGACATCAGCAGGAGCTGGCGTGCCTCGGTTTACGTCTTGCGCTTCTGGGTGCGGGGTTGCGTTTTCCACAGGATTCATCGTTGGTGATTGCCTATTCGAGGTCTCTGGATTGTTAACCGGTGATGTGTGAAGTCCCTCCTCGGCTGTAGTTGAGATAGGTAGACTAGTCGTCTTGTTGATTTGAATTCCTGACATTATCGAGCTCCTCTTTGCGTAGAAAGAAATCTCTTAGCCCCACGGTGGGCGCCAATTGTTGTATTGTATCCGCACACGAGGTCACTTTGGTAAATGTATCTAGGTTGAGCTCGGAGATTTTTGTGTAAGATAGAGGTGAGATCGATGTGAATATTTCGGGATTGTTTGGACGAGGTCAACTAAGCGAAGTAAGAGTTGTGATTATAATTCTCGAATATGTTTGTCTCTATTTCAGATTACGGATCCCGTAATAAATGAAGTTACATGGCTATTTATAGTGTTCAAATTAGGATACATCTCGGTCAGAGTAGCTTGGACGGCTGGGTAGATAGACCTGACCGACCGTCTATTAGAACGTCGTGCTGGCGAGCTGTTTCATCTTCGTTGATGTGGCGAGCTGTCCCATCTATGTAAAAGGTTATCTCCCTGAATGACTTCGTTTTATTCTTCGCGCATGGGTTTGTCAATCTTTGATCTTTGATCTTTGATCTTAGATCTTAACGGGCCTGAACGAAATTACAAAAAGGGGCTGTGCTCAGCCCACCTACAATAGGATTATTTGGTAATATGTAGAAATATATATAAAGTGAATAATTATCTCATTATAAATTTATTTATTACTCACGCAATTTTACGTAATCTTTAGACTATTATGTTATTTGTTGTTTTTTGCTTTAAGTTAGTTTGGTAGGTAAGTTAATTTGTTCGTTTAAGAGTTATACTGCTTCGTATAATCTTTTCAATTTTCAGAAATCTATAATTCTGCATTATCAACCAATCTATATAAGTATATCATCTAAAATATTGATAGTTGAAATGAAAATAAACCCAAGCCCCAAGCTACTCATGTTATAGTATTATGATTGGCGTTATAGCTACACTTTTACTTAATGCACTACTGACTGTAGTCAAATTAACTTAAAACCCCAAAAATAATGTTTTGAACTCGATTAATCTCTTAAGAGTTGCATGTTGTGAATATGTGAAAGTACCCAATATTCATCTATATGAGAGGAATGCTTAAAATTTATAGTAGATCTATTTGTCATTTAACTGTCGATAGCATATAAGTAACTGCTTACGGCAAACCAATACAAACAAGTAGACAGCCACAGCACAAAGCCAAACACAATTTGAATGCGTCATGTGGTCTCAAAAACAGACATCTTTTGTTTATTGATGCGTATAATAATATTTTATGTTCTGTTGCAAATGCATTGACCCCAAACACA